GTCGATACTCGAAACTGCCTTTTCCAAGTCCTCCCCTCCACTGTACGTACATAGTCATCCTTGCCTCTCTCCGCTCATCTTATTTTGCTCTCCAGCATGAAAAATCTATTTTGGCCGCTCCTGTGGCTGAGTCAACCCTCATTGGCTCATCAATGATAGGCGATGGGCACTGAAAGTCTCTGGGCTAATCTTCACCACCACCTTTGAAGACCGTCGCGTCCGTGCGCCTGTATACAATTGGAATTTAACAGCACGGCGCATTATTGGAAGCATTCTCAACAATTCCGATTGTGCTACATTCTTGTCTCGTGAATGCCTGTACTATTCTCGCCTGGCTGGTCCACAACTATCAACAACGAACGCATTCTCACCACTCACAAAACAAACTTAAAATACACATCATCATACGCCTCCCGTTCCGAATCAGTCATGCGCGCTCGAGCCGCCTCGCGCTTCTTGTTCTTTACCACCAACAATGCGCATCCTGTCAGCGTCAACAGCATCCCGACAATTGTAAACACGAGACCATTTGTGAAGCCCGTGACATATCTAGGAGCTTCGGCCTTGATGAAAACATTGGACGAGATAAAGTTGGCGCAGTTTCCAAAGCCAACCATCCACGCCATACCCACGGCCAGATACTTGTGGCCGCGCAGGTTGGCCGATAGCCAGGCCATGAAGATGGGCATCTGTGGAAACGTGCCCATGGACATGAAGAATAGGGCGAGATAGCGAACACCAGCTTGAGGGACATAGACGCGCATGATGATCCACCCGACGAGCTGGCAGCAGATGGCACCAATCACAAAGGGGGTCCGGAAGTTGAACCGAGATGCCAGATACGTGACGGTAAAGGACGAGATGATTCCAGATGCCCAGACCGGCATCGTCATCAATTGAGCCACCGTGTTTGTCCAACCGAGCTCGGTCAAGATGGTCGGCGAGAATGCAGAAATGGAAGCGGCTGTAATGTCGCAGCAAAAGAAACACATGGTGAACAAGTGGATGCGCCAATCGAGCAGAACCTTCCACCAGGGCACGTTATCCACCGGAGATCCCTTGACTTCAGCCCCGCGGGATGCTTCCAGGTGGCGCACCACACGATCGCGTTCTTCGGGCTTCAAGAACCAGTGCTGGGCCTGTTGGGGAAAGTTGGGACAGAACAACAATATCGGAATGGCGATTACAATAGTCATTACTGGTAAGAATTAGCCACACGTTTGCTTGATGGACTTCTTGGTCACTCACATCCTTCGATGATGAAAATCCATCGCCATCCTTGATAACCTCCAGCGCCGTCGATATTATTAATGGCATATGCCAAGAGACCCGAAAAGAACGGACCTGCTAGGGCGAAATTGAAGAACCAAGAGAACCGAATGGCGGCTTCCTTCTTGGTGTAGTACATTGAGATCATGTACGTTGCTCCCGCGGGTAAGGCGGCTTCAAAAGTTCCCATGAGGAATCGGACAGCCAAAAGGCCTCCATATGACTTGGTCAAGCCTTGACACATGCCGAGGATACCTAGACGAAATGTGAGAATAATCGCAACAGTAGAACACCAAACGTTACGAACCAAGAATCACCATTTGCCCTCCAAGAAGGAAACGCGGCGGGATTTGGCTGTTGGTGAGGATGATGTTGGCTGGGATTTCAGCTAGTACGAATGGCACGTAGAAGATGACCAGGGCGACGTTATAGCCATTGGAGGGCATGCCAAGGGCGCCCTCCAAGCCATTTGGTGAACCTATTCCCAGTGCACGAGCCTGCAAGCCTCAAGGTTAGTCATGTGTGCTGGTCGCAAACACTATTGTAATATTGGAAGTACTCAGATGTATTGGCATAATTTACATCTATCCGCATGCCAACCAGTGACGAGTGTTACAGTGTCAAAAAACATTCAACTTACATTGGCAATGTTCGTTCTATCCAGGAAGAGAAGCATGTAGAGCACACCCATGATAGGGATCAAGACTAGATCTCGTCGCCATAGCAGCTTCCTGTCTAGCGCTGGATTGTGGTCAATGACGGCAGCCTCAGGGGTAGCGCTGTCGATGGAGTTTTCACTCTTTTCTGCCAGCTTCAGGTCCTCTTGCGGGACCGGCTTCAGGATCTCTGCCATGACAGAGTCGCTCGGCCCGAGAATACCTGATTCTCTGATGAGCTAGGGAAGCCGGGGTCGGCTGGAGTAGTGCTTCAAATGTGCGGGCCGATGAACAGGGCTGCGGACGGGATTTCCGGAGCGGCGAAGGCCAGTACAGTCGAATACACAGATGGCGACTAGATTCTCGATTCCTGGTGAAATAGTATTTTGAGACGGAAGAATCTATGATATGACCAAAGTACAACGCCCTTAATATGTACAATCCAGTCTCGAGCAATGCTTAGAGGTCCAGGAGATGCCATGGATTATTCCGTGCCTGCACCAGATAAGCAGGGCAGGTTTCACCGAGTATGTGCACAGTGCATGCCAAAATCAGATCACATATCTTGAATTATCGAGTAGGCATGCGCCATCCTGACAAGGAGGGTGGCCATGTTGGTTGGCATACAGGCAACGGGCTAAGCCTGTCCTGTTGCCAACACCGCTTTTGCTACCGAAACCGATGTGTGCCCGATGCAGCCAATGGTGATCTCCATGTCACATTACACTGTGGTAATTGCAGCATAACCACAAGGATCTCCATCTTGCCCATTGTCGAGTGCCGAGTATACATTGTTTCAAATTCAAGATACTCGCAGAAATAGGGCGCAGGGACGGTAGTTGAAGAGTATCCCGACAAAGAAGGAATGACAGACAACATTATGTCCTTCAGTTTACTTGACAGTCATGGGGCAGAAAGCCACTACTATTGGTTTCTGTGGGTCAGGTATATCACAACTATAATGTTGTGGTTCATTAAGATAAGACTAAAACATAGGGTAGCTCTCAACTGAATTTTGGTGTTAGTGATTGGCGACTTGACCATGAATCTACCATGGCACCCCAAGACTTTTCAGCAATAGAGCTGGAACTTGATCGACTTCCGGCAATCGGAAGACAAATATCGAAACCCGATGGCTGGCGCATCTGGGTGCGGCCAAATGCGGAGCCCCAATGGCCCCCATCGGAATGTAACATCCGCCCTTACGCAAAAGCAGGCAGAGGGCGTAGGCTGCAAGCACGCGACGACCGTGGATCTCCATGTCCTTGTGGCACATGTGGACAGTGGTAGCCGGAAGTCCACCAACGCAAGTATCGCCATCCCGCTTCCTATGCGTGTGTAGTAGAGAATTGCGGGATGTTGCCGCTCATGCTTCAATGCGATGGATATTAGTGTGCTTCGTTCATAGGAACACCTCCGATGCGGAGAGTGAAGAGACGGTACATGGCGATAAGAAGGTTAGTTGTATATCTCCAATTCACTGAGCCCGTGCTAGTAGTTCTGCGAACCATCCAAGCCTTGCGATTTTTGAGTTTGTGCAGTTTAATCAAAGTCATTCAATCGTGCTATTGTCCCAAGCTTCTTGGTTATATTTTATTACCTCAGCATGGCTCCTCAAGCTCCCGTAAGCTACGTCTCGCCAAGGGCACGATTTGGCCTGATTGTGCCGGCGACAAACACTGTCGTCGAGGCCGAGTTCAACTGGATGACGGTCCCAGGCGTCTCGTGGCACAGCGGCAGGATTGAGATTTCAAATCCCAATCTCAACGATGATGATACCATGGTCAAGTTCCTCGAGCAGCTACGTGGCACGATTGGAGCGGCCGTAGAGCGTGTGTGTTCATGCTTGCCGACGTACATGGTCATGGGCATGAGTGCGGAGACCTTCTGGGGCGGCCAAAAGGGCGCCGAGGAGTTTGAGCAGTTCATGACGGAGAAGTCGGGTGGTTTGAAGGTCACTACTGGCGCCCTGGCGGCGCGTGCAGCGCTGGATGCCTATGGTGCGAAAAAGATTGGCATCATTACACCGTATCAGGCCGTGGGAGATCAACAGGTAAGGATTGGAATCGAAGAAGACAAGACGTTGCATATTATTGGATGGCCAACTGACTATAAACTTTACAGGTGGTCGACTTCTTCACTCAAATGGGATATACTGTTCACATGATCAAGGGACTACGCTGCGACACGGCCACGTCGATTGCCGAAGTGCATCCCGATATCATCAAGGATGCATTCCGAGCGGTCAACGCACCGGATGTCGATGCTTTGCTCCAAGCTGGTACAAACCTACCTGCCGCAAAAGCAGCTGCCGAGATGGAAGAGGAGCTTGGAAAGCCAGTCATCGCCATCAACACGGCCACCTTGTGGCATGCGTACAGAACCAACGGTATTCTGGACAAGGTGCAAGGCTTTGGATCTCTGCTAGAGAAGCATTAGATTGGCAAAGTGGTATACCTTAATATAATCATTCCAAGACCTTTTCCCGTAATATTTGCCTTGTCTCACATGCAAGTTGAAACTGAGGTGAAGGACCACGGCGGAACATTTGCTATACATACCTAAGGTTAGGTAGTATTTAGTAGCGAGTAGGTAATGTATGGCGGGGTATCTCAAGACGCCGCCACAAATATTTAGCGGCTTCCGCGGGGCAGTGGTCCCTGAATTTATAGCACCAATTCAGCTGATACTTTCCTGGTATATCATGTCACGCAAGCCTTCAAGTGACACAACTGTCTTTGGTTCATGTTCAGTATCTTGAATAATTGCTTATGCTAAAAACTTGTATAATGGGTACAATGTGCAATGATTTCAAAACAAGGCTCGCTCGCTCGCTCGCTCGAATGCGATGAAAAGATAGCACTTCCAATGATACATCCAATGGAACCACACAATTCCCAAAGCCCCTAAGCAACAGCCGCCGTCATTTCTTTAGTTTGAGGCGTCAGTGCAGTTTTGATAGCAGCATCTTCCGAGCCAGCCACTGGGTCAGATGCTGTCGCCTTTGTAAATTCGTCCTCGGCTCTCTTGCAATCTGCCTGCAAATCGTGCTGCCAAATCCAATGGAGCCTTTGGTTTGCATTTGCCACAATCTTGGTCATGTCGTCGCCAATCTCGGGGTCTAGCCACATGTAGACGCGACCGGCATCGAAACTTGTCTGGACAACTTTCTGAGCGCGAGGCCGTCGGATGGAGTCGTATATCTTGAACGCGGCCTCGAATTGCTCTGGAGACTTGACCAACGGTAACAGGTGCGACAAAACAACGGCATCTTCCAGCCCTTGCCCGGCGCCAGCTGCTTGGTGAGGGCTCGAGGCGTGCGCAACGTCGCCGAGAAGGCACACGCGGCCTTTATAGTATGTAGAGGTGGTTGGGTGGTGCCACGTTGGCCACCGGAGAGGTTTCGCCCAGTCGAGCAGCTTCAATAACCTCTCGTCGAAATCCTTGAGATCTTCAATCATCTCCTCCTTGGTACAGGGAACCGGCGAGTCTCCCTGCGTCCACGGCTTGTGGTCTGTGATGAAAAAGACGAAGTTTTCCTCCTTGCCCTTTGAGATGGGGTAGATGGCCATTCCCTTCTCCTTGATCATGAACCATTTGGCGTCCCCCGCGTGGGTCCCGAGGATCTCCTTTGCCTTGTCAATGGGGATGATGCCTCTGTAGATGTACATGCCGCAGTAGGTTGGCGGGACCTGCTCAGGGGCTATATCTCCGAGAACCAGCTTCCGTGTGATGCCTTTTACCCCGTCGCACCCAATGAGAGCATCTACCCTCTCCGTCTGTCCATCGGCAAAGGTGATGCTCACTCCGTCGGCATTCTCCACCACGGACTGCGCTCTTTTGCTGAACTTGACGGCGCCCTCTGGAATAAAGCTCTCCATGATCTCGAGCAGGTCCTTTCGGTGCGCGCTACTCCTCGTAAAGTACGGCGCGCCAACCAGACCGCGTGTCCACCCTCGCTTCTCGCCAAAGCCTTCCTCGGCATAGAGCGCGTCGAAAATGCTGTGCTCAAAGTCCGGCTTCTCATTGGCCGTTTTGGCGTCATTGTACTTTTCTCGGAACCTCTTGTCAATGATATCCATGGCCGTCAAGGAGTTTGGTCCCAAGCCAATTCCCGCTCCAATCGTGGAAAACGCCTCGGCGGACTCATAGACGGTCACCTGCACACCGCGCTTGATCAGGGCAATGGCCAAAGCCAGCCCGCCAATACCCGCGCCGAGAATAGCAATCTTGAGGGGATCGTGTGCCTGCGTCTCCATGGTTTTTGGTGTTGCCGGAACAGCCTCCTCGCGGTGATCCGAGAACTGGCGCAAGAAGGACTTGACTTGAAGTACAAGTGACTTCCTCCTGGAGACTTTGGGTTCAGTCATGATTGATAAGGCTTGGGTCAAAGTGTGGGAACACGCAAGACACGTTTTCGACTACATTAGTTCATTCGTTTCTGACCTGCCAACCCACGGGAGCTAACTGGTGGTTTTAATGGTTCACATCGGATCGACCGCGAATAGCAAACTGCAGAGCACAACACCATCGGCTGTCAGTTCCCAAGAGTATACGCCAAGACAAGGATGGCATGTGGGTTTTTTTTCTTCCCCTCGGCTACAATGCCATGTGGGTGGATTGGTAGACACGATCATAGGAGCCGTCAGCCCGTGAAGCAAGACGGGACGGAATTAAGTCCGGTGGCAAGTTTAGAGTAACTGAATTGCAGCAATTCAGATCGGAAGCAAGAGTGTACATTGCGGTGAGATGTTGCTGCTAAAGGCAAAAGTGCTTCCGAAATGATAATCCCGTTGCGCTAGGTCTTGGGCCATGTGGCACCTACCAAGCAGTGGGCCTTGAAATCAGGAGCAGGATTGATCATATTGATCTACACATTGCAATCTTTCTGTTCCCGCAGCGCCCGTCGCCCGTCGTCCATTGCGCATCAATAAAAGGGAACGAAACACCAAGGTCGGTGGCGGCGTTGCTGACGCAGCGCATAGTACATGCACTAGCGGGAGCCTGGTTCCGATGCAACGCCAATCAATCTCGGTAACATTGGTAACGGCACTTGGTGGTAGGATGAGGGGCCGGATGTTACACGGTAGGTAGAACGGCATATGCAACGCATGCATGCCATGTTTGCAAAATGCGAAGGGTGTTTTTTTAATTCCGTGAAATCCAATGCCGGGGCATCATTGAGACATAAAAGGCAATAAAGAACAGCGGTCAACCTCGTCGGCAGTCTCGTCCAGCTCGTCCAGCTTTAGTCTACTTCTTGGTGTAATCACGAGGGCACGCAGCATAGGCGTTTGGGCCCTTTGTAACCCGAGTCAAACATTCCGTTGCGACTTGAGCAATGGTAGTAATGCCATAGCCCTGCAAGCCCTGCAATAAGGGTCTCTCTATGCTCAAGGGGGCCCACTGTCACATGACCCATCAACAAGAGCCTCTGGGTTATTGTACTGCCAGACGACATATCAAGGGGATTGGAGTCACGACTATTAGAATTCAATCAAGTTGCTATTTTCAGGCAAGCGTGTGAGTAATGCACAAACGCTCAAGTGCTATTTGGATGACAGCTGCCAAATCCAAGAGCCACCTGAGCCCGCGGCAGGTCCCGAGGACTCTCTCCGGCTTATCTCCCGCGAGAACCGAGTCAGCGGCAACGCCCGCAATCGCATCATTCAGGGCCCAACTTTACAATGATTGATGATTGCCTGGGTAGATAACGGAGGCCACAGACTGTCTGTCACAGGGCTGTTTGGAGATTATTATTGATTTGCCATGAGAACCGTGCAACAGACATCAATATCAGTGTACACTATTACTCCGCTCCGCTTACTACGTAGTTGTGACGGCCAATTTCGATTCCAAATCCTTGGCCTCAACTGGGCATCAACCCACTGGTTGCCGCTGATTGATGAGTGCCAGAACCCAAAAGCTCTCAACCACACACGCACCACTCACACTACCAAGACTCTAACTGAAGGAAGTGGGTCCCGGGGTCCGGGGGTCATTGGGTCTCTGGAGGCGCCTATCCTTCCTCCCCGCAGACCGTCTCGATTTTCCTGTCGCTCACGACACTTTCGGCAGCTTCTTTCCGGTACATGAATCTTGTCAAAATAGTTACGTTGTTACTCGGAGAATATCTGTCAGCCTTATCGAGCTTCCCCATCTGTGCAGCTCTTCAGTAGGTAGCACCGGCGCTGTAGTGTACATTTCGCCCCACGAGGATTACGGGCCCCCCAAATCGGAGCCGGAGCTCTCTACGATCGGAGACTCTTGAGCCGTTCCACATCCCTGCCCGGAGGCGCAGAACCGCGTCAAACCATCGCGTGACGCTGGGCCGCATGGTGGTGGCACAATAGCCATGGCTCAGCAGATGGGAGTCGTTGGCTCCTCACCAGAGACCATCGACGTCTCTGGTACATCTCCGAGCATTGCGACGTCCTCTGAGCAATCTGTGAGTCAGCAGCAACGCAAGGCGGGCAAACGGGACCGCGTTGCCTTGGCATGCCAGAGGTGCAAGACACGGAAGCAAAAGGTTCGCAAACCCCTATTCAGCATGAAAGAAATCAAGACTGAACGCATTACCAGTGTGACGGACAACGGCCAGCATGTGCCTCTTGCGCACGTCTTTCCTTGAAATGCGGTATGTTGTACATAACACGTGATTATACATGCTCCTCATGACTGATTACAAAATACAGTCTACGTAGTCCCACTAGTTCCTGCTGCCGGGGAGAAGAAGTTATACATCAAAGCCCTGGAGCAGCGAGTGGCTGAACTTGAATCTGTGCTGGCGTCTCTAGGGCACATGGGAGTTGGAACTGACCACTTGAGAGGAATGATTGGCGCATCCCCTTCATCCTCTCTTCCACAGCAAGGCATTCGTTCCGAGTCTCAGAGCTTGCAGCAGGAGCCAGATGACGACGCCAATGACATATTGAGTGCTGTCCGTGACTTGTCACTATCGGCATCTGGCCATTATGTTGGCGCATCATCCAACATCACCATCGGTCGTGTTCTCAGCTCCGTTGTCCATAGCGCAAGAAACCCAGTAGCCAGTACTATTGATGACTCGAATACTCAGGAAGATGACGATCCCGCACCAAAATCAGTCTACTCTTTAGGACTTACGGACGCAGTTGGCGAGCCATTTCTTGCTCCCAACGTGGCCAACAGGCTACTGCAAGCATGGTTTCGGCATATTGCTACACGGTACCCAGTATTGCACTCGGCCAAAGTCTTGGAGCTTCACGAAAATAGGGGCAATCTAACAGATGTATATGAAAGAAGCATGCTTCATCTCGTCTATGCTGTTAGTGGGCGTTGGCTCGAATCCGCCGGCGAGATTGGCCATTTCCTCAGCGACCAACACTACGATGCAGCATTTGCCAACATGGACACAATATTACCACTACGCGACTCTCGGACGGTGAACTATTTAATATACATGGCACTGTACTGCACACGAGCCCCCAGAGATCCGGGAGCATGGACGTATGTTGGAGCGGCGATGCGACTATGCATTGAATTAGGATTGCATCGCCGCCAACGACGCCAGCAGCCTAGCCTTGAAGGGGAGATGAACAAACGTCGCTTCTGGGCAACATACTTTCTGGACCGCGACATCTCCATTGCCATTGGCAGACCCCCGAGCCTTTCAGACCACGATATCGACGCAGAATTTCCTCTAGATCTTGATGAAAACACGCAGAGTGACGACTTGATCCGACAAGCATCAATGAATGTTTCAAACACCCCAGCAGTCCCCCAAAAGACCCTTACCTCCTTCATCCACAGGCTGAGGCTCAAGAAATTGGAATCAGAAATTCAACATGTCGTTTATCGAGTTGATCAACCAACAAAGGTTTCCGATGCTACTGTAACGTACTTTATGGATCGCCTCAACTCCTGGAAACAAAACATTCCGTTTGAGGCAAATAACTTTGCTCGCCAAACTGAAGGAGCGTTTGAAGGCTTGGAACTCTACACGATTCACTACTATCGGTGTGTTCGATTCTTGCTCTATCCGACATTGGCCGAAGTACCAGTCAACATGCAGTACGTGAAGCTGTGCGCCGATGCATGTGCTGGGATCATTTGTGATTACCGCAGATTGCATCACATTTTTCCAGTGGGATTTTCGGCACTCAGCATACAATCCATGTTTCTTGCCGGTAAGAAGACCCTCTTTTTTTAAATGATCGGTTAGCTGACATTGTCACAAAGGGCTCACTCTAACATATTGTGCTTGGCTTGCACCTCCGGGTCATATCAACATTGACGGCCCACTGACAGACTGCCAATTGCTATTATACATTGTAACAGAACGATACCCTTCTGCGCGAAAATATCGTGATGTCTTTGAGCGTATCAAGAAGGCAATCACAGATCTCATTGCACAAGGCAAGCATGAGCCTCGACATCCGGTACATCTGGATCCTTCGATACAGGAAGGTGTTGCCAAATTCCAAGGGCACTGGGAACCTGACATGCCAGGCATGGGCAACGAGTATAACTTCATGATCAATAATAGTAAGTCTTGTTCTGTTATATCTCATGGGAAGTGGTGCACTGGATGGCCTTTTCACGAGCTCTGCTGCATTTGACGATTGTAATGGAGCAATTGCTAACACCAAATCTTGCAGTGATTGGAAATCCCGTGACAACCCCTCCCTTTGAGCTTGAACTGGACCCTACGGCAACAGGCTTGGTTGGGCAATCTCATCAGCAGGCCCAAACGCTTGGTTTTCCTATGTGGAACTCCATGTCGCATATTCAGGGAGATCACATGAACGAGCTGAAAGGTCTCTTTCAATAATTGTTGGCGTTGATCTTATTATTTTCACTTACAGACTCCATTTTCTGGGCTGCGTATAGGATCATCACTGCTTCTTGTTTAGATACGCTTGTCGAGTCTTGGCTGGAATGGCGATAGTCGCTCTGGCATGTACTTTTGGAATCTACGAGCTAGAACCTGCCTAAAAGTTGCTTGAATGGAGCCAGCGCATAGATGAAGAATAGTCATCATCTCTTTGTTTGCAATGTATGAGGTCTCGGAATGCTGGAACTTGAAAAAGGAGAAAATGCAGATATACCAAAGATTGGATAGAAGTGACCCAGTTTATTATACAGTCTGCCTCAGACCCCGGAATACTTACTCGTGCTAGAGGCGACTAGCTTGGGGGAGGGGATTATCAATGTTTAATGGGTTTGGGGTATCGGCGGGGTCATTCCTCGGAATCGTACCGCCGGGTTAACATCCCAGTGCCCGGCGATCGTATTCCTTTTATCTCGTGCGTTTACACAGTATGTAGTCTTCTCACAACATGCGCTACCCGACTAGAAGTCTTCCAATTTGACCTCGCCCACATTTGACTCTAGCTTTTATCGTGACTCGAACGTCAAATCTATCATTAGTCTTGATCGAAAGTGGGATCCTTATTCACTACCATGGCTACTCCAGCGCCCGAGCTCAATATACCGCCGTCGACTGCCACAGTTAATGTATCCATTATCAACACCACTGGAACAATACGAGGCGTCAACACGTGGAAGTTTGTTGAACCGTCCATCAAGGGCCACGACTGGCTTTCAACGCCGTGTTATGCATTTTTGATTCAACATCCCACTCTAAACCGTTCACTTGTCTTTGATCTAGGCATCAAGAAGGACCTGGAGAATTTGCCCCCGCATCTTCTCGAAAGATTCAAACAGAGTGGATATACCGTTGACGTGCCAAAGCATGTCAGAGAAATCCTAGATGAGGGCGGCGTGGATACCAAGTCCATTGAAGCCGTCATCTGGTCGCACTGGCACTTTGATCATACGGGGAATCCCTCCACTTTTGATCCCAACACCAAGCTGATCGTGGGACCCGGCTGCAAAGAAAAGATCTTTCCCGGCTATCCCGACAACCCGACGGCGGCGTTCTTGCAAAAGGACGTTGAAGGCCGGGAGATTGTGTCGCTGGATTTCGCGCAGGCCCCGCTCGCCATTGGCCGCTTCGACGCTATAGACTATTTCGGCGACGGGTCCTTTTACCTCCTCGACTCGCCGGGCCACGCTGTCGGCCACGTGTGCGGTCTCGCGCGCGTTACCACCTCCGCCCATCCCAACGACAATGACAGCTTCATTCTCATGGGTGGAGACGCCGTGCACCACGGCGGCGAGCTGCGACCGCACCCATATCTGCCGCTGCCGGGCGCCATTGCTCCCCACCCCTTTACCGCGGCTGCCCATGCCGCCTGTCCCGGCGAGCTGTTTGAGACGGTGCTGCGCGACGGGAGAGATCAGCCGTTTTATCTCCCGGCCGCGCCTCCGAGCGTGCACTATGATGTCCCCGAGATGATCGAGTCCATCAAGAAGCTGCAAGAGTGCGATGCCCACGACAACATCCTGGTTGTACCGGCGCATGATGCAGCTCTTCTCAGCATAGCCGACTTTTTCCCGCATTACGCAAACGACTTTGCCGCCAAGGGTTGGGTAAAGAAGGCGAGGTGGGCATTTTTGAAGGATTTTGCCGAGGCGGTTGGATACAAAGGGGAGATTGCAAACCCATATGATTTCTCGCCTGTGGTGAAGAATTAAGCTTGAAGATTTTGATGGCATGATACGATAGAATATAGAACATGTTTGAAATATGAAAACCTATATTCCCACCTACTTATACATTTACAAGGCAAGGCCAATCCCATCCAATATACTCCCGTACAAATTACAACGGCTGGTACTCGATCTCATTCACATATGGTGGCCTACCGCGTATCAGCAACGTCGAATTCCAGTGCAAGTCCGGGGCCGCTGTTGCCCTTACCTCAGCCAGTTCTTGACTCCTACAATCGCCGCAGTACCGGCGGCATACGCGCCCAGAAGGTTGCTCCAACCGGCGTTTCCATATATTTTCTGACCGACTGCCAAAGCCACCAGATCATAGACCAGGCACCCGCCAAAGATCCAGTCGCTCGCCGAGGCCAGGAGTCCAAACCCCGCGCCGGTCAGAGCCTTGACCAGGGTCGACGGCGGCTGGCCCACGGCGTAGGCTACGGAACCATTATGCAAGAGGTCCAAGACGCCGATGCCCGCAAACGTCTTGGAGACAATGTGAGTGAGGATCGAGTTCCATGAGCTCGTGTTCATGGGTCCCAGTCGCCCAAACACATAGTATAGTTGAGATAGCGAATTTATAATCACAAAAATGTTGGAAGTTTTCAGGTCTGATTGATTCCAGAAAATCATCCAGGCTATCATGATTGACCGTCAGCTTGCAATCTGTTGTTGAGTCATGAATGATTCATGAAAACTTACTCGCAATACAAAAGTTGCCAACGGCATAATACGGAGCAAAGTCAACCATTTTTTGCACCGCCCGGTCATTTCTCACATCCTCTGGTGTGGCTTTCCATAGCTTCCAGAGCCAGGCGAGCTGGAACAACTGCTGCGGGAAGAAGAAGCCCGCAATGAAAAAGGGCTGAGGTGAAAAGAAGGACAAGTTGGCGTCGTGGACGTCCTTCATATTGGGGCTCGACAACATGCCATATTGCTGAGCAGCAAAGTCCACGGCAAAGGAGACAGGCGCCAGGTAGCGCGCGGTCGACAATGAGACGCCCATGGCCGACGGGAGCGTGATGGGAGGTTGGGAATGCGTGTTGAAAAAGTGGTGAAATGATGTGCCGTCTAGAAAAAAGTGTTTCAAAAAGAAATCGCTACCTTAATAATAGTAGTAATTCAGCCGTTGAATCATCAATGTGTAGAGCAGTACTGATTGTATCATGATGTCAAGTTGATATCGTGTCGCTGGATGTTTCGGCTGTGTAAGATCAAGTCATGGACGTCATTGTCAGACAATTAGTCCATTGAATCTTGATGCAGCTCAACCAGAATGTCCCGACCACCAATATGTAGCTGTCATCCCTACCAGAATCGCAGCGCATTTGATTAACATTATCAGTTTCTTTATAGTCTCGTATTATTCGACAACGGATACATAATGCGAGCTACTCAAGACGCAAAGGATACCACAATTCATAATTGTCGAGTATACAAGCAGGTAGGCTAAAATAAGGAAGTCCCCGCCAGCGAAGATTGTTAGGCCACTAACCATGCGGGGCACAGCGTTCAGCATACATTACTTATACTTGTACGGCAAACCCCCTTCGTGCAGTGCCCATCTCAAGGAACTATGAATAGAAGAGATGGCTTGCCCAAGTAAAGCTGCTTGCTATGCTTTACCCCACTATCTAGCTTGAATGTTGACCCTCAATTCATATTGCGATCAAGACTCCCAATGCGCAAGAGAGGAGCGTGAGACACAGACTGAGAGGCACAATAGCGTTGGACAGGTTGCCTTTTCGGTTGGATAACAGAGCTTCGTCAGCGATGCTGCCTGGGCTCAGCCAGTTGAAGAAGAACCACAGAGAAGGGATGAGGGATGCGCCAATGATCGCCAGATATATGGCAGCCATGTATATCTGCTTTTCCTCGCGAGCAATGATGCCGTAGAAGACTTTGTCATTTGCTAGCCCTGTTTCGTCGATTTTTTGCGGTATGAGGTCCACCGTGCCGTTATCGTTGCAGTCGCAGTCTGACAAACAGTTCCAGAAGCGATCTCTGAACTCCTCATGGCTAACTTGAGGTGTCCAGACTGTCTTTCTATAGTAATATTCATTCTTGTGTCTTTCAAGATCTGGTATCTCCTCTTGAGGACCTCGTGCGTACTTGTTGACGGCATACTCGGTGAACTAGATGATATTAGCCACGATTCCTTCCGTGCTGGCTCTATGTTCCAATTTTGTCTGATTATACTTACCCGGTAGAACTCGCAGAACCCGAATTGGTAGATACTAAACATTGTCCTCATCCAACCTCGATAGGTCCAATAACCACTTCTTACATCCTGAAAGAATCGGTCATTGCATTTCCCCTGCGTGCTTATCCGACTTTGGCCCAAGCCCATTGATTTTGGGTGCATAGCGCCCTTTTCCGTCATGAAAAAGATCGTTCGTGTTTGTTGATTCGGGTATGCTGCCATCAACGAGCCCGGAGATGGCAATCGTACAATGCTCACGTCCTGTGAGGGCGCTGGATTTGTAGAAGACGATGCTTCCTGCACTGTGCTTCCGCTTGGCGAGATTGACGATGGCTGCCTTCCGAGGTTGGTAGCAGAGCTCGGCCTGAGTGGGATGGAAGTGGCCAGCGGCGTGGATTTTGTAAGCGATATAAGAGCTTTTGCAAGTTTCTCCGGCACGTTTTCGTTTCGTGTTCTGCCGCATCGCTATTCCCCATGTTAGGCTAATCGACGACATTAGAAAATAACTTTTCTGAAATACTTACGCACGTCCACCTGATCCTCATCTCACGAGGGCCAAGTGGCTTTAGCGGATCTGAAAGTGGCCACCAGTTCCATGCTCCTGTTACAGACTCGAATAAATTCTTCACCTTGTCCGAGAAGCCAGGACCGTGGGTGGTCCCGATGACCAGTGTAGGTTGTGCATACGCCAGTTCGGAGAACAATTCTCGCACTTGTGAGTTTTGCATTCCAGAGCTGTGCGCCTCGAACCGTCGAACAACCCGCTTCAGCCTTGTTGCAAAATCAGGGAATGCAATGTCATACAGAGAGGCTAGGAATTCTGTAAAGGCATTACTCTCTAGTATGACACGTTCGAACGATGCTGTGTCAACATAGGCATCTGAATGACCTCCAGCCTCATCGTCTTCCTCATCCAAGTGGACGTCATCGTCTTGGTCTACAATTTCATCATCACTCACGCCGCTATCGTCTCCATCCGAGAGCTCGTTCTCTGCATCGCGGCGGGAAATAGCGGCTTCAATGATCAACAATGAGATTTGCCGAGACCGTCCGAGGAATAAAGAGGGTACAGTCTCGTGTTCCTGAGGTGTTTCCAGCTTCAACAAGTCCACGAATGATTTCAAGGAAGCGCGTACCCGAGCTGCAATGTCTGCAGCCGTACGATCTGTTTGTTTCGATGTGACAATGTGGTCCAGTGCTTTTACAACGGCATCAGACCGGTGCACAAGGCTAACGAAGAGAGCTAGAATTTCTGATTCGTTGCTTGCGTCAACCACTAGTTCGGTTGGTGCAGTACTGGCCATGTCATACATGGAACCTCTGGAGTAGCAAGATGTATCTGTAGATGCGGACTCTGAGATATCGTCCAGGTTTCCTCGTTCGCTATGAGAATAACCTTGCTGAGAGTCAATGAATCGGATATGGTGGGTGTTATCCGAACCCAATATGAGTTCAGTCGATGCTAGAGCAGCTAAAGGATCTGATATAGGATCTTCTAGGGCACCATCAGGCATGATATCATTCAATGGCAACTCGGCCCTCTGTAATCGGTTCTCCAAAATCTCGATGTCTTGAAGATCGAGGTTCCTGGGGCTTTTGAAGGACTCATTATCACCAATGTGAGAATCAGGACTGCCGTTTCGTGACGATACTTCCCGGATTGAAGCAGCAGCTGACCATCGTTCTCTGAGGTGCGATAAATATTCACTGCGGTTGGTTTCGCCCGGTATCTCGGGGTAGTTCAACGCGGGGCCTTGCTGAAACTCTGAAACTTCATATCTTTTGCGTGAGGGCGTGCCATTACCATGTAGTCCGCTTTCGTTTTTGCCACTAATATAAGAATCGGGACTGCCGCTTCGTGACGGTACTTCCCGGATTGAAGCAGCAGCTGGCCATCGTTCTCTAATATGCGATAGAGGTTTACTGCGGTTGGTTTCGCCCGGTATCTCGGGGTAGTTCATCGCGGGGCCTTGCTGGAACTCTGAAACGTCATATCTTTTGCGTGAGGGCGTGCCGATATAGTCGCTCATTTTACTCAGGTATCCTGCGAACCTGCGTCTATTTCCCGCATCAGTTCCGACGGTCCTGTGGGGCTGCAACTCTGAAACGTCATATCTTTTGCGTGAGGGCGTGCCGATATAGTCGCTCACTTTACTCAGGTATCCTGCGAACTTGCGTCTATTTCCCGCATCAGTTCCAAAGGTCCTGTGGGAGATATCGGCGCTGGTAGTTTCCTCCAGACCTTTCGAGTGGTTGAGGATGTATTTGTGAGCATCCGCATCCGAAATGTCGCCTGGTATGAGCTTACCAGGAGATTCTACGACGGCAGAGCCCAAAGTAGGGTCCTCTAGGTTGAGATCTGGCATGGAGTTCCTGAGTAGCGCCTCTGTCCTTTGCACTTGATTATCCAAGGTCCCAAAATACGGTGGAGCATCATCTCTGCGACGGTCGGATGCTCTCCCATAAGTGCATTGGTAGCCCTGGATCTGACAGTGATTACATGGCTGCTTTCCGTCGCACTTGATCTTCTTGCTCCTACACTCGTTGCAAGTCCGCATTAACCTCCCACGCTTCTGCAGCAGCAGCTCTGAAGCGTCGCTGGGGGCGCCGCTATCATTTTCCTTGTCGGCAGTGCTACTTTCGTTGTTGGAGGTTGTTGGGTATGCAACTGATGATGCTGGGTTCATTGGTCGTGATTTGCCTGACTTACTAGCCACGGCCGTGTCTATCACTGTGTTCCCAGATGCTCCTTCTTGGAGTACCTCGAGACTCCTCACAGCTGATTTTAACTGAGAACGCAATTCCACCGCAGTGACATGTCGAGTTGATATCTTTGATGAAAGCAGCGAGTCGTTGTTCGCGACATAACGAAGGCTCTCGGCCAACGAGATTAGATTCTTGACATCCGATAGGGGTACCGCGTTCAATTTGTCTTCCTGCCATGCTGCTATTTGTTTCAACTTTTTTGTTGCATCCTGAAGATCTTTCAATGAATCCCCCCCAACGTCTGCCTTTGTCGTTCCATGTTTCGCAGGAATCGTGGTGGATTTCCTTGCTTGAAGGCTAAGCTCGGCTTGCTCAAGGAGCTCAATTGCAGCATTTAGCGACGCCACTGATTCCATGGCTTCGAGTTCGTTTCCAGGGTTTCTCGCGACGGCGTGGGCGAGGACTGTCCAAAGTTATTTGTTCGCAAGGGCACAGGGATCGATCGGGTGTATGGTCCTGTAGCAACGTTGGCCATGAGGCTGAAGTGAAAGCGGGGTTTCGCCAATGAGGGGTGTAGACGTTAAAGTGTGGGATGACGCAGCTTGAAGATTACGATCTTACTGCACATTAAAAATAAAGAGGTATCCGCGTAGTAAAAGAATATGGTGTATGTATGTGCTATCGTATTTGAACCATGGCGACTTGTACCAAATATAGGTGCGTACTATTTTGAGTTTCTAGTAGGGCCATGTAGAGCTTGTAGGCGGCGTCCACACTGACTAGCACGAGTATTATTGTTTGCTCTATTGAAAAAGAATCCTGGGCAAAATGGTTTGTAAAGTCTGTCAATGCTACCCATATGTTGCTCACATGTTGCAGCGATCAATCAAATAAGCACCCTTTACCAAGGGTTCAAGTCACGATTATTCATCGCCATGCAGTCCTGACGCTCGGAGTGATCCAGCTAGGACTCCTAGATTTTATACAGTTTACAATCTGGGGCCGCAAGATAAAGAGCAGACCGTGGTGAGGGGTTACATGCGCAGTGAGTATGGGAGTGCGTGTTGAGTGTGTGTGTACAGTGACTTAGGTATTAAGACTACCTTACGTACTATACTGGGCATAAGGGTTACTTATACCCATAGCCGAGTAATCCTTGTACTAGGTACATTGCTTGCATACAAACAATCAACAGTGCGTGCATACTGCGATTAGGATCATCTCCGACCCCTGCTAGAAGCCCCCGGAAAGGCCCATGCCGACACGTACGTACAAAGAGGGTCGCTATCAACTTCCGCCAAGCCATGCGATCGCCGTGCCTCTCTACTGCAGCAAAAGGACAACGCAGTATGTACTACTACTGTTACATTATTGGAACCAATCATCTTCTTCATTGATATCACTCATCTACAAAGGGGTCTTGAATATCGCGAGCATCACCCAAGGTAACACTACCGTTGTACGACATTGTCTTCCATAAATTAATGAAGCGGGAGAGGTTTGCAGACTTGCTCAAGATATCCAGATTGAATTATTCACAAATCATGGACTCGGAGTACGATTTCATAGTCGTTGGTGGTGAGTTTGATAAAGAACATCTCAAGAACTCTAACATCATTGACCAAATCTTCAAAAACCAGGCGGCGCTTCTGGTTGTGTCGTGGCCGCCAGGCTAGCCCAGTCGGCAGTCAAGCCATCGGTGCTCCTGCTAGAAGCCGGCGGGCTCAATGAAGACGCTGCTCACTTGACGGGTGCACAGCGGTACGAAGTCGCTTTTCGCGAAGGTTCACCCCTCAACTGGGGGTACAAGACGGAGCCCCAGTGGGCAGGCCAGCAGATTGACTACTCGAGGGGAAAGGGGCTGGGTGGCTCGACGGCCATCAACTTTTGCGGCTGGGTCATTGGCCCCGACGACGACTACGATGAATGGGCTAGGATCGTGGCAGATGATGCATTTGGCTGGCGACATGTTCGGCGGGTTCTCAAAAGGGTGGAGAATTTCCATAATGATGTGCCCGAAGACTTTCGCGACTACATCAACCCTAAAGACGAAGGTTGGTTTGCTCTCTGTACTGTCGTAGGTGGGACGCGACTAACAGCGCATGATTAGAACATGGCATCGGAGGTGCAGTCGATGTTTCCTACCAGGAAGAATGGCTGCCCGGCACCCGAGATGTCTTCAAGGCAGCCGAACAAGTCGGATTCGGCGTGAACCCAGATGTCAATAATGGCAATCCCATGGGGATGGGTATGGGAATGGTATGCATTCATAAGGGTGTTCGAGTCACCTCGTCGAGCGCATACCTGTCCAGTCCACCAAGCAACTTGACCATCATTGCAGATGCACACGTCGCCAAGATTATACTAAACGGCAAGACTGCCCAAGGTGTACAGATCATTGACGGCCGGCGCTTTACGGCAAAGAAAGAAGTCATCATTTCTGGTGGTGCTATAAATAGTCCCCAGATTCTACTGTGCTCAGGAATAGGGCCGTCGAGCGAGTTGGAAAAGCTTGGAATCGACGTCTTGCATGATCTTCCCGCAGTGGGCAAGAATCTTCGAGATCATTGCTTTTCACTCGCCGGTCTTGTCATCAAGAAGACCCATGATGCACCGTTCAAGCAAATTCCCAGCCCAATGGGTTGGTTCCAGGTTCCTGCTGTACTTGCATCGGCAGAGTTCCAGGACCTTCCGCTCGAGACACAAAATTATCTGAAAAAGTCTCATGTGCCGAGCTGGGAACTGGCCGCCGTATGCACCTTTTGAATCGTACCATTGCTGAGCCTTATCCGCTAACACCGCACAGCAGACGCCATTCCTAGACGGAACACAAGTGAAAGATGACGAGGAGGTCTTTACATCTTGTTGTTTATTGATGAACCCACAATCCAGAGGCACCGTGACGCTCAAGTCCGCCGACCCAAAAGAAGCGCCCATCATTGACCCCAAGTTCCTGACACATCCTTTTGATCGGAGAGCAGCCATTGAAAGCTTTAGAGATATGCTCAAGTATCTGCAAGCCCCAGTCTGGAAGGAAAAGACTGTCCGCAACTTGGCCTGGCCTCATGACGACTCGGATGAGGCAATTTGGGTATTGAACCCAACACAAGTCTGCAAATAGTCATCAGCTAACCGCTTCTTGAATAGGAAACATTCTCATCCAATCTTCGCAGCACTTGGCACATGGCTGGTACCATTGCCATGGGCAGAAATGCCGATGATGCCTGTGTAGACAATTCTTTCAAAGTCTTTGGGATCGACGGCCTACGCGTCGTAGATATGAGTGTATGCCCAATGGTTCCCAAGTAAGTTATTACTTTCCACAAGTACTTGATCTGAAGTCATCATATCTAATGTTTAAAGCAACCATACTCAAACCACTGCCTATGTCATTGGCGAGCTTGCAGCAGAAAAGATTGCATTTGAACATTGTCTCTAAGATAACATCTGCCTCCATGACTAAAACAGTATCAAATTCGAGACGAAATCGATGGATACTTGCCAATTCATCAGGGGATTTCAGTCATTTTCATACTGGGTTCCGGTACGATTGGCTTCTACATTTAATTTTAAGCTTACTGAATTGTGTATGAGACATTGAATCAAACAAACAACATAATGATTGCTTTTCTCCGTCACGTCTTGCTCCCTTGGCGCTCGGTATCTTACACAGTGTTACTTTGTGTCCCACGACTACTCTGGGCCCTTCTGACCAAGACGCCGTCAGATCTTCAAGACATGCGCCACTGACACGTTGGTCGGCTCAAGTTGGCCGAAATATAGCATGCTGCGGCGTGTCTACACAGTATACTGGGCAGTGTAGTGGACCTAATGACCCCGCAATGTCTTGCTAAAGAAAGCCATGGGCGTCTGTCTGGAATGCTTGACCTTCGGAATATTCCTTGTCTTGGATGGTCTTGGACATCTCCAACTGGGAACCTGTCCCCGCAACTCGTCCTTCGGGCCGGAAAGCTGTCATATTGCCTATCTCTCACAACGTCTGCATCTTGGTGCATCTCCAAGAAGGGCTCCTGTCTCCGAGCCACTCCCGAAGATCATTGGCCAAAGAGTATTCCGAACTATTGGCAAGATTTGACCCTGCGATACTGACCAACGTGGGAAACATGCATCGTCGGCTCCCGTTGCCGCATGTTGGGAAAAAAGACAAACTAGAAAGTAGCCTCGGGTGGATCGAGCCGTCGCGCTTGGCAGACTTAAACCCGGGGCCTAGCCAAAGTCCTGGCGGCCGCGATAACTGCCACGAGCTACCAGAGTATAGCGGGTCTTTTCAGTAGTATGGCGATCTCACAGAGAGAGACGCCGAGGAGGCGAAATCATTCTTTGGTAGGAGTCAAATGATGGAATTTCCGCGGGGGGTCCGCCGTTCGGACTTAACAACAGATATCTACAGCATTACTTTTTCAGAACTGCTGGGCTGTCAAGTTTCTCTTCAACCCAAATCGTGTTCACCGAAAGATTTTCCCAGCAGCATTTGCATTTTTGTCCATTGGAGGAAAGAAAGCCAAGCCAGTCTAGAGGAACCCCTGCTCAACGCTACCATTCGAATTCTATAGGCGTCATTCACAATGGCGCCTCTTGACGTCAAGCATTTCATCAACGGCGAGGTAAGCTATTTTCAGGATGAACATGATGATCAGAACTGACGAGGATATCTTTCCAGTTTGTTGACTCGAGCGACGGCAAAACTTTTGATCTCTTTTCTCCTTATTCGGGAGATCTCATTGCCAAGGGTATGTCATGTATATATACACTTCTGGAAACGTGCAATGGCTAACCCGGCTTTTCCAGTCGCCGAAGCAACAACAGAGGATGTTGACAAGGCTGTGGCCGCCGCAAAGGCAGCCTTTCCAGAATGGTCGAGCCGCTCGCCTCAACAGAGAGGGCAGCACCTGGCCAAACTCGCCCAGCTCATTACGGCGGCGGACGCGGAGCTCGCCCAGGCCGACGCGCTGTCGCTCGGCCGGCCGGTGAGCACGTATTTTGACGGCTACTACGCCGCCATGCACTATCGCTACTTTTCCGAGGCCGCGTACCCGGTGGGCACCTCGTCGCTCAACACGCCCGGCTTCCTCAACGTCTCGCTGCGCCAGCCCTACGGCGTCGGCGCCGCCATCATCCCCTGGAACTCGCCCCTGGTCTTTTACAGCAAGAAGATGGCGCCCGCCCTCGCCGCCGGCAACACCTTTGTCCTCAAGACGAGCGAAAAGGCCCCGCTGTCGCCGCACCGGCTGAACCAAATGCTCAACGAGGCCGGCTTCCCCCCGGGCGTCGTCAATGTGGTTCACGGCCACGGCGCCGTCTCGGGCCACGCCATCTCCAGCCACATGGATATCAGGGCCCTGTCCTTCACGGGATCCGTCCGCACGGGACGCCTGATTCAAAAGGCCGCCGCCGATTCAAACTTTAAGCACATCATCTTCGAGCTGGGCGGCAAGTCGCCCGCCATTGTCTTTGCGGACGCGGATCTTGAGCGCGCCGCCAAGGAGACGCAGCACTCCATCATGTGGCACTCGGGCCAGACGTGCATGGCTAACAGCCGCATCTACGTGCAAAAGAGCGTCGCGGAAAAGTTTGTCGCCACCTTCAACTCGCTGGCCGCGGCCCGCAAGCTGGGCGACCCGACGCTCAAGGAGACCGAGTCGGGTCCCCAGGCCGACAAGAGCCAGTTTGAAGCCGTGCACCAGTACATTGAGGAGGGCAAGAAGACGGGCCAGCTCGTGGAGCCGGGGACACAGATCCCCGAGTCGGGCGCGGGATTGTTTGTCGCCCCCGTGGTGTTTCTGCAGCAGCCCGAGGACTCCAAAATCATGAAGGAGGAGGTGTTTGGTCCCGTCGTCTGCATCAACACGTTTGAGACCGAGGAGGAGGCGCTCAAGATTGCCAACGACACCGAGTACGGCCTCTACGCAGCCGTCTACACCAACGACATTGACCGCGCAATGAGATGCGCAAAGGGATTGGAGTCTGGCATGGTTGGCGTCAACTGCACGAGTCCCACGGCGGCTTGGGATATGCCTTTTGGCGGCTACAAGCAGAGCGGTATTGGTCGCGAGAGCTTTCTCCTGAGTATGGATGACTGGCTGGAGCAAAAGGCAGTCTTCATCCGCATGGGCGGCACTGAAAAGATTGGCGGTGGCAACATCCTGGGACGGTGAGGGAGAGACAATAGTCCAAACAAATAACGCTAATTGTCTCCGAATTAATAGTATATAGTAGCTAGTATTCGACCAGATATGCTTGGTGGATATCATTGTCTGTTGAATCCCATCTTCTGCCATATTGTCTTCTTCTCATCTTCCTCCTCTGCTGCATCGCTATCCTTGACCACACTCAGAAACACGCTCTCCATGGTCGCGGCGCCAATAGAATAGCAATCCAATCCCAGCTCCTCCTTGTTCTTTTCAAGCGTGTCAATCAAATGTCTCACAAAGCTCTTGCCTTGTCCTTCATTCTCAATCGGCGAGACCAAGTCGTCGCCCTCGTCGGCACGATCCCGCACGGTGGCGTCGTGGCCAGAGTCGTGCACCACGGCGTCGGCGGGCACCCGGAACCGCACCTGTCCGCCGAGATTCTCCCCCTCGAATGTGACTTGGCTTCTCACGCCAGAGAACCGCTGGACGACCCAGTCCGCCACGCGCTGCATTTCTTCTGGTGTGGAGAGCGGGGCGCTCTTGAGGATCAAGTGGACATGGTAATCGTTGCTGTGCCTCTTGCGCAGTTCCTGCGTCGTGCCGATGGACAGCAAGCGGCGTGCAATGATGGCTGCGCGGGTGGCGAGGGCATCTGCCTCTTCCATGCCTGTTGAGTCGAGATGTGTTAGCTAATAATTTCCTCTACACGAACACTTTTCTTCTTGATACATGACTATAATGCAAACAACTGGTACTTGTTTCCCGGGACAGTATATGGGGACCAGGAAACAGATTTTCAAAGTAGGAAGACTTACTGTGAGTGGTGAGGAGTACACTACGACCCGGTGCTACTGCTTCAAGCGTCTTCCATAGTACGCGCTTACTCGCGGCGTCCATGGCGAAACTGGGCTCGTCGAGCAGCAGGACCGGCGGGTTGCCGAGCAGCGCAATGGCGAGCGACAACTTGCGCTTCTGCCCGCCCGACAGCCGCGCCGCCCTCTTGCCCGCGTGCGCCGACAGTCCGACCCGGGAGAGCACGTAGCCGACGTCTTGTGCCACGTTGGGAACGCCCTTGCACCGCGCGTAAAAGACGAGGTGTTCCCGTACCGTCAAGAGGTCCAGCGCGTCAAACTGCGGGCAGACTCCGAGGTGCGCTTGGGCTTGGCGCTTGTTCTTTTGCACGTCTACGCCTTCGAGGAGGATGGACCCCGACGAGGGACTCATGTCGCCGCGAATCATGTTGATGCTGGTCGTCTTGCCGGCGCCGTTTGGTCCCAGCAAGGCCAGGATCTCACCTTCGCGCAGGCCTAATGAGACGTCTTCCACGGCGTGAGTGCCGCCGAAACGCTTGGACACGTGCAACATGCGCAGGAGATCGGTCTTTGAGGCTTCGACCCTGGCGGTCTCGGTGTCGACGTCGGGCCGGCCTGATGCCCCAGCGGCTGCCCTCTCGTTGTCGGTTTGTGGCGTTTTGGTTCTTGAAAAGTGCAGAATAGTTCCGTCGAGCCAGACAAGAAGACCCAGGAAGGCTATGATTTGGATTATCAACAGCAAGATTGGGCCACCAAAGGCATAGATGGAGCCCGGATCATTGATGGCAGTGGTTCCGCGGCACCTAACAATGTACTGTAGAATTTAGAGTCAGTCAATTGGATACAGGGCTGAAACGAAAGTTCCATAGAGACTTACCAAGTTCAAGCTCAATGCAATAGCTCGCAGCAAGTTTTGGATCGGGAAAATCAAGCCCAGAGCGTAGGTTGTGCCGTCCAGAGTGACTGTATCGCCTGCCAAGCTGTCTCCCACGACGACCAAGGTGATCATGGAAGCAACAAACTCAATCATCATGATGATCATTGCCCAGGACAACGCAGCTGGCTGTGACGACGAGAAAGTCGAGATGATGTACGACTGAAGAAGCGCGGCGATGCCATACAGGAATTGGACGAGCCACAAGTGGCCAAGGGCCCAGAACTCCGTGTCCAGCGTGAGGATTAATGCAGTGCATACGACAGAGATGATGAGCACAAACATCATGTCGAAAACCATGTAGGACGACCATAGAGGTAGAGCGTGTATTCCATTGCTGTATTGCAACGCTCGGACTTTTGATCGCCGCTCGTATGTCGGGTACAAGGCAAAAAAGGCAGGGTAAATGGCCATGAGCAGGCAGAATATGATGTTGTATAGGAGAGAGTTTGCTGCAAACGGTATTAGCTCGAGTTTAAGCATTAATGGGGCCGACGGTATGGTCCTTTGGCAGACGGAACTTACACATTTCATACGAGGATACCGATCTCAGATCTCCAACGAGCATCTTGGTGGTGATATTCAACCTCATCATGTTGAAGACATTGGTAAAGGAAACGGAATCGTATGCTGATGCGGAAATAGCAAGTACTGGTGAGGTGGTATTGTCAATGTATATGCCACCCTTGGTTACATTTACGGCGTGATCGTGTATATACTTTGTAAAGTTGTCGTAATTGTTTACAACAACCGGCAAGCCGTTATAGTACTGCGATACGTAATAGAAGTAAACGTTACCCGGAAAAGATCGCTGGCCTGTAGCGAGGAGGCTTTGGTTCGCTGCCTGGTCAGGTCCGACAACTACGCCGCTCGCGCTGTACAGGGAGGATACCGAAGGTTCGTTGGTTCTTCCTACAAGATCTTCGCATTTTGGTGGCTGAAAGCCTACATAACCGCCATCTTTGTAGGTCTGCAAGAGATCTTTGAGAAAGTCTGATCGCAAGACATGTTAGCCATTGGAATGTATTCGTTATGATTTGCTGGAGAAATGGAAAGGAATGAATAATTCTCATCTGCAGTGAAGTGAGAAGGGACACGACAGTGGGTCAAGTTCACTTACACGTTGCTATGATGGGTATAGCCAGTGTCAATATGTAAACCCACCACTGAGTACGCAAGATTATGAGACGCTTAGTAAATAGGGCGTTGAACTGCCTGAAAAACACGGTATGGGGCTTTGGCATCTGATCGGGAATTGAACTCGGGTTCGCTTCGTTGGGCTTTTCGTGGACTATCCCTCCATCGGAATTGCCATCCTTTACCACGTGAGGTTCGTCCGAGACCTTTAAAAAGACATCCTCAATCGTGGGACCCGTGATGAAGTTTTGCGAATCCTTGGTGTCCTCTAGGGTAGCCAAGAGGCGCGCTGCCGAGGAGGAGTCGGGAGTTCTGCAAATGTAGCGATCGCCGTGATCAACGACGGGATACGTGATGGAAGAGACATCCGCCGTCTTGGGTAGGTGCACCCTATATCCCGCACCATATTGGTTCTTCAACTCTGCGGGAGTGCCTTGGCACTTTACTTTACCGAGAGAGACAATGACAATGTGGTCAGAAAGCACCTCGCTCTCGTCGAGAAAGTGAGTGGTAAACACCATTGTTCGACGAGAGCGCTCACCAAGTACGGCGTTCCAGATGACACGGCGCGAAATCGGGTCGAGTCCAGAAGTCACTTCGTCCATCAAGCAGACGGAGCTTCCGCCTACCAACATGCAAGCCAGCTGTAATTTACGCTTCATGCCACCACTGAGGTTTTTGGCCAGAGTGTTTCTCTTCTTGACGAGGTCGCACATTTGGACGAGCTTCTCGAGCGCCGCGGCATCATCAGTGCCGCTCTTGACGGTATTCCAAAAGACGAGATGCTCAAATACCGTCAGCTCGTCCCAGAGAATATTCTTTTGCGGGCAGACGCCAATCTGTGAAGGGAGCGCATTGATGTTGACGGAACCGCCAGTGGGCGTCTGAAATCCGGCAATCATGTCTAGAGTTGTGGTTTTTCCAGACCCATTTGGACCCAAGAGACACAGAATTTGACGCTTTTGACTTGTGAGGTTGAGTCCATCTACTGCCTTGACGACGGGCTTTCCGCGTCCGCAGCAGAACATCTTTCTCCAGATAGAGGGCCCGTAATGCTTCTCGAGACCGGCAGCTTCAATGGCCACATGAGAACCGTCGGCATCAGGGTGTCTGTTAAAGTCGCGACGGCGACGGTTGTTTCCATTCATCCAATGTTCCACCAGCCCGGCGAGTATAGGAAACACAATAATCTGAATGATCAAGAGTATCCAAAGTAGATATGGCCCAACGTTGTAATTCCAACGCCGGACTGCTTCAGAACTAAACATGGTGTCGACATCACCCTTTGGCAGCGGTGAGCCCATGGTGGTGGGCAACTCGAGGATTTCGAATCTGAGGAGGAAGTTGAGAAAGAAGATGTAATTCATGCTGGGGAAGAGCAACGACAGAATGGCAATCTCGGGGACTTCGGGAGGTGTCCGCCCGAGATTGTCCACAAAGGTGGCGGCCACTGCTAGGAGAAAGGCCACAAGAAAGACGATTGTGACAGCAGCGTTGGAGTTTCGGAAAAAGGCGGTCGCAAAGACAGCCGAGTGTGTCGTCGCCCAGCCCGCAAATATTTGCCAGAATATCGGAATGGCCATGTTGGTATGGGGTACAAGTAAGTGTCCGATCACTATAATTGTCAGCAAGGCTCTCGTCCGACGGGTGAAGCAGCATGTTACATACGAGCACCAATGATTATCCATAGAGGCAGATACAAAAGATCGAAAAATAGACTGTAACTAATAATCCTCGGCCAGGCGACTCCTCCTCCCATGGCATCGACGAGCTGAGCAAGTCCAAACTCTCTCTCCGAGGACATCATGGTCGAAGCATGATGCACAACCGTCAGCATTGACAGGAAGAAGGCGAATCCAAGAATGACACGGGCGGTCTCCAGGTATGACTGCCTCGTTCGCTTTGCGGCCTCATCGACATCAACCATGGCGTATGAGTAGACTTCTGGCATGGAGGTCGTGTTTGCAATGGCATTGTCAATGGCAACTTGAAGGGGCACCCAGAAGTTCTCGTACAGAGTATCGTGGTTGACAACGTCGACGACTCCCCCTGATCGGCGATTGGGGTCTACCTGGATGGAATATGTCCAAGTGTCATTGACTGCACCGTTGCCAGGGGAGTCTCTAAATGTGAGTACTGCATGACAGTTGGAGTTGCCGTGGAAGTCGACATTGCAAGCATCCCATACCTCGTCGGCGCTAGAGAGACGGATGATCTTGTCTTCGCCGAGAGGCTCGGTTATTGTTTTGATGACTTGTTGCACATCGCTCGTCTGGTTTGCTAGTTGAACAATGGCGAGCTTCCTTGAGCTGTCGATGGAGTCTGCCAGGCTCTTGACCGTAGCGGGGGAACCCACGCCATTATGGCTCGTCTTTTTCGTAAAGTTGGGAATCTCGAGGAGTAGTATGACAATGATGAGTGGGAGAATATAGGCACGGAACAGTGTCCAGCCGAACGACCGGACGACTGCTACCGTATAATTCTTTTTCGTGAGTGCCCAGGTCTGGCGGCGTATGGTGTCAAACGCCACTGCCATGGCTGCAACTTTCGTATCTCGCCTACAACTCAAAATCCAATGTTTTAGTTTGATAGAAATGTGTATGTTGTGCAAGAATGCATCTTACTACTCAATGTTTGATGAATCTGATAGTGACCCTTGGGAGCTCGGGGAGGAATATTAGTATTCACTTTTCTTCCAGTCTGTCTGTCTTCCATAGATGATCTGATTTGTTACAGCCACGGGAGATTGCCATCCTAAAACGGATACTGCGCTGTTTGCAAGTCAAAGTTTGAATTCATATGGGTAACACAGCCGCGGCGGTGCCCAAGATGGTTAGCCAGAATTCATTTTCAGCATGTACACTTCACACGGGACCGAATTCTGAAGATCTCTGTTCTATTCGTATAACCATGTCAGCATGGTCTGAAAGTGTGTCTCGACCTGCATGGTCCAATCAAACATGTAGGACACGGCTGGTTTCTCTCCAGGCAACAAAATTAAGTCACAGATTATGGACTCCTACTATTAGCCTACAGCATCAGGGACTCAGTCAAATGCCCAAACCAGCAGAGATCGGATAGTGTTGACAAGAAAAACACCATTAGGCAACAGAATAAAGTAGTTTTGAGTTGCATTAGTGGTAGCCCGCCGAGCCCGCCCTCACGCCCATCTGTGCGCGAAGGAATTAAGCTTGCGGCACGGAGGCTTGGCATTTGTCTATTGTATGCGACTTTCGATTAAGGCAGTTGGTGGAAGGATGCATATTTGCTGGGTCCGACTGGGTCCAAGTACCGTAAGGGTCGTGGAGGTATTTATTTCAATGGCTACCATATTGAACCACGATGGCACTGCCACTATAACCGGCATGCCAAGGTGGGCTCTGCTTCCTCGTACAGGGCACGGGCGCAAAAATGCCCAATCCAAGGGACTTTGATGTCACGATCTTAGGACATGTTTTAGCATGGCCAGCCTACCTAGGTGTTTGCAGGTGCTGCCACGTCGGGCGACATTGTATTCCCCTTGAAGCACAACTGTGCAGATCGAAGCCAAAACTATGAGCGATATTCTATTTTCACCTAGGTCGGTATAGTACTCACGAGACCTCGAGGAAGCACTTTTTCTTTTTTTCCCTTCTTGGCCCCGGAGATATGTCTTTTGATAATCACTGCCCACTGAAAACAAAAAACGACCAGCCAAAAGTTCCACACAAGTTTTTAAAAGGTCGAAGTAAGTCATAAATTGGGGAGCTATACCCGATGTTGACTCCGCTTTGTTACAGTCGCGAATCAATTGACTCTAGTTTCTGGCCTGCTGCACCATGAACACTGGTGGCACTGCGCCTTTGGAAAATAACACCCTTTTCATGGCATGCAAGTATTCCGTACTGATTGGGTAGCTACGTATAAAGACCAGGTGCGCGAATTCGCAACATGCAGAGTCAGAGCATCTTGCTATCAGATCAATGCAGGTATCGCATGGTCAAAGGCAGCTGACCTAGTCCGGTGTTTGATCCGACAATTGAACCTGTGTATGAGTTAGACAAGTGCCGCGGAGTCTCAATTGCGCTGGTAAAGGGAAGAAGAGTATTTGTGTAGTAAATCAGCAAGATTTCGATCATATGCATCAATGTCGCCTCAAAGACCAGGTGATTCAACTCTACCTGGCATGAAATATTGATGAGGTCATCGTTGTAGTGCAAGGGGGCCAAGGGGATGAAGAAAGTCGTTTCCGTACCGAACATATCACAACCAGTCGTCTTATGTTGTTAGAGCACAGCATTTTACTGCATCATCAGTCTCGCAGATTCCAAAGGCTAGACCTAACAATGTCTGAAGTCATGGTCAGTATGAGTAAGGAAAATCGTATTGAACAACACACCTTTTTGACTGCCTAGACGCTACAGCAGGGCTGTAGTGGTATTATCATACAAAGCCAATCTTGTGACTTCAAGCGCATACCGAAACTCAAAACCTGTCCTCGGGCTTCTTCCAGCCGGCCATTCGAGACACCTCTCCAATGCCAGAGAGAACATAGTCGACTCCGACCTTGACAATGCTTTGACGCTTATTCTTTCCATCCGTGCTGCTCGACGGCTGTTCCGAGCCCATGGTTGGCAGCACATTGTCGCTGGCGGACAAGCTGACAAAGAGCGCAAAAGGGATGAACCAAACACAAATACCGAAATATGAGGCAATCTCGGCAAAGGACGGTATATCGGGTTGGTCATAGATGTTGCTAAGGCGGGAGTAGGATCGCTGCTGGACCGCGGAGAAGTAGCGGAACCAGAAATAGTGGTTGACAAGCACGAGCACTGTCCCATGTTAGTGATGGCTTCTCATAGAGAGGGAATCTGCCCAGACATACCACAAGAAACAACGAACAAGGGATCCGTCAATCGCACAAATGGGAAGCGTCGCATGTTGCCAAGATAAACAACGTGAGAGACGATGCTCATCAAGGACAAGGTAAAGGGCAGCCCGTCAATCAGCCATAGTATTGTTTGCAGTCCAATGATGCCGAATATGAGTTGCGTCAGGAGTCGCTTGGCAATGACCGTATGCTCTTCGACGAGCTCGGAGAGATAGTAGAGACCGGAGGCTATAACAATGTTCAAGTCAGCGCTGCGGCTCGAACAGATCCCCCAAAGGAATCGCGTTCCTCAAGCTCCAAGGATTTCCTCAAGACTGGCAGCACTAGGAAATGCACACATACCTATGGCCAAGGTCAAGAAGCAAAAGCCCACGATGGAGCCGAGGTAGCCAACCAGAGGCAGAATCCACATTATGACTGTCGCTGGCAGAGTTGCATTGTAAGGAAAGGCGAAACTATTTTGTAGGTTGCTGACCAAAACAAGGTGTCGGTCGTCGTAGAATGCATAAAAGAATGAATGAATGAATGAATGAATGGTTGTTTTCTTGGTTGCAAGTTTGAGCTGTCGCACCTGGCGTAAACTCAATGCGGCCACAATGAATCCAATGCATGGATGGACGCATGCGACGGGACCATGACCTCAACCGTGGCTTCAACAGAGCTCTGCCCAATGAGAGCAGCAGCATTTCGGAGTTAAGATTTACCTATCTGCTGCGATAAGATCAAGCTGCCCCACCAAAATTTTGGAGGGGTCCAGGGAATCGTCGGCGCTGCGAATTTGCGAATGAACGCCTAGAACGGTCACCTAAACTGCAAGCCAAATTCAAACGGGAGGGAACGGGCAAGAAAGAGATACGAATCGACCTCGTGATCAGCCAGCCACTCTCAAGTCCCCTCAAGAATACACCGCCCAACATGTCGAGACCCGAAGACACTCTGGCGGCCGACGTCCACTACGACGATGTCGAAGCCCGCAAGTACACCACCTCGTCGCGTATTCAGAACATCCAGGCGTCCATGACCCACCGCGCCCTCGAGCTTCTCGACCTTCCGGGCCCTTCTTTTATCCTCGATGTCGGCTGTGGAAGTGGCCTGTCGGGTGAAATTCTCTCCTCGCTGTCGCCAGACGAAGGGGGTCCTCACGTTTGGGTCGGCATGGACGTCTCGGCCTCCATGTTGGACGTGGCCCTGCAAAGAGACGTGGAGGGAGATCTTCTACTGGCAGATATTGGACAAGGTGTACCGTTCCGTGCCGGTTCATTCGATGCAGCCATCAGTATCAGTGCCATTCAGTGGTTATGCAATGCAGAGAGCAGCGACACATCGCCTCAAGGAAGATTGTCGAGGTTTTTCGGTGGGCTCTACGCCAGTCTCAAGAGGGGAGGAAGAGCCGTGTGCCAATTCTACCCCAAGAACGACGAACAAAAGAAGATGATCACGGGTGCCGCAGTCAAGGCCGGGTTCGGCGCTGGTCTGCTCGAGGACGACCCCGACACCAAAAATGTCAAGGTCTACTTGGTTCTCACAGTCGGACAAGCTGTCATTAATGGCCAAAGTGGCGACATTACCGGAGTCGTCAAGGATATGGACAATGTGGATGTCATGGATATCAGGAGAAAGGCTGCCGGCTCACAGCGCGACGTCAAGAAGGGCAGCAAAGCCTGGATTGTCAAGAAGAAGGAACAAATGGAGAGGAAAGGAAAGGTTGTCAAGGCGACATCGAAATACACTGGCCGGAAGAGAAGAATTGCTTTTTAAGCACCATCGCAAAGGACATACCCATGCATTTTCGGCGGCGGAGTTTAGGAGTTTCAAGGAGGGTAAAGAAAACTTGTTATTTTCAACTATTGCAGTCTTTTGGACCTTGCACATACTACATATACACAATGCAATATGGTATGCATTTTATACCAAGCACAACGAAATGTTTCCAAAAGTCAGAATTGTCCCTATGATGTGATGCGCATGGCCCATCCTCGCTGATGGCATCATGTCATTGAATCATGGATAATTTCAAAGAACATTTCAATTTTAGGTTTATGATCACGATTCGGCCTGTTTCATTGAGGCTCACAAACAAGTCTTGCTTGGTTGGGAAAGGGGGAAAACACCCCTCTCCCCCTTTCCATGCATGCATCCATCCATTCATTTGTTCAGTGGGAATAGCCAAAAACAAGAATATATATATAGATGAAAAAAGAATAGCAAAAACAAAAAAACCACTGTTGTGAGCACTGGGGGTCGAACCCAGGCGACTTTCGTCAGTAGAGCTTAAATCTACCGCCTTAGACCACTCGGCCATGCTCACTAGACACAGCAAAGGTTTTGCGGCTTATCAAAACTTAAGTCAGTGCGCTAATCCCCAGCTATTCCCAGCTGGATGCCCCGGCGCATTCTATTTTCAACATGACTTTGTAAGCAATAACTGCAATAATACAAACTAAATCCCGCAGTCTGTTATTTAAATATCATATATATAGGCTTAAAAATGTTATGTAACGTTTTTAGTAAATGCTGCAATATTACTTGAGCGACAGACAGACAGTATAGATAAAGCGTCATCAGTGTTCTTCAAGCGAGGCGTGTAACTCTTTGTGTGGCTCTATTCAGCAATTTCTCCAGCGCTAATTCATGACCCGCTCGACACAGAGAGCTCATGCAATACATGAAACCAGATGATGTGATCAATATGCGCGGATTGATCTGTCGGCAAGGTCTCGATTGACCTTGGGAGAACATTTGATCTCCTCTGTCAATACGACTACACGCTGTGATTGCTATTACTTTTATATTTAGGGCTGTCCCGACATGATCTCGTCGAGTCAGAAATGCTTGGGAGAGGACGTCACTCCTCACATAACCATGGTGACTTGTGGTCTGTATGCCACATCCGTCTCTTGAAGTCTGAACAGGAATCAAGTCTCACCAGAAGAGTCAAATAAGTCAAGATAGAGCAACAGTCAAAACTAGGGCGATGAAGAGTTGTCAGTTATAATTGCCAAACCACGTTATCATTGAATGTGAGCTTTATTTTGGGTGCGATTGTCCCTTCTGATAATTTGGCATAATCCATGAAGCATGATTTCACTTTTCAATATGAATTAAATTGATTGTGTCCCCCGTATACAAACGTGATTGAACATTTGCATTACAATCTGTGATGTAAAGTTCATGTCGAGGTGAACACCCATGGAACATGAGCCTTTGAAAATCATTTTTCATATTTACCCATCTCTTTGACCTGTAAAAGTATACAATAAATATCGTCGAATTTCTTTGTGTTTCTCTCTTGACTTGAACCATAGATTTCATGTCGGCCCCCTGTTAAAGGAGCGTTCGAGGTAACCACACTGCGACTCTGTTGACGATAACTTGTCCCGTCTGATCGAAACGATGAATACTCCCACGAACGTCCATGTTGACCATTTTGTCCTTGAACGCTTTATCACCTTCTTGAAAGCCGTTCAAGGGAATGATTTTCCGTTGGATCGTCGACGTTGTCGTGCCCGGTCGTGCCCGCCTTTCTAGGTGAATATTTCTTGGGAAAAGGTCCCCTCGTCGTCGACAATGGTCTCTATGCAAACACAGCCGCGGCAGGAACCTCAAAATGAAGTTCTCGCGAGTACCAGGTGCAGCGTTTGCGGTCTGTGCTGAGCACCTTCAATACCAAGGTCATCCAGGTTCTTGATTTCCTTCCAGCTATTGCCCTTCTCCCTTTTGCATTCCTACAGCAATCAACTGACCTCTACTTTAGTGGTTGCTGACAGTTGGTCATCATCACCAATGATTGCAGAAGCAACATCAACTACGTGAGATAACCCGCAGCCCTCATTCGAGCAACGCGCCAAAATGTCGAACATTGCTGCCGACCTTCTCGAGCAGCTACTCCGAGTCGCTGGTTCTTATAACGACTTCGATGTTTATCTTGCAGTCGAGTCCTTTGAGATCACAACCGCCTTGGCCGACCATGGTAGAATCGTTGCAGATCTTTTCCGCTGTGTGAGTAGATGAATCTTGGCACCAGATCTCTCAAGAGGAGGCGGCACATTGACACTGAAGCAGATCATCGTTGAGGCCAGAAACCATCCCAACATTGATCTGACCGACGACGAGATCGTCGCCCTGCTGAGAGTCTCCCACAAGATCCGAGTAAGCAGTTCACCTTCACGAACCCCCCGATGAGGAAGAGTCTCTAATCTTTTTCGTTTTCACCAGTTCAACTATACACTCGTCGATGCCGTCAACCCCGAGATTGCCCCCGAGGTCATCCTTCCCACCCCGACTGCACGCTGGTACAAGAGAGCCCGAGCCCGCGTTCGCAACATCATGACCCCCGTCACCGCCGAGCGTCCTGCTGGACCTCAAACTCCTGCCACTACAGGCTCTGGAACCATGCGTACCTGGCGCGAGAGACCCCCGACCAAAACCTCTCTGCGCATGATGATGACCACTGCCAAGGCTGCGTATCGTCGCCGTCGCCATGGTCGCAAGGATCGTGACCACTAAGGGATTTGTTCCAAAGTCGCTGGGAAGGGCAAGTATGTTCTACAGATCCAGGGCTATGAATCAGCTTTTCGGGTACTTGGTCGCTGGGAAGACACATTGTTCCGCGGAGGATGGGCAGATGGAGACTTCATAGCTAGTATAAGAAGCGAATTGAGGCGTACATGGAATCAGGAACCAGCAAATATTCCTTTCTGATCCCGTCCTTGCATGACTCACGTGCTTAATTTGGTAGATCAGTGCCCAAATGCAATGTTACGTCCAAAGACGAGATGCTTTGATCCAAAGTTTACTTCTTTCATCTCTTCTCCTCTATCCCTATAGGATCAAGTCTCAGTAGGAGCAAGTCAGATAAAAGGGATAATAACTAAGCTTTATTGTGGGTATCAAGAGGTATCTAGGGGTCTGGTCGTTTCTTTTGGTCATTTATGTGTGGGCAAATATGTACAAGAATGGTTGTGTGAAAGCCAGAGGTCTATCAAGAGAAAGTCGTGGCATCCGCAACAATTACTTCATGCTAAAGTTTCGGGAGCTATGTTTGGTGTATGCCTTTCCTGGGCGCCCGTCGTCCCAGTCAGAGTCGTTGGCAGCGGACGAGTAACAATGCACGCTGTACTCGTCGGTCCGGGTAATAGCATGGAGCTCCGTCTCGTCGTTGCTGCCGGTCGGCGAAGGTTGGTTGGGTATGGTGTGGATCATGTCCTCGACCGAGTCCGTGTGCGAGTAGCCTTTGGCTCCGGGCATCATTGATCGCCGCGCCGACGCATTGTTGATGTACTTGCTGGATCGGCTTGTGCCAATCGTCTTTGGGTTCGAGCTGGAGCCGCCCGATCGGCCGACCTTGGAGACGGCGCCCCGCCAGGCTCCCGCCAGCCACGCGTCCATCACCGGAAGGGAGATGGTGATGATGCCTACACAGACGTCCAGTGCCGTCCAGATCAGCAGCTCCGTGTAGTCCCACATGAGATCCGAGGAGAAGTCGGCGCGCAGTTGCCGCACTACGAGATGATGTTAGTTGATGCTCAGGTGTTTGTTGTTTGACCAGAGACCCAGGGTATGGCTGTCGAAAGGGCATGAGGAAAGTACTTACTGAGTCCGCAGATGACGGCAATGAGACCGACTGTCCACATCCCAAACAATCTTGCTTTTTTATGTTTATCCATCTGAACTTTCCAAAGAATAACCATGGGCGAGAGCAAAAGTATCACTCCCTGTACAACATGTGTAATGTTGAAAAAGAGATTCTGAACACCTTGGATGCTCGAAGGCTGGCACGTTGCTGGATGTATGATCATGCCGGCAAAGAGCTTATCCCACTGCGCCCGTGCGGGTGTGCAAGTAAAGACTTCCCAGAAAATGGCGGCGGCAATATACAGGATGAGTGTGACGAGGAAGAAGTCGCAGAACCACTTCCAGTGTCTCGAGGCCCGGTCGGCTAGTCGTCGGATAAAGAGCGTCAAGGAGATCTTGACTAGTCCTACGGTAACGTAAAAAATGAACTTGTCGATGACTCCATAGTAGTAGAAAACATTATATTCTTCGTAGGTCACATCCCATATGTGTTTCCCGCCGCCGTGAGTGGCCATGCAGAGTTGACAGGCTGTATATGTGATGCCCATGGCCTGGGTGTGACAATGCGTTAGTATTCATCTGTGTCTGGCATTGCAGTGGGTGTATCAAGGCCATGCCAGCTTGCACCAGCTTTACAATGTGACCAGATGGACAGAGTAGAGCACTTACAGCAGCCGCGATAGTTGCCCAGTCATCAGCACCAAATCGCATTTGTGACATTGCAGCCCTCAGCGCGAGTCTTGTACCAGTCGCAGTCACTATGGCCACAATGACGATTGAGAGGCCAACAATGATTCCGGGTGTTCGGGGCGCATAAGTGTATCCATCGTATGGTTTCTGAGCAGCAAGCGTATAACCCAAACCAGGATCGACCGTGTACATTCCGTAGCCTCGCAGGAACCCCCGAACGATATACCAGTCCCTCTCCGTGTTGGGTGGTTGGCCTATAAAGGCCGACGTCGAGTTCGACATATCAACAGGAACACCGTTCACATGAAGACAAATGCGACACGATGCTCGAGAATCTCAATCAAGTCGAAGACCTGAAAGAGCCAAGGACTGCTTAGCCCAAGATACATATATGCTTTTTGCTCGACGAGATGCAGGGGAGGACGTCCCAGACAGGGCTCCGGTGCTCGGTTACCGAAGTTGCGGTATAGACACACAGCAAACTGGCAAAGCTTTCAACGATCCTCGCTTGAATCAGATTTCTATTACTTTTCGATCGATGGCTGCGGATTTCTATTGTTATTACAACCCGTTGCGAGAGTAGTAGATTCAAGGGTGTTGAGCTAAATTTGCTCGGGCGCTGCCATATTAGGCCTTGAGAGCGATTATGTATAGCTGGAGACAGGGACCTAGAGACCCAACCACATATTCGAGACAACCGGCGATCCTTGACCATGAGCAATTTTGCTTGTCAGCACATTCGCCATTTCGGTAAGCCGATGAGGGATCGTCTCCATTCGTTACCTTGTCAGAGGTTGGCGGCGCTGCCGCATCAACCGCATTGCCTGGCTTGCGTGGATGGAGCCCGGTAGTTGGGCCTTACAAGACCCTTACTCCCCGTTCACTACGCTTTCTCAGCTTGTCAAGGTCTTGGTGTACCCATATGATTGACATTTCGGTGGGCATACATGTGATGAGTTTTACTGTGTGCTCGACTACTATTCTTGATCCGCCACCAAAGCCCTGAATAGACTCTCGCCATGGTCGACGAGGTTGTCCCATGGTGTTCAGATATGATAACATTATGCGACAGTGACTAGAAGCCTTTCAAGCATGAGACATGGCCAAAGTGTTGGTAGCCTGTATCATCACGCGGCATACCAAATAAAGCCAAATAGAGTGCTGAACGTTGCCAAGCACTGCTAGTGGTGAAGAATGCTGAAAATCGCTAACGACTCGAGCAAGACCCACGATGTGTAGCCCCATCGTCACAGGACGCTATGCTAACAAGGGATATCCTTACATACAGACCCCGGCAGCTAAAAATCAGTTTTTGCACCATCGAGCAGTCGTGTAGCGAGTAGCGAGAGGCAAGAGAGAGGTTCTGCAGAGGTATTGCGTGTCCGTTGAACTCGTGGAGGAAATGCTCCATGATTTATGAGATGCAAGCCAGTTGCTGGATACAAATATTTGTGGGAATATTGAATCCAATACCTATGACAAGCTGACCGCTACAAATCCCATCTTCAACGTTTTTAGGTTAACAATGTCTCCATAATGTCCCGGGGACGCCTGTCTGAGCGCTTGAACCAATTCGGATTTTGCTTTAAACTTCTAGCCGCACTACTGGTAGGTGATTATGCTCCTTGGCGCTCGCAAGTCGACCTTCGAATTCGGAAGGAGGTTTGCTTAGTTATATTACATAGCCCTGTTTGGATACGAAAGTTGAAACGGCAACCCAAATCGAGCTTTTCAGATAACCGAGAAAGCATAGAAGAGTCCGTGTGCCTTCTACTCTACCTACCATGGCATACTTCGCGCTCTGAAAGTTTAACGTGCGCCATTACCGTGCGAATGTGCAAAACCAGGTGTTGGTATACACGGCTAATCCACTGGTAATCTTATCTGATCATCAGCAGGAGGCCCGCATAAGAATTTTGATACTCGTGCCCACTACACAGTAGTATCCTAACTTCAGACGGCCAAATATCTACCAAAAGAATTATAAAAAATACAATTCAAGAAATGTAATATTTCCCTGCTCTTGGAGATTGATTCCCCTTGTTACAGCTCAATTTTTCGGTCGGTTCACCTTTGTTTTGTGGTATCGAAAACCACCCGTTTTGGTGACGAGTGTCAAAATTCTTCTGCAGGGGGGCTGTCAGATAAAAAGTCTGCCTCCGATCCTTAGCGACAGCCGCTCCACCAAGCCGATCGATGCCCGCTTTCAAGGAAAGGGAAGAAAAAATAAAGGAAAAAAAACTCAACTGACAAGGGCATACATGCTGGAGACGGGCAGGTATCTGATAACAGATCTAGCGCATTCTCAGTCAGCGTGACCGAGAAGATCTGCAAGAGAGGTCAAAGAGATCAGCAATATCATTGCCTGGAGTGGTGTGCTCGTGAGCGCAATAGCGGTAACCCACGTGTCAACCATGCCCTGGGGCCATCACCCATATCTCACAAATGCGTGCATTTGTCAATCATACAGCAAGTTGCATCAAAACACGATCTTCTTGTTCATGACAGCAGCAACGAGGCTGCGACAAGGCTGAAATGACAAGTCAGAGCGCTTAAAGGGTCAACTTGATCCTTGCGCTGCCCCGGACTGCCCGACATACACTAAGGTTACACATACTTTCCCCGCGTGAGCGGCAATTGTCCAGATCTGACTGTGGCTTAAAATATCTAGTGCTAGGTAGTCTACCTAGATCATACTGATATTGACTCTGTTGTATATAAACCGATATGACTTCCCGGAGACAATAAATGCTCCGTATTTCCGCGGGTTTCTACGACTCGAACCTCGATGCGATTATACCGTACATTGAACTCCATCCCGACTGCAGTGTCCTTCCTGTGGTCCAAGTTTTCTGCGAGCACGTACGTATTTTTTTCATACTCGGATCCACTTTGTCGGCCAGTCTTACAGCCTGTGAGAGGCATACGTCTAGTCATCCCAAGCTTGGTAAGTAAATAGTAGAGAGACAACATCTATTGATGAGAAAATGTCTTTGCAGGTAAAGTTCAAGGTAGCACTTGAATGGGTTTAGGGGAGCACAGACCAGACCTTCAGCCCATTGTCGCTAGTTTCCTTTGTTGGAGGGTACCCGTGGGCACCCATATTCAATGACCAGTCAGTGTATCTGCCCAATGCACGATGATATCTAGCCCTCCATTGAGAGTATACAGTGATGCAGTGAATGTATACCCATCTCACCCTTCTTGCTACATAGAAAATGCTTCTTCATGAGATCAAGTCCTCTCCATTTCAACGGCGAACAACGGTCAGTGGTGCCTCGGCTGAAGCAATATTGTAAGACCATGCTAATATCCGAACCCCCTTCAAAACCCCACCAGCAACAGCAACCTCCAGCCCTTGACATCGCTTAGGGGTCCACGCTCGTAGCCGATCGTTGTTATTTGTATGTTGGGTGGACGTCTTTCCTTGGCCAGAACTTGACTGGACTTTTTCTCAACCCGCGCTCGCCGTCGTCATTAGCCAGTCCAGTCACTCTTTTTTTTTTTCCCTTTCCCTCGACTTTTTAGTCGGTTGTTTACGTTCCCTCTTTTTGGCTTGTCTTGGCGAGGCGTGTTCATCATGGTCCGTTCGTTCCTTGTTCCATTCTTTTCCCTCGCCGCGGGTCTGTCTGTCTCGGCCCATGTGCCGGAGCCGCGTAACACGGCCAAGGCCAACGGCACCGGTGTCGTCAATTCCACCGCCGCCAACTGCACCGGAGTCGCCGCTGTCTCCCCACGCTGCTCCTCCAGCGAGGTCCTGTACACGCGCGATGTGTACTATGTGGGTGGTCGGTTGATCAATACTGGCTCTGCTAATATCACGGCCGATCAGTAAGTGCTGCAATTTTTCTTATTCTACTTTTTTCTTCTTTTAGACACCTACTCCGCGAGACACTGAGGACCCTTGTCCGCCTTATGCCCATATCCCGGCCGTGCTTGTACGTCATGACGGTTGAAAAAAAGACACTAATTTTTTTATTATAGACTCTATGTCGAGAAGCTCACTCCCAGTGGCGGTGTTCAACATGCTCACCCGCTCGTCTTCTTCCATGGTGGTGCCGTGTCGGGCGTGACATGGCTGAATACTCCAGACGGGAGAAGAGGCTTTGCTTCCTACTTCCTCGAGCAAGGCTATCAGGTCTACCTTCTTGTAAGCAAGCCCGCATTCTACTCTCTGGGTCAACTTTGTTGCAAAAAATTCCCGAGCATGCTTGAGATCTTAACATCACCGTTGCTCCAATGGAGTATATCGCGCATCGTCATTAAACCCCACAATACTGACCCAATCACTTGTCAAGGACCACACTGGCGTCGGCAGATCTTCCCAGGAAGATACCTCTGAATATGTCCTCTGGAACTCCACAGGCATTGACGGTGTACAATCGGGTTTTACTGCGCCAGAGTTGGCTGCTACTTACCCTCAGGCTGTCAACCATACGCAATGGCCTGGCACTGGCCAGAGAGGCGACCCTTATTTTGAGCAGTTTGCCAAGGGCGTCATTCCCTTTACCAGCAACTGGACCGTGGGCGAGCTGTCCATGCGGGCCTCGGGCTGTGACCTGCTGGAACTGATTGGTCCCTCGTACCTAGTATCGCACTCCTCGGGCGCGCAGTATCCCATTCTGCTGTCCAACGACTGCCCGGACCTGGTGGCAGGCAACATAAACCTTGAGCACTCTACGCAGCCGTTTTGGAACTATGGTACCACCTTGAACTCTGGCTCGTCGATTCGTCCTTGGGGTCTGGCTAATACTCCCTTGACCTACGACCCTCCGGTTTCGGACGCCTCGGAGCTGGACAAGGTGTGGGACGGCAACGACACCTTGGCCCTGCGCCGGTGCTACCTCCAGACCGAGCCCGCCCGCCAGCTCCCCCAGCTGGCCAAGGTGCCGTACCTTTGCACCACCGGCGAGGCTAGCGTGCACGCCACCTATGATCACTGTGTCATCAACTACCTCGAGCAGGCCGGCGTCAAGACGGACTGGATCAAGCTCGCTGACGTGGGCATTCACGGTAACGGCCATTTCGGTCATCTGGAGCTCAACAATCTCGACATTGCAGAAGTGGTCCGAGAATGGATCGTAAAGCAGGATGCTCTGTCCAGCTAATTGATGCACCGCGAGCTTATTCATGCTTGGCTCGGCCCGGCTCTAGACATGCTCCGAAAGCCACGGCGCCTACATTCGACACGTTCGTTATATACCCGTGCCACGCCCCCACTTATCTGGATGGATTCGTTCCTCACCAACCGTAAGTTGGTGCTACACACCTATTTCGTCAGATCACCTTTTTTCGTCAGACCCATTTCCCACAATTTCCTATATTTTCATACATTATAACAAATTAACGAAAAATCGCAAAAATATACAGATTTTAAATTCTTAATATTTTAATATAACTTTTCCTCGGAGATTTAAAAAAAAAATTGCAATTTATTAATATTCGCGGAGATGCACGTATATAAAGTTATAATATTAAAAAGTTGAATATTCTTTAATAATAAAGTAAAACTTTAAATTTTAAATTAATTATATATAATTATAAAAAGAATATATATAAATTAAAAACTTTTATATTTTTCCGATTTTTCCTCGCTTTTTAATATATAAAAATGTAAAAAGTTAAAAACTTGAATATTTTAACGAGAAAAAATCATATAAAGTTAATTTTAACTTTTTATATTATTATTTATTTAGCTTATTTTAAAATTATTTTTTTCATTTTTATAATTTCTTTAATAATAATTATATCGTTAAATAACGAATTGACGATAAAAGGTGATCTGACGAAATAGGTGTGTAGCACCAACTTACGGGTTGGTGAGGAACGAACACATCCCGATAAGTGGGGGCGTGGCACGAGTATAGATATTGAATGGTAATTCATAATTGATCATGTTTGACAGCTTCTCGCCTTGAACAATGTACAAATCTATTCTCCCTCCTTTGCAATGACACTGTTCTGAACAGTACTCTTTCAGTAACATGACCATCCGGGTTTCTCATCCATTGAGGCGTGTGTAGGTATGTACCTAGGTAGGTTTTGACTTGGCTGCTACTCCGGACATACTGTCAATCTTTAACATGATATAAGCCGAGCGCGTCCATGATTGTCAACCTTGATCCAGAGTTTGAGTTTTCTTTTGCAGTTTTTTTCAGTCATTTGCCCATCATGGCCAAACACCTCTGTGGAACACCACGGCCATATGTTTGGGTTCTTATATCAGCGAGAGATTGGACTCCTCGACTTCCTTACAAGTTATTCCATCCTTCCCCCGCAAGATCCAATTCTGCAATTATCAACTTCACACCATAAGCTGTCCACCATGACCAAGATTCGTCATTTATACGTCTTCATCATACTCGCCATCATCGCAGCTTGGCTGCCTGGAGTCAACGCCAGAAACTGGGTTCCTCATCCTAAATCCTCTACTCCAGAGTTCGTAAAGTGTATGGAGTTTAGAAACACGCCATGCCTAGAGCCAAGAGACCGGGAATGGGATCAATATGCCGCCACGTACAATATCCGAGTACCCGTGACACCAAAATTCATTGCATTGCCGAGGTCCATCGATGAGGTCGCCCTGGCCATGGAATGCGTGCACATTTGCGGTCTGACCGCCCAGGCAAAGTCGGGCGGGCACTCCTATGGCTCCTTTAGCAACGGAGGCTTTGACGGCGAGGTCGTCGTCGACCTGCGGGAAATGCAGACGGTCCATGTCGACTCCAGGACCAACGTTGCCAGGGTCGATGGTGGTCTGCGCTTGGGAAACCTGGCCGTAGCGCTGTACCAGCAAGGTGAGAGGGCTCTGGCGCATGGCAGCTGCGCGGGTGTTGGCATCGGAGGTCACTTTACTCACGGCGGATATGGATTCGCCAGCCGTGCTTGGGGCTTGGGCTTGGATCAGATTATCGGACTTGATGTTGTCTTGGCCAACGGCTCTATAAGGTATGCATCTCAAGATAACAATACGGAGCTCTTTTATGTAAGTATGGACGAATCATGAGATACTGCACTGCGACTCATGCACAAGTATAGGGGATGCGAGGTGCCGCCGACTCGGTCGGTATCGCCGCCAGGTTCCATCTCAACGCGCAAAAGGCACCAGCAGCCGTGGTAAACTTTCGACTGGATGCCAGCGACGCGACGCACAGCACCGACGCCACTGTGGCGGCATTCCTGACGGTCCAGGACTTTGTTCACAACAAGAAACACAATGCCGTGGACAGTAAGCTCGGGTTCAGCATCTCGCTGCAGTACAACCAGTTCTCGCTCAGCGGCATCTATCTGGGAACGCTGGAGGAATTCAACACCAAAGTCCGGCCCGCCATGGTCGAGGGACTGCCCAATGCAACAGTGGATGCAAAGCAGCTCGATTGGTTGTCGTCGTTGGTGGATCAAAATGACGGCCAGCCGCTGGAAATCGCCGAGCCCTATACGGCGCGTGCAAATTTCTACGCCAAGAGTGTCATTGTTCCCGAACCTGGATTGGACGCCGACCAAATCAGACCTTATATTGATTTCATTTTGAATACAGATTCTCCCACACCATTCTTTGCCTACTTTGACCTTTGGGGAGGTGCAGGCAGCTTCATCAACAAACAGGTGAGTACCCTGAACCATACCCGGGAACCACTGGTGATCTTTACTAACATGGAGTGTCCTTTTCCACAAAGTATAAACACTGGACCGCTTTCCCTCACCGCGACAGTCTATGGGTTGCCCAACACTATGCCTGGGTCGACAACAACGCCACGTTTCCCAAGGAAGGCATCAACTATATTCACAACCTCAATGACTTTCTAGGTCGCGCGGTCGATACTGCTGCCAACTTTAAGCGCATGTACAAGTCGTACTTTGGCTATCTCGATCCGCTCATGCGCCCTGACAAGGCCCGGGACCGGTATTACGATCGATACACGGATAAACAGCTAAGGATACTCAAGTCCAAGGTGGACTATGGGAATCGATTCCGTAATCCTTATACTTTTGAGCACAATTGATCCCCCAGCACAGTGGTGGACTACAGTTGAAGGGCTGCGAATCAATTGGTGTGGCATTTTGGGGGAAAAGAGAGAACACGTATGAAATCGAGAGCTAGTATTGATAGTAATGCATTATTTTACATAGCACGTAGACACGGGACAACGCATGGTGACTTGTTCAAAAATGCAGTAGAATTTCGTCCTCGGAATGACCCCTATAGGTGTGACAAGCACACCAACTCTAGGTGAATAGTAAAAGCCAGCTATCCCGTTGCATCATGATACATTTCCTCCAATAACCCTCACGATGATCCTTTCCCTCATGTCGCCCCTGGAACACGATCAAACACGGATTTCCCGTGATTGCACAGTCGGCTTCTCCTCTATAGTCTCTGTACCCACTGCAGCGTGGTGAGCATCTGGCACACCCAAGATGTTGCCACCCTTTTCGACGTGGTTTTGTCCTCCAAAGAGTACATCAATCTCCTCGAGGGCGATACCCTTGGTCTCGGGAATGAAAAAGAAGACAAAGAAGGCAAGGATGATGTTCATGGCCATGAAGAAGAAGAGACACTTCAAACCAGTGTTGGTGAGAAAGGTGGGGAAGAACTGCGAAAAGATGGTATTGGCAACGTTTTGCATCTGCGAGCACATGCCGACGGCCTGGGCGCGGACGTTGACGGAAAAGACCTCGGCGGTCCAGATCCAGGTTGTGGCGCCCCACGAGGGCTTGTAGAAAAAGGTAAAGAGGAAGAGCAAAAAGACGATGCCGATGCCGACCGACTGCGACTTGACGCCGTCGACGGTGGGCGTGGCGAGGCCGACCACGGGCACCACCAGCATGCACACGGCCATGCCAGTGGCTCCGACCATCAGGAGCCATCTACGACCATATCTATCGGCAGTCCAGGCGGCATTCAGGGTAAATAGAATACCGCAAGTAGCATTCAGAGCATTGATGAGGTTGATCGTGTTGTGATCCGTCCAGATCTTCTTGTAAATGGCGGTGGAATACCTGCGATTATTAGCATGTGCTAGAAGAGGGTATTTGAGAGCCAGACTCACGAGTTGAGGGTTCCCTGGCCAGTGAGTTGTTGACCCATGTTCATGATGAAAGCAAGGAAGAGACGCTTGCGAACCGAAGGGTCCTTGAAGAGAGCCGAGTAGTTGCTGCTAATGGCCTCCTTTTCGAATTCAATAGCTTCACGGATGGCCAGAATCTCGTCTTCCACTTCCTGTTCCGTGTTGCGGATCTTTCGGAGGACATTTCGTGCCGCCTCGATATTGTTGTGGCGCTTGATGTACCATCGAGGGGAGTCGGGCTGGAATGGCAAGAGGACGAGGACAATGATGGGAACGAGCATTTGAAAGATGACAACCATCTTCCAGTCCCATTCGCCAAGCCTAGCCTTGTACTTGCCAGTGGCAAAGGCAATCCAGTAGGCAATGAATGAACCGACAGAGTAGTTGAGCTGCCAAAAGGTCATGATGGTTCCGCGAATCTCTGCCGGCGCCATCTCGTTAATGTAGACGGGGCCTGCAGTCAAGGCGATGCCCTGGCCCAGACCAATAATGACACGACCGGCAATGAAGCAGCCAAGCTTGTGGTAGGGGGAAAATGTCTGCAGGAAGGTTGCAATAATAGTGACGAAGCAGCCAGTGCCCATGCCGACGCGGCGACCGAAGTAATCAGCCTGTCAAAAGTGAGTTAATAAACTGTGTGGACAACGTCCTAGATGGATAACATACAATGGGACCGCCCATGAACCAACCTGCTACAATTGCTCCAATCGTATAGGCAGTGTTGATCAGACCGAGCAGATAAGTGTCCTTGTCGGGGTCGATATCCATCCATGCCAGCCAGTTTGTCGAGCCTTGTGCAGCATTAAAGACGGACGCATCGTAGCCATACAACACCATGCACATGGCAGCAACCAGGCACACATACCTCGACTTGTTGTTAGTATTGGAGGTGCTTGGGCAGTCGACCAAACTTACCAGTTGTAGACTCTCTCCTTGGTAGGCATCTTGGCGGTCTAAACAGGCAAAAGCCCGTCTCTCGTATAATCGGGTATAGTAGCGAGACACAGAAAACAAGACTTTCACCGCGATCGTGTACAGAGGCAAATAAAGAAGTCTTCCTCTCCCAAGCCGACAGAAAAAGAGAAAAGTCGGGATAGATTATTATTTGGGCGTGCACCACAAGATATAAATGCCCATGCAAGATGCTCTTTCAACGTGATTGGATCCCCAGATAAAGCGAGTATCATTGATTACGTCCGGGGTTGGCACATGGGTCTGGGCCAGTCAAGACTCGCACTACACCTCCAAGGCAGGTTGGTTGTGCGTGGCTCCTCGCTTCTACGGTACGGGCCAGGCGTTCAGAGTTCAGTCTGTCGTCTCGCTTGCAACAGGAATAACCAACTAGTCTGATGGGCTGGAATCCGCCCCAGCTGGGGAAATTCTCCTAGACAATGTGGAAATCGTGGAGAGAGCGGGTGCTTCCCCAAGGAGACAGGAGACCAGGCCATTTCTCAGTCGATAGACCGCCTTCGGGGACAAGGGAGGAGAGCTATTCCCCCACAGTCTCCAAATCCCTCAGCTCTGTCCCCCAGAAACCAACCAGCTCGTTTCAGTGGGATAGCGCCGTTGCTGACCGTAGCGACCACCAAAAATTCCGTCGCTTCTCTAATTCGGATGCAACTTGCAACTGTCGGGAACGACTTCGATTTGTTGCTGCGAGTAAGGAACCAATCTCGGATAGTCTCCCCCATATTGTGGAAGCCACATGGCCCAGGATCTAGTCCCCAACTAGTCCCTACCATAGGTGCTACAGGGGGTGCCGCCTCTCCCCAGGTTCCCCGGAATCTCCAACTTCCACCAATCGTAATTCTTCCGTCAGCTGGGGTAACGTCGACGTGGAGGGAAGATGGACGGTGTTCTCGGCGCACATAACCGTAGCACCCAATTCCTTTTGAACAAGCTTGCAGGCTTGACAGGATTTCTCTTAGTCCGTGACAAGCTTTCGTATCCGAAAGGAGGCTGAAAAGAAGACCAACGTAAGCCTGTGACAAGGGCCATTTGGGATCCAATGATCCAATTCTATCTGATAATCAGCACAATGTTTGTCAGGCGTCCCGATTGACCCGGTGACTCGACATTGGCGCTATCGGATCTCGACATGGGCTGAGGAACGCGAGACCGATTAGCAAAAGGTATGGTCAAAGAAGAATCCATCATACATCCCGCAGCGGTGAATGGCAGAAAAGTCCTGCTTTATTGATTCAGGAGTCACCCTTTCGTACACAGTAGGATCCAGAACCGGCAGATTGAGCTCAACTACGACCAAGTCAATGATTCCGAATCAGGCCAGTATAGTACACATCCCACACTTTGCTTTCTCATGGGTTGATACAGGGTAACTACTAGTTATGAAACCATGACACACCATAAATACAACATCAATGACTAGGTCTAAAGCAACTAAATTATTCTGACCAATACTTATGCCAGATTGGAATCCAGCAGGCCGGTTCAATCTTCTAGTCAGGGTGTCTACTCACGCATCTAGTTCCATGCATGCGCTTGCATAATCCTCCACATTATTGTCAATTTCAAGACGATTTTCCAGGAATGAGAGCGAGGCTAGGCTGACTTTTCCGGCCGATGCGTGATCTGTGGATAAGCGGCATGTAATTCATTAATCATGACAAGTGAAGACTCTTGGTCCTAGCATGAGTCGACTTCAGTCCTTGGTGCGCTCATGTGTAGCCCAGTAAGTATGAGTTTGGCAGATTGCTTCATCAAGATTTGAATGGTGCTGCAGCAACATTGAACACTGCTTTGTATTTTTTCTGATGGATTCAATCTGGCCATACGAATCAGCTCATGTTGTGTTATGCAGGCGATGCACATACAGTTCGAGTGGCAACTTGCAATGCCCTGTCGATTGCCTGGAAAAACCATTCCACAGTTCTCGTATCACTGATGCATGAAGCAACGCAGACTGCAATTGTCTGGATAAAGTCACATTGGTGATATTTCTTCCGTGTGATCGGCGTAGATATGTACGCGAATGAGGGGAAGAGATATACACAACTTTCATTTTGTGCCAAGCTACCTCCAATTATGATATCGCCGTGTGTCAACCACGGCAGCTCAGTCTTGTCAATCAGTGATACGCGCTGAGGAACTACCAACCGCAAATGTCTCAGTATGCAATCCCTTCGCAATGTCCTCATGTTCGGCCTTGCTGTCGCGCACATAGCGCGAGCTTGCGAAACCGACGATGATTGTAGTCTGAACGGGCTTTGTGTCGCCGCCGATACAAGCGATGAACCCAACACGTGCAGCTGTGATCCAGGATGGTTTGGTGATGACTGCGGCCGACTAGACCTCGCGCCCGCGACAAGAGGAACAGGTTACAACCACACAACGGTCCAGAATGCAGATGACTTTGGCTCGTACGGGAACTCGTCATGGTGCGGCTCCATCGTGCAGGATCCCAATGACTCGGGATTGTTCCACATGTTCACCTCGCAGTTTGCGCACGGCTGTGGCCTGTCGGGCTGGCGACCTTCGTCCTTTATCGCCCGCGCCGAGTCGAGGACCGGACCGCAAGGCCCATACCTCTACGCCGAAGCCGTTACGGAGCCTTTTCGTCACAACCCCTACGTCTTTTTCAGTCCGGCAGACCAAAAGTATCTACTATATACGATTGGGGTTGACGCGCCAGAGGCTACCAAGTGCCAGTCTATATCCAATACGCGATGGCCGAATAACATTTCTGTCTCAAGTGCCGATGATCCTCACGGGCCCTGGACGCCTTTTGAATTGATTCTCAGCTCTATGGATCCTCAGTCCACAAATCCCGCGCCCTGGCCACTATGGACGGCAGAGAATCCGACGAGCCAGATTGCGCTCGGCATCGAGGACGACGCCATCTTCATTGGTGATCACTGGAACGGCAGCTACGAGCTCTTGTACCAGCAGCAGTGGAACACGACCGAGTACAGCCCGACCTGGACCGAAGATCCGTTCCTCTGGCACGACAAACGCGGCAACTGGCACTTTCTTGCGCACTGGATGATTGATATCGTCGAGGAAGACGGGCAAAAGTATCCGCGGGTGGGCGCGCACATGTTTGCAAGGAACTTGACGGGGCCCTGGACGTTCAAGCAACAGGAGGCATTCAACTCGACCGTCAACTTCACCGATGGATCGACACAGCTCTTTAAGCGTCGGGAGCGGCCCAAGCTCTTCTTTAGCAATGATGGCGAGTTGACGCCGCTGTATCTCGTCACCGGTGTGCAGGAGATGAACCAGACTGGGGCGAGTTATACTCTTGTGCAGCCCGTTGGTAGCAAATGGCAAGATTTTGAGGATGCCCTTGGATTTTAACATCTTCAGAAGGTGATTCTTTCGAATAGCTAATAAAAGCCAGATTGGTGCAATGGCAACACGTCCGGAGTCACCAGGAAAACCCATTGCGCAAAACTGACACTCTCGAGTGGAAGACCCAGGTTTAACCCCTTGCACGATCCTGTCTCTGGCCAAATATTTCTTCTCCATGAACTTGTTCAAGACTTGTATATATAATGATGCAAAAGATTGGTCTCATCAGCAATTATAATTGAGCACTGTCAAGTAAACCCAAGCTGGCCAGCATGGCGATGCCAAACATTGCGAGCGGACTGGACTACGAAAATCGCCTATACTCGCAGCAACGCAGCGGCTGCTGGCGCAAAAATCATAGGGAGGACCGGGCTGTTGATTCCTTTCCGTGCTCATGGTGCGCCGTGTCTGCAACTATGGCATCTTCAAAAAGATGCAAAAAGATAAGTTGCATTAGCCGCGAATCGAACGCGGGGCCCATCGATGGCAACGATGGATTTTACCACTAAACCACTAATGCTGTCAAATACTCCTGAGGGCTGTTGAAAGAAGTGTGCTTAGGAAACTACATATTGATGCAAGATGGTCCATTTTTACCTAATAGTGAAGCCATCGTGGGTTTCTGTTCGGGTGGGCGTCGACGAGAATCGAGAGTACCTAGCAACTACCTGGTAGGTATCCACCAACACTTGGGTGGGTTGCGATCGGATTTTACTTGGCTGGCTCTGACCTAGTTAGTGGCTTACCTACAGGCTGTAGCTAAGGCTGCGAAAGACGACCAACCACCAATACTCCAATTCATCAAGTAGGATTGGTCCGCCACTGCGGCAGTGCAGGGCGAGTGCATATCTGCCTTATCATTGCTTTCAGCTTTGCAATAAAGAGATCCTCATCCAAACCATGGATTCGGACATCTTGCCGACAGTTTCACAACTGCCTAGATATCCATTGCGCTTGCATCATGAATGACATGATATACGATGGCTTTGAGTCATTGCAATCGATTGACCTCTGGCCGAACCAAACAACAGGCGGCCGCCTGCTTCTTCACATGGAAATGGCGCAAGCGCTGATGCAGCCCCAGTCCTCTTATCACGGCTGGCTTCAACATCTTCGCTTCGTAGTTGAGGTGTCTCATGAGGATACCGACCATGCGTACGAGCTGATTGAGAGCACTAGTCTAGATGACTTGTCCGAGCCATATATCGCCATTTCCTATCGCTGGCCAGAGAACAAGTCGGGCGTCCTTCCCGCCAAGCACCACATCTTGGCAGGTACCCCAAGACGACCGGGAGAAAAGTTTTGGAGGCCGGTTAATGCTCCCATCGACGTCCTTCGACGGGCTTTTGCATTTGCGCGCGCACATGGAATTCGCAAGATTTGGATCGATCAAGAGTGCATTGACCAAGAAGATGAAGATGAAGTGGCACAGGCTATTCAGAGCATGCACGTCGTGTATCGACAGGCCGCCATTGTGCTGGCTGTACTGGGCCACCATGTCACAAATCGCGCGGATATCAATGCTCTAGAGAAGCTCGCAGAGATGGGAGATGGAGCCCAAGTCACTCTTCGTGAGCGAGTCATGGGAGATTCATGGTGGACGCGTGCATGGGCTGCCCAAGAAATGGGAGTCGCGACGTACGACCAGCTACGTTTCATGGTTGGATGGCACGAGTCTCTCGATACCGGAGGCACTTGGTGGAGGGAACTCACGGAGAGGTATAACCAAAGTCGTGATGCTCAAGACCAACAAAATGTCTCCCGAGAATGGGTACTGCGCGGTAATCAGCCGCTCTATTTGAATATGCTGGCGGGTGGTTCTCCGAAAGTTTTGTACGGTCTGGTGTCGGGCTTTTCTCATCCTCCTGTCATGCCAGCTACTGTTTTTGCTCTTCTTACAGGGTATCGTCAATTTCAACAAGAATGGTAAGATCAGTTTTCAAATGCCCTGACAGTAGTCATGGCTAAAAAGATCTAGTTCCCCAGGAGCTAATGAGACATTCAGCACTGACGGCATGCCAAAAATGCCCATATTTGAAGCTGTCAGACTCCTCGCGTACAAGGAATGCCTAAAAGTTTCGGATAAATTGGCCATGCTTGGGAACTTGGCAGATTTTGAGCAACGAATCGACAGAACCAAGGCTGTAAAATTGCAACTTGGATTCACCGCCTGCGCCCTGGCGTTGGCTCTATATAATGGCAACGTCAATCCCTTGTTCAGCAGTCTACATGAGCTTGTACAAGAATTGGCTAACACGGCCAATCGCGGCTTGGTTTCCTGGCTACCAAGCAACCAACTTAGTTTGGAAGATCTCAGCACGCAGTTCGAATTCTCGCATGCGCTAAATTCAATGGGAGGACAATCGTGCAAGGCCTTAGTGCTAGATGGAAAGCTGGCAACAAAGGGATTCATGTGGGAGATTTCAGAGTATCGAGGATTTCAAGGCATTGCAAAACAAATGCAAATGCACCAGGACCCGACTCTGCGTCTACAATTACTTTTGCGGACACTTTGTCGATCTGGCCGTCATGACCTCTTGGCCATTATGATTACCCTACGGATGTTTCGACCTATAAAATCCCCAGGCGAGTTGGTACACCACATGTTGGCAATCCAAGAGTGGTCGCTAGAAATGAGACCATGGCCAGCACAAGTATTCTCTGGGTACGTAAACTTCACGGACCATGAACCTTGGAAAATAATTACCGCCATCTGCACTGAAATCGCTGCTGGGAGACCACTCTTGCTCGGATCGTATGGCAAGGGAGATGACGAGCTGACGTGCCTTTGTCTGGGACCTCTAAACACGAAGCAAGTCTTTTCACCATTGAGTTCTCTTTCATGCGAGTTCACATTGAACCAATTGGAGCACCTGGCGCGAACTACCAATGATAATCGTCATTGGTATGTGGAATCTACATCAGGCCGCGTGTCCCAGAGGCTTCAGGAAAAGTTGCTGGAGCACCTAGATGACAACGATCCGCCATCTTCTAAAGTATTTCGGATACGAGGAACCACGACAGTCATAATAAACCCTTTTTTCTGGGTTCCCATTGCTCACAACAACACGAGGTTCCAGTACCGTTTCAAGACATCAGGCAAGTACCTTCAATGCATACTCAATATGAGCTGACTGCTAACTGTTTCAGGCGGTGATTATTGCTGGTTCTGCTAAAAGCAAGAAGTAGTCGGACTTTATCTGCTCATACACTCGAAACGATCCCGACACTATATGGAGATGATCCAGGTCATTCCCAATTAATTGAAAGAGAAAAATCATAATATATTTATGTTTGCCTACTTCTTCGGAGCCCTAGGAAAGAAATCTGGTGCCCTGAGTCTGACATGAGTGTTACCCGTACTCACGCGTAATCAAGAAAGAAAGGAAAGCGCCATGGGAAATCTCAGAGTGAGTTGTAGTCTTTGTAATAAGCCTCCCACTATTGAAATGTCAGTTGGTAATATTTCGCCATGCCTGTTATGAGTAGGTATCTTGACATGAGGAGGGGACAAAGCAATTCAATTGACATCAAGTGTTTGTATCCAAAACATATTGTAATAAATGAGAAGATTCAAAATTCGCTTACCGATGAACCGCGCATTTCTTCTGCTTGTTCCTCCCACCGACGTCTGTCAGCATCTCTGTATAAAGACTCCTTGTCCTCACCTTTCCCGTTCTCTCTGGCTTTCCTCGCGAAATGGTCTGCGTACGCAAACCTATTGAGCTGATAGTATCGTTCCTCGGCATTCGCCGGCGCATCGTCCTTTCGCGAGGGGTTGTTAAAATCCGCCAGCCAATCCACGGCGTCGCGAAAGTCGCGAAGCGACATGTCCTTATACACCATCTCGCCGCGCTCGTCCGTCTTGGGGTTGGTCATGGCGACAATCATGACGCTGCGGTGCCATGGGTGGTATTTCGTCTTGCCGCCCGCGGCCTTGAGGATGGACTGGTTGGGAAGGGCCTCGGGGTACCACAGCTGTGTCCAGACCTCGAGCACACTTTCGGTATCGCGATACCCCCGGACCTTGTTGACTTTGATGTAGGCGTACGGTCTCGGCTGAATATAACTATCCTCTTCATCGCTCAAGGCATCGGCCACCATCTTGACAAACTCTTGGTTATCGTATTCATCGAGGACCTCTCCCGCTGCATCATATAAGCCCTCAACCCAGCCCTTTACGGCAAAGTAACGAAGGACCGGCTTGTCTTCGTCGGTTGGGAATACTACGGCGCGAATGGAATCATCAGGGCGGTCTTTTTCGAACTCCTCGTTGGCAAGGGTAGAGCAGAGCAACTTGTGGCATGGCCAGTCTGCTTTTTGGCAAGCCTTGCCACAGTATGCGGTGCTTTTGCAGCCTGCGCAGGTCTTGGCATCTTTGGAGTTGCAAATTGCGCAGCTAAACTTTGGTGTGGGTGTTGACGAGGATGATGCGGACGCTGCTGCATCTGCGGATTGTGCTGTCGAGGATTCAGGCTTGGTCGACATGGTGAGAAATCTTGTCAATGAAGTTCACAAGGCGGGGAAAGTCAAGGGTGTTGCAGAGGGGGGGAGAAAAATGTGGCCTAGACGAACCGAGGGACCAAGTCAAATTCAAAAATGTGCGCCCGGGAGCCGAGAAAAGAAAATCCGGCCGGCGATGATAATACGGTGCCGGAAGATGCGGCGCACGGCGACTGGATCCCGAATGGGACCGATCGGTTCCTTTCGGTCGCTTTCGGTCGTTTCCGGTAGCTTTCGGTCCACACAAAATCACGGCTCGACGGCAGAAATTGACACCGCATTCAACCACAACATCGACTATGTATCATAAGAAACATTTCCCAGATAACATGGATCGCTACGAACATATTGAATGTAGTTTACTGATCTTTTAGCCAAAGATGAGTTTGTAGCAGCCCCAATACAGGTTTCAAATGGGCATCAAAAACATGGTCAAAAAGGGTCCAAAACGATGTCAACGTCGACATTTCCATATTTTCTGGTCCATTCTGGCCTTTTTTAATAGCCATAGTCATGGCCAAAGTCTAGATACACAACACTGGCGATTATACTCGTTTGCGCGGCCTATATCATGCCTTGATCGTGACAAGAATGGCGCACAGTGCTAATGGACGGAGCGAGCATGGCCAGCACTTTTGCGCGGATCCCCCCAAAGGCGCAATGCCAATTCATCCACCAATTGCTATACCTCGACTTGATGCACTTGAGCAAAGGGTCTGAGCACTGAGTGCATAAGGATGTTGGTCTTTTATTTAGTGAGAAATGACAGTTTTTTTCTGATATATCATGTCTGTCAGTCACATGGAAGCATGAAAACATATATAGCTATATTGCATCGTTCCAATAGTAGTGGGAAATCGACTGAGGCAGTGGACAAGGGTCTACATACTCCAAGTGGCACGGGCTCTAGTCTTTCAAATCACGATACTTGCCAGGTAGCCAAGATAGATGGACAATTCAATAGTCTGTGGTCTCGCCAGAATAATATATCAAGATGCAAAGACTAAATCTAAACGCGGACCAATTTCAATCTTTGTGTTTATAAGGTGGAGATGCGGCACATGTCTTTTTTTCCTCCTCCCTCCTGCCACTATTTTAAATTTGCATCTCGGCACCCCGAGGCTTATATAGACGTTAGGCCCCAAGCTGATCAATAAATCAATATAAACAGATTGAATTTTCGGAGGATTGAAATTTTTATCGATTGCACCCTAAACATTTCTCCAACCAAAGGAATGCTGGCACTGGAAAGGGGTTATGTCGATTATTATTGTTCCGTAACATCGGCCACTGGTACCTCATTAGTGTCACGTCATCTTGACAGCGGCCATCTCCACAGGTATATATGATCTACTAAACACTGTTCATGCAAGTCGAGGCTAGAGTGCAACGTTGATGGGATGCTGCAAATGAGCTACTGTGGTATCACGAAGAGTAGTATGTAGAGAGAAAGGGAAGGGGGCGGGGGGAATAAGCGGTGATCATGATCATGGGACGTTTTTGTTCCTGCATAGTCACCCTCGCTTGCTCGGAGATAGGAGCCGAGGCAGGCATGCAAGGACTTAAACCAAAAAGAAGGAATTTCCTCAGGTGAAACGTGCGCCGCCCCCGTATCGGCTTTGTTCATTTTGTTAAGAAAAAGAATGCTTGAAATTTCAATGGCCACGGGGACGATAGCTTGGCGGGTAAGCCCGAAGGAGAAAAAAAAAACATGCGTGTTTGAAAAAGCAAGGTTTTGCTTCCCCGGAATCCACTGAGACTTAACGGCGGTGGTGATGGAAAACAGTTTAGGTCGGTACCTAGAGTAAATCCACAGCACATGCTTTTTTGTACGGGCTGAAAAGTCTTGATCAACGTGGGACGGTAAGTTTGAACAAAGGACTGGGTAGATCCACGTGGTCCCAAGTCCTTGATGGGACAAAGAGTCTTGGCGGGAGATAAAATCCAGGTCATGGTCCGTGGAAGGATAAGATGCGCTTCTTCACCATGGAATTGTGCACGCTACGACCAGTATTCTGTGCCATTCCAAGTGGGGCGTGGGATGAGATGTCGTGGCTCGCATATCGAAGCGACCTGAAGCGTCGGTTGCTAACGGTTGCTGCCGCAGGGCTCAAGGGAAATGTTGGGCGGTTCGCTTGCGAGTCAAGTATTGGCCAAGTAGCAGTGTAGAAGATATGGTAGGTAGTGGGTGGTAGCCTACGAGTCTGAAGAGTGCTGGAAAAATGAGACATAGATCTTGAAATTCCTTTGAATGTTGTTGTGCCCTAATACACCTTTTCTTGTGCCGTGCCTCTGGGGCCTTGAAGTTTTTCCCTTATTCTTTCCATAAACATGTTTCTTTCGGATGGCTAGTTTCTAGGCCTGCTCGAGCCAAGCTGAGGCTCGTGTTTCGTCTGATCTAGTGTGATCTCTGTCGACGCTAAAGCCGGCGTCGTCAACCGAGTCATCAATCCTAGGGGAGATGCCCTGAGATTCCCTGAGATTCCCGGCAGGAAAACAGCCAAGAGCCCCAGGACCATGGGTTCGACAGTGCACGCCATTACCGCTTTGGGATGCGAGAGCGCCTAGATTGGTTAAGGGGGTTACGACTATATTAAGGCGTGACAGGGTTGCCCGCCGCCAATACAACCTTGTAACTTGAGCCGCCAAGAAAAGCTGTCGTAAGAATTTTTGATAACGCCGACCCAGAGTAGCAGCGACATGTATTATTATTAGAAAGAAGGTGTAGGTTTTGCGCAATTCATTACGTTCTCTCTCGCCCGAAAGATCTGTCTCTCTCTCTCTTTCCAACTGCTGGTCTTTCTTTTTCCCTTCTTGCCATTGCCAAGGTAGATGTCCTACGGATTTTGTTTTCCATTCTCATAACAGCCAATTCCTTTTTATTTCTCCAATTTAGCGCGCTGGTCGTCATTCTTACATGCACACGTATATACTTGCTTGCTAGCGGTCCGCCCCAGAACGAGGATGCCCATCACGAGAGAGCCTAGCCAGCGTACCAAAGCCTGGGTCAGATGGAATTATGGGCAGCATTCATCGAGCAAGACCAGCTTGGCCTCGACGGCCACTGAAATCATTCATCTCGGCGGCTCTCGTGTAAGTGGCCCAGAGTCGCCGACCACATCAAGTGGCCGGGAACAGGAGCGACCATGCACAACATGGTTCTCGCCAATTGGGCCACCACCTCAGCCGCCGATTGGGATTGCGAGGTCCAGTACGACTCCCCACGAGAGGCTTTCTCACGAGAGGTTTTCTCATGAAAGGCTTTCCCCTTCGCCTTCATCCAATTCTAGACACTCTAGAATCGAGCCACGAGATCTCATATCCCCGCCGCCTTCTGCCAGTTCCAGGACGGAACCCCGGGATGTAGTATCCCCTACACCTTCTACAAGGTCGTGGGAGTCTATTTCCCCACAAATGAGCCCTGAGCCGCTCAAGGTTCCAAGCGACAAGATACCGTCGCCATTGGCTTCGGCTACATCGACATCATCATTCTCCAAGATTATTTCGCCCCCACCATACTCGTCGGCATCGCCACCTCGATCCGATTCCGTACCAAGATCAGTGAAGCAACTTCGGAGGACCCAATCCGCCACAGATCTTCAGCGCCGTGGCCGCACACAGTCAAAAGAACTCCCACCCAAGCCATTGGGTGGTACCCCCAATGAATTTGTCAGACCGGAGAGAACGACATCTCTGGCTACGCACGTTGGCCAGCTGATCAAGGAGGACGCTCATGAAAAGAGCATACACGACAAGAATGTGGAAATGGCACTCAATGAGCGAGAGACGCAATGGTTTCCTCTCCCTCCTCTCATTAGCCCGCCGCCGTCCAAGCCGTTGCCCACAGTATCTGCAATCAGTCCCACAAGTCCAGACGATGGCAATCCAAACAAATCACCAGTAGTACCTGCAGAAATTCAACAGCAGCCAGACCCAAAAGCCAAGGCACTGCCTGAGAAGCCAGTTTCCCGACTCTCCCCGCAAGAGAGGTTGTGGCTGCACAGGAATTACCGTGGAGAAGCAACATTCCTCAAGGCCTGGGGACTCAGCATTGAAAAAAGAGAAGATCGCGAGGAAGGAGTTGCCATGATGAGGGAACTCATGGCGGCCGAAGACGAAAAGAAGCGGGCTAAAAAGGCCGAAAAGGCCCGGGATCTCGGTCATCCAGACGGCGGCCTGCAAATCATTGTGGAGGAGGAAAGGTCAACCCATTCGGAGCCGGAAAAGCCCAGCCCCAGGATGCTCGATCCCCAGTCGGCCGCCAAGCCTCAAGGCCTCAGGGTGCCGACGCGAAATTATACCCATCCGGCCAGTCCAACGGACCGTCACACCAGGAGCGAGAGCGAGAGTTCAGTTTTGGGATCATACCTGGACATTAGAATGAGTCGCATGGACTAGGAGACAACAATACAACGTGTCTCCCCAAAATAATGTGTAAATATGTACCATTTCATATGTATATTAGAGCAACATGGCAGAGCATGATTTAGCGAATCTGGAATATTCTTCAAGCAGCCACATTCAGGCCAATAGGGAGATGTAGCGTCTACGAGATACAATCAATCCACCATATATGGTCATTGTTAGTGCATTCAATTGTCTTCTTTGATGCGGATGCATGTCTTGAGAGAACAAAGGTATCCAACACGGTGACTTGGAGAACAAAGCAACTAACTTCTAGAATCATGAGCTATACTTCTATGCACTCGTAATACTCGACAAGGCATTGTAGTGCCTCAGCCCAATCTTTTGGTTCATTATATATTTGCCGTTTGCAACGTCTGGGCTCCACTGCGGAATCAAAGACAAGAACAATTACCTGCATTTGCACCAACCCACCCAAGAAACTCAGACAATGGCGTCCAAGACCACCGACAACACCCTTGATGGGAATCTCATCACCAATGTCCTGAATTACTTTGACGCATCGGGTGATCTTTGTGGAGATGTCACCTGCAAGGTCGAGTGCTCAATTTGTACGACCGAGCTCGCCATTCTACAGCCGGCAGACGAAGAGCACAAGACTTGGACAGTCCTGGAAGCATGCGGGCACATGTTTTGTCACGAGTGCATTGTCTCGTGGATCCGCGCTTCTGATGACCCGAAATGCCCACAGTGTCGTGCTGATTTGCGTCATTCCCGCTGCCGACACAAGTACAAGCCGCACGAAATTGTTCTCACCAATGGTTTCAACATTCACGATGACGTACCCAAGGTCGTCTCGGAACTGCCAGGACAGTGCCAAGACTGTAAAGAGAGACCTGCGTCCACGCGAAGTAGCGACTCTTTGGGAAGAGAAGACTATGGAAGACTCTTTGACAGCAGCAGCGAAGAGGACCGTTACGAGTTGTCCGACTCGGATGACGATGAGTATGATCCTACCGCATTTAGACGTCATGCCTATGCTAATATATATGACTACCGCCCAGCTTTCTTCTCACGTTCGATTCCAGACGGCAGCCCTCGCGATTCAGCGCGACGCGGCGAGCGCCGCCGCCATCGTGACGGTTCGAGCCGCAGCCGCTCCCATCATTCTGAACGACCCATGGGCCCCCGTCCTATACTATCAAATGCGCTATTTCCCCCGGTCCCGCCGCCACCGCACCCTGGGTATATTCGTCGACTTCCCGGGCCCATCAGGTATGCAACGCATCTCAGATTAGATGGTGTCGAGTATAGCCATACATATGACCGCCAGGATTGATGAAACCAAGCCCCGAGGTGAAGATTACATTGATATGTCATAAGCAGGAATCAGCAGAGTGCTGAGATTCAGAAGCCTTGATCTATGTATTTGGTAAGTCTTCTTTGCCTGATGATTGTGTATCAAAAGTAAGTATCTAGCCAGCTTACATCTAGTTGTAGCCATGATAAAGTAATAGGGGAATTGACCAGCTTCCACAACCGTCGGCTCAAAATGCAGGCCAAATGGTGTGAAATAGATTATTGGTGAGCCCCAGTAATAATACAGTGTCATTGATGGTCGTGCCAGAACAACCAGACCTTTGGGAATGGGTATAAGTGGAATGAAGCCATATGTAAATAAATTTGTCGTGTTGGCTTTGGAAATTTGTTGACAAACTGAAAACAATACAGTGACCTCTGTAATTATTTTTAAATTGTCCAATCCTCATGGTTCGACATCCAATATAAGTTTCGCCGTACGTCCATGTTGAGCAAGACAATTTGTAAAGGTGAACTCTAGTCTCAAGGATCTTGTTGGCTACCTGAGCCTTCAGGAATTCTGCGCAAGCGAACTGGGCCGTGTATCTCGTCTAGATCATGCGCCGCGACGACTTCGCCTTTCTGTGTAATGTCCAGCAAGCTTCTCTCCTTCAAGGACCATGCTTCCCTCCTGATCGGATCCATAGCCGCACGCCAATCCGAGCAATCCAGAGAGTGCAGTTCGTCTTCGGTCAGTGCTCGCGCTACTTCGCTTGGACAGATTGTTTTTGGGTACTCGCGTGCCTCGGTCATGGCGAGGATCTTCTTTTCGAGAAATGACATGGCTATGGTTTCTTATAATCGATTGATTTTGTCGTTGAAAAGGTACAAGAGGCTGTAATGAGGCAATGAAGACAATCACAACCCTTGAAAATATACGGCTGGGTACTTTAATTGGTCATGACGTCATGTTTTGTTTCTATTATTTGTTGCTAATGCCGTCGGCTTGCAATGGTGACTTGATCAGCCATTATCCAACGTACAATCTGCCGTATGATATTATAAATCCCCATCATCTAACACTGTTATCATCCTAGCTGGTGGATCAGCAAGTGTTCTAGGTGGCCGAGCACATGTTGGCGTTGTCATGCCCTTCCACTGAGCTTCAACATAGGCCACAGCCGCCTCTAGAAACGCGGTATCCCGCGACCTTTGCTTGAGGCTCTTGAGCAAAGCGTTCGCACCGCGAAGATGTACCAAGACAAAGTCCGTGATGCCGCGCATGAACTCGAGGTGGATAAACATGAGACTGCCCAAAATCAAGACCTGCAAGGCGTGAGCGTCTTCAAGCGGATCCTCCATACGGGACTTGAACAGGTGCACCGCCTTGTTGTATTGTAGAGTGCAATACTCTTCGGCGGACCGGGCTCGGCCGCTTGATCCTGACCACAGATTGTTTGGATTCGCCTGTCTCCAACCCAAGGCACTAATGGCAAGCCCGGTATGATATATGATGGGCTCAGCGCCGATGGCTGGTAATAGTTGACCTTCCCAGCTCAGGTCGTCAAAAAAATAGGCAAAGTCTCGCCAAGTGACGTGTCTAAAGTACTCCAGCAGATGTCTGTCTATTTGTATGCACGATGCAGGGCTCGTAACGCCGGGCGGGCGCACGACCACTAAAGCTGCCCCGGGCTGTGGTAGAGTTTCCGCCCGAGCCACAACCGCAGCCGACGACGACGGGATTGAGCTCCCATCGGTCTCAAAGTCGCACCGCCAGCCGGCGTTTCGGCATTGAGAGCACGTTGGTCTGACCTCGTCGCACTTCTTTCTTCTTGTTCTGAGAGGCTTTGGGTCAACATACGGAAGATCAGCGACACATGTAACAAAGCGGGGACATACTTGCAGGTCTGGCACCCTGTCTTGACCTTTCTAGCCCCTCTAGCGCCTAGGCGAGTTTTTCTTGTTTGGTCAGCCATTATGCTGTGATTAGACTCTTAAATATTAATTTGCATGTCTATTCTATCGGCTCAGCAGGGCCTTCGGCATATCTTGACTTGATCAGTTGAATGCTGACAAGGAGGAGGGGAAATGGCCTGTAGCATTGAACCTAAACCTAAATTGGTCAAGCATCTCATCACGCCGAACGCAGGAGGATTCTCGAGTCTGGTGCAAACGAACCATGAAATGGCACATGAGCTGCTTATGATTGGACATTGCGTAATTCAAGTCTCCGGACGCCTAGGTCTATACAGGGGTATCTTACTCTCTATTATGAGCAAGGCAAGAGACACTACGTACACGCGATGTGACTCAAGTGATTACTTAACGAGTAGTTCTACGAGTAACCAAGTATCCCTTGATTTCCTTCGAAAGTATAAAAAGGCAGCCGCAGAAAACATAGAGAATGTACAAGGAGCAGGACGAGATGATGTATAGGGGTGGGAGTCGTGTGTGTGAGAAGAGTGAGAAGAGATACCGTAGAAAGAATGACAAGTAATAAAGACCATGAATACAAATGCCAGTCCAGAACATCAGATTCCATTTCCAGCCAGATTTATGATTGTACCAACGGTCTAGGTTGAGTCCAGCTATCATTGTGGTCGTGATAGCCGTGGGGATTCCCAAGCATAGGTACGGCAACATGTAAAACTCCGTAATCCAGAATTCAGTCATCGTGTAATCAGATGTTACATTTATGAAAAATATACTCATAAAAGCGATCGCCATAAGCGTAAGATAAGCCTGGAAAATGCAGGGCCATATCCATGGTGCTGTTTCATAGTAGTTTCGGGCGAAAAGGCTGGAGAAGTCGTTCGTCAATAAATTCATGTCTAATGGGGCAGGTTGCGCGGGCACGATAAGTTGATTCTGATGAGGCGCTCTAGATGAAAGTTGAGGTTCGGTGGTGCCATGGATGTCGACTTCAATATTGAAATTCATAAGTTGTCGCCCTTGCTCACTTTTCATGCCTTCTTGGGTGGCAAGCTCGCCAAACTTCCATATAAGTGAGAATACGGGAGCAGCCAGTAAGGCCACAGCCATCATTTGACCGAACGTCCACTGTTGATTTCTCTCGTATGGGAAGTGACTGCCATCAAAGATAATGGGTGTGCCATTTAAAACCCTGACGAACTTGATCAATCCCCAAATGATTGCTATTAGGACCCAAATGATCTGTAAGTACGAGTCAGTCAATATTTAGATATGAGCCTAAAACCAGGGAGGCACGCACTTCGGCTAGCATTGAGCTGATCAAGTCTGCGATGAAGCGAAGGGTAAGAAACCATCCGACAAGGGGCGTGAGGACGGCAAATATCCAGATCCGGTCCCAGAGAGAATCTTGGTTGGCAGTTGAAGCTGGAGAATGGTTTATTTTAGGTCGCCGAAGTAGTATAACTAACTTCTGAATCACAAAGACGAAGCAAATACGCGCCGGTCTACGAATGCCTTGACGAAGGCCGCGCGCAAGTGGTTGGAAGAGTTTGACACACCGACTTGTAAACCCCAAAACGAGTAGTATCACCGCAAGAATCATCTGTTGCATTGCCGGAGTTTCTCGTAGCTCATGATCCGAGGGACGGCGTTCGTGATTCCAAAATTCCGATGCAGCCGATACATCGAAGAAACAGATGGCTGGCGATTGTGGTGCTGCTGCAGATATCAAATAAGAACTATAGCTGTTTTCGTACCAGTTGAAGTAGCCGGTGGGAACCAGGGCGACGATGAGGACCACAAGTAGAAGAAACATGAGGACAACACGTATGGCTTTTACGCGAGGGCGTCCGTCTAAATATGTTCGAAGGATACTTAATCCGGCCAAGTGGGTGATTGCAGAAAACCAAGTGAGGCAAACAATGATAAACCAGTGGTAGGCAGACAGAGGATCAGGTGAAGAAAACAAAAGAATGAATCCGCAAAGGAGAAGTGCATATCCAGTCATAATCTGGATATCGCACATATTCAAGATGCACTGATAGAGGTCAATCAAGATCCTGTCTTTGACTCTGAATTTAACCTACTTCATCAAATATACGTGCCAGATGAGGATGCGGCATTTGAATTCCTGCAACTCTCCTGATCCATGCAGCTGTGTGTATGTCGATTGGATTCGGTTGCCACATTGAGGGGGCCATACCTGAGCCAGCAGGGTTGAGGTGATCGTGAGCGAAAACATAGTTGAGAAAGAATAAAAGCCAGGCAATCCACGCCGTTGCGATAAAATTAACGACAACCTGGAAGAATATTGTCCTGTCAGCGGAGACACGGCGGAAAATGGACTTATCTTTAGTATCAAGCAATGGGTAGGTACTTACCCCTGTGCCTGTGATGTCGGGGTCAGCTTGTAGCTGCTGCTGGTTACTGTGAGAATAGAAGCCGAAAGAACAGTTGTTCTTGTGGGTCAAACTCATCTTGATGGATTATCGCGCCACGGGTCAACCCTTTCTTTCTCACGTTCTTTCTCTTTGTTCTCTCTTTCTTCTCTCTTCGGGTATTGAGCGCATCGATGTATTCGATGTAGTGAGAAGTGGGGGGTTTGCAGGAATTCTTGTCTCCGAAATAAACGTGGCGAAGGAAACGGGAGACGTTATATTTTTAAATGTGCCGTTGGTGGCAATATGCGTGACTGGCACAAGCAGATGCCATATAACCTAGTAAGACGGGATGATTATTGTTGGGGGGCACGCTGATTTTAAAGGAGCCCGCCAAGCCAAGGTGAAGACAGAGATCGTGAGAGGCAGGCTATGGCGGGAGGAAGGATCGTCCAAAATCCTTCGACTGTGAGTAGTCCAAGCACTCGCAAGTCGCGGCCAATTAGGCACCAGTCAATACCCTGGCATGTAAATAATCAACTTCTCTAAAGGCAGATCATGTCGACTAAGCACGAAGCACAGCTGTACAAAACCCACTGGCAAGGCTGTGGGATTCGTAAGGAGATCGACGGAGACAAGTCGAGAGGGTGACAACTGCCCAACGAATCGGAGGATACAAGATTGGCAAGGCAGCCGAGCTGAGATTGAAAATAGAAGTAACATAGCCCCGAAGTACGTTATGGTCAACCAGTCGGAGCAGTATACGCAACACCTACTTAGTACCTAGGTAGATAGGCAAGCTGACGAGGCGGGTCCAACCCCCGACAACATGAATAACAAAGCATAATGCTAATTGGTTATAAATCGGGACAAGCATATTGAGAAGAATGAAGAAAATGTCCAAATGCTCTTTTCAATGTGAAAATCAACATGCGCAAAGACGGGAAGCAAGAGCCCTTGCCGTTTTCCCAGTACATAGCCTTCATGAGGTTGTCATGGCTGTATACGGATCGTCGTACTGATATGCCCCAAGTGGCGCATCGCATACTGAAGAAATAAGACTTTGAAAAACAAATTGAATATGAATATACGTTGATATGTAACGGCAGCTTACCAGATGGGAATGATGGGTTCGGATGCAGCATTGCGGCTGTGCACTGGACATGCCCAAGAACGCCTCGGCAGACCCCGGACGTGGGGGCTGAAGAAAAGAGAAGAAGCAACGAAAGAGAGTCGGCCTCCCGGCACAATTCAATAACCTGACGAACGTCGATTATAAAGCATTGGCCTGGCTTCGAAGGACTTTAAAAGCAAGGGGAGTATCGTATTGTGCCGAGTGTTAAGTCCGATGCAGACGGATCATAGAGTGGCTCCTAAACTCTATTGTAATTGGACGCAGCGTGTTTTGAATGCTCTAGCGAGTCACGATAAGCCCAGCACAACGTCCCAACTACATTAGGCTCTAGGCCCTTGTGGCACAGCACCCAACATTCGACGAGAGCGCTAATTCTGTCACCCATCTCCATCTTGTGCTCGTGAGACTTTGAGGTATTGCAAGATCCCGGTGTTTTGACAGTAGCAGCTCCATTCTCGTGTGACTCACGCCGATTCTCCGAGCATGTTTATGGATACCACTGACAGATCTAGCTAGATCTCATATCCTTGGCTTGTAAGAGCTGGCCAGCACCGCTTTTGGCTGCACAGAATGGTTGCTTGGAAAGACATGACCTTGCCTGAAATGATGCAATCCTATTGGCTGAAGCGTAATTGGGAAATTATCATGTTTATACCAGGATGATCAGCGAAATAGCGCCAACAATAACGACAAGAATAACGCCGATATGATATAGACGTATTTGTAATATGCTGATTGAAATCAAACATCAAGAAAGGCACTATAAGGCCTTTTGGATATATAAATCTTTGAAAATTCTAACTTTTATTGGGGGGATTTGCTGTGCTTGTACATTCACCGGCGCAATTCATACTATTCCGCACACAAACCAAAGTCGAAGCAATAAAAGAATTTGCTCAGATTTCTCCTTCAACTTTCAAAATGGCGGCATCAATTAACCCCGATCAGATTGCGGCTACAGAGAAACAAGTGCTAGAGTTTGAGCAACAATCCCTCGACATACTCGGTCCCGTCCCCTCTGACCTCAGAGAATCAATCATAGAAATCCCCCTACAGGATGGATTCGTCAGTCACAGCATCCTCATCAGACCTGCCATCTCTCCCGGTCAAGACATCAAAAAGTGTCCCCTCGTGGTATTCATCCACGGCGGCAGTTTCACTTATTGCAGCCCAAAACAATTCCTTTCTCCCGGCCGGGCCACGGCGTCACACTTTAATGCCGTCGTCGTGTCCATCGAGTACAAGCTGGCTTCCAAGTACCCCTTTCCTGCCGGACCTCGCAGCGCCTGGGAGGTTGTTTCATGGCTATCCAACCCCAGTAATATCAATGACACTGTGCTCCGAGCCGAGGGACTAGAGGTTGACCCGCAGCTGGGCTTTGTACTGGGGGGTGCCAGTGCCGGCGCGAACCTTTCGGCCGTCATTGCCGGCATCGACAGCACCGTCAAGGCGGGACAGCACCATGATCTGATCGAGGGCCTGCCCAAGATCGCCTCGGATATCACGGGCCTCTTTATCGCGATTCCCTTGCTTCTGGATGCCGAAATTGTCCCTGCCGAGTACGTTGACCTCTTCAAGTCTCATGAGGAGCACGCCGACGCCCCGTTCATCAATGCCCGGAGCTTGGCCGAGACTAGACTGATATACCAGCCGGATATCCATTCGCCGTGGTTTTCGCCATTCAATCTCGATTGGAGCAGGCTTTCCGGCCTCCACCCACCCAAGGTCTATGTGCAATTTGGTGAGCTGGATATGCTGCGTGATGACGGAGTGATTTATGAGCGCATGCTGAGCGCCAGAGGTATTGCGGAGACCAAGTTTGACATGATGATCGGATATGACCATGCATGTTGGTGCAATCTCATCTTTGATCCCGCGCATACGCAAGAGATAAAGGAGAAAACCATGGATGCTCTTTCTTGGCTGCTGGGCAGGGAATGGGATAGAACCAAGCCGCTATCACACTAGACGACAGATGCAAAGTGTTTCGAGGTATCACGTGGTAACTAGACTTAAAAATATAGACCAAATTCAACTTGTCTCATAATTCATGACGATATATATCCTTTCCATTATCCAACAGTGATACCTTCAAAATCTCTTGGTCGTCTATCCGACAGAGGCCGTGCCAAGCGTGTATCATCCCGATCATATTTTGGTGCATCGATATTTCGAACAACTGTATGAAAAATGAATATTAGCATCATTCTGGCCATTGTAACATCCAGGAGGTGAAAAATATTTCAAAGAATAACTTACGATCAGCAAAAACATCTCGCATCCGTCTTTGATACCACCAGCCGATGAAGCTGACCACAGCGAGAAAAACAATGGCAGTAATTGCGCATGGCTCCCAGTATTCTATTCATGTCAGCGGCTTTAATGGACATTCTCAATGAATTCAGAATAAACTCACGCTCAGCTGCACGAATGGCCGCCTCAGTATTCTTTGAGACGATCACTTGCGGACGGTCTGCGTACGATGAAAACCAGTAAATAGCTTTAATCTCACAGATATTGGCCGAATAGACACCCATGAGTTGCACTACAACAACATGTGTTAGCAATTGCCCATTGAGGTAGATAAATGAGTTTGAAGGATCTCTTTTGAGCAGTTTGTCTGAGTCTGCTCTCTTGCAGCACCAATTTGGGTAATGATCGCTCATAAGACAACCCAGAGAAGGGAAGAAATGACATCGGAAGTTGCTTACTAATGGTTCCACCAAGTACCGAAAAGACGGCACCAATTCCGAAAACCACAAATAATACGTGGTATAGAACACACCATAGCATTCTGACTGTCCACGTCCGCTTCGATCTCAAGAGGAGCCAGGGCTTACGAGAGTTCCAGTCTGGATTCGCTCTAGTCAGCCAACTGACAGAAGATGCCTTGAAGAAACCGGTTCTGTCGAGCCAGCCACCACGCCTGGCAAAGTCGAGCAGCTTGAATCGCTGACCATTTCCCATTTCCAATGGACTTCCAGTGTTGGACCAGAACCAGAGAATGATTTGACCCGCCTGGCTACAAGCGTAGACACTCGAGGTGAGAGATCGACAAGCCAGTCCGATTGGAGGGGTAAAGTAAGAGGTCAGGAAAGCGAGGATAAATGGGACATAAATCAGCAGGGACATGATGGCCAGTATAAAAACCCAATCAAAGAATACCAGGTTCGTCCTTGTGCGTAAATCTTCCATGTCGTCGTCGGGCTCAATGTTTCCATTATAGTCCACGTCTCGGCGGGTACCATACGTGTCAATGATTTTGTTGATCCACCCCTTCTTGACATGTCCTCGTCTCCATTGCCAAGCAGTTTTATAACAACTTGGAAATGCTAGACCAAATCGAAGGCCAAAAAAGTGTATAGTGTCGACCTCTTCGTCGCGTTCAGTCGCAAAGACGCCTTCCAGGATATTGGGGTTGTTTCCTGCTAGCAAGAGACCTGAAATGATTGACTGTAAAGACTTAGTAATCGTCGACAGCATTGGGATCTGAGCAAGATGTGAAATTCATCTGGAAACTCACAATATGAGGAATAATCATGTACCACTGCCCAAAAGCCAAGGCCTCGGCAATATCTTCATCGCCCAGCTCTTCAAGACTGCTTAATAGAGCAAATATAAAACCACCCAAGAAGAAAATTACCGGTGCCCCAACGATGGTACCAAAAGAGTACTGGCAGTGAAGCATGGTCCGGAGACGAGTTCTAGTCTTGGCGACGAAGCTCTCGAAAATGTGATCTCTAGTACGAGGTCTTTCTACGTGATCTCGCATGTCACTAGCATTAAACGTTAGCCCATTCAGTCTCAACAACATAAATCCAACATGCAAGGGGATAGAAATGATGGTAGACTTTACTTACCACATGCGATCAGTACAGGCATGCTTTGGCCATTGGCGGGGAAACTCGCCACGAGAGCGATCTTCATCGTCATAGAGACGAATCTCGTACAAAAGGTTCTCCATGTGTCGCCAAGGACTTGCGGCTTCTTGAACGGTCGGTCTCCGGTGCACACCCGTTTGTGCTGGATACTGGATACGCCTGAAGCCTGGAGGCTCATGCGGGTCGACTGGTCGGTCTTTGGTTTGGATTGTGCTGGTTGGTGACAAGGGACCAAATGTTTGAACGGCCATTGGAGAGATGGACAGGGTTCTAGCTGTTGATTTTCTCCGCGGCAATTCATTTCCACGTTCGTTTATCGCGGGCCAGTCATCCTCGTCTGGCTGAGAGGGTTCCTCGATTCCTATCTCGGGTGGTGGTTCTGGCGTCCGCGGAGCAATCTTGTCTTCGCCCACAATCTCCGGATCGGGCAGATTTTCCAACGGGATAGGAGGCTGCCCTTCAATGACCCTGTTGGATATTTTTGGCCGCAGTGCTCCGGGGTACTCTTCTTCTTCCTTGTCCAAGGCGATGTCAAGATTTCCAATAAGAACAACCATTAGACAGCGTGCTCTCATGTCCAGAGTGAGATGCTTGTTCTAGAGCATAATCAGTACTCGTTCTAGCACGACAAGATTTCCATTACTGACAGTCATCTTTTCCTTGAGAAAGTCGAGCATTCTCTTATCCAAGAGGGCTTCGTATAAACCACTGAGTATCATGGGTGCAGCAAAGGCAAAGCAGGTCGAGAGCCAAATTAGCGTGTCCAAAATAACGATCAAGGCAGCTCCCAGTGCGCCCAACGGCGCAGCTAGATAGCCCTTGACGCCGGACAAGTCAGCGGTGAAAAATTGGCGATATATCTCGAGTTTTCTGCGACGAGGAATACTGAATATCAGAGGCACTGCCGGGATCAAAAACCCACTCAGTGGTTGAAGCCATGATTCCAAGTTGCTTCGGTCGTTTAACTGCCAACCGGGACATTTTTCTGTCCACCAAGAATATGGCACCTCGACAAGTGGTGCACCTTTAGGATTGCCATTGTATGTCGCGTCACACGGAAACTGATTCGAGTGTGCCGCACGCTGGACAAAATCATCGAGGGTCGCATTGATGAAGGGAGATGAGTTATTCATGGCCAGGTTGCCATCTACTATAGTGAGGGCAGCCCTTACAGCCTCGAGACAACAATATGTTTGATTTTGGTAGCCGATATACACATTTTTATGTGAGTTTGGGGCGGGTACTTTGAGATCTCCAAGTTGCCAGAATATATTGGCCAGTTGAGAGAGAATTAATGTATCGTTGTTTGATGTTTTTGTTGTTTGCGCGATAGCCGCTGCGGCTGAGGCCGCGAGTAGCGCGCAGACAAGCCTCAACCTCATGGTCTTTTCTGCTTTGTACGGCGCTACATGACAAAAAGATGAGCAAATTGTAAAAGTGTCAATTCGAAAAATCGTCAAGAGGGAGAAGAGGACTTGTTTAAGATGAAAATCTAGAGAGGGTCGTGTCCAGGGCAAACCACTGATGAGAGCACTGATCATGAGCAGTTCATGGAGCAGAAACGACTGACTATGCAGGATGAGTGCAGTGGCTGGAACCCTTGGCCGTCTATCTCGCGTGTAACGTGAGGAGGCGATAAAGATGCCAGTTGGCTGTCATATTTCTCCTTCCTGGCACCATAAGGCTGGCTCTTCACAGCACACCTCTACCAGAGGAATCGCATTTCGCAGTGTGCCGATGAGCCATATCGGGCGCCGAGACCATTCCGAGGGTCACTTGAGCTGTCCAAGTGCGGCTGAGCTCAACGCCTGTCAGAGCAGCTTCAAGATAGGTAGGGGGTGGGTTGGCGGGAGATATCGTGTAAATGCTGTGCATAGATAAGGGACGTCTGGCTAGAGCACCCCTGCGTAGGACCAACCACTGACAAATGCTTGGAGAAGCCACTTGTTAGCGATGTACTGTCCGAATTCAGCTCACCGAGCTGTCTTTCTTTGCAGATGCGCCACTCACGATGACCTACCCGTTGAATCCAACCTGGAAGGACGGGCTAGGACATGAGCAAATGTAGTGCAAGGACCAATGCCCGTGCCCGTCTGCATGTTTGCAGCATATTCGAGTTCCTGCAGGAGAATGCCAAACATGCATCCATTGACCGTTGAAGATGCGAGTACACGTATGGAATGATATCAAGACTATTGCCTGCTGAAGCACCGACTATATTCGTGACGGCTGCAAGAAACAAACCATATTCTCGCAGGGCTATACAATCCAACTGTCTTAAACAACAAGCTTTGATACTATGCACCAATAAGCACGCCATATGAATGGTGTTAGGTTGTGCGACTCATGCTGCTGCGACCTAGATCCTAGTCCTGAACGGAATAGATCCGGGGAATTGACAAGATGGCAGATCTGTCTCATGTTTTCTTGTCAGACACCGACTGGACTTTCACATGCCGAACAATCAGTTCTTGTGACGGACAATTAATCACTAGCAACAGCCAATTAAGGGACACGCCATTGGCGTCATACCACGCTGGACTTGTGGGGTTCAGCGTTTCTTAGCGGCCATTCCCCAGCTTTTCAGGAAAGCCGAGCTCCATTTGCATTGCTGGAGACGAGACATGATGCCGAGATGTGACAATCCCATGATTGAATGTGTCTTCTTCCTTCTTCTCTCCTCTTTTTCCTTGTACACAGGCTGTTCACTTTTACCAACTCGAGACTATTTCCAGGTTAATCACTACTCAATAGGCGCAACCCCGATGAGCGTATAGCGACCGTCACTCTTTCTCTCCGCGCCCTCTCATCCAGCGCCTACCGCCCGTCGTTCCCGCTGTCGCCAAATAGCCTCGGCACAATGTCGCACGCTCTCGAGTCCTTCAAGGTACGCCTTCAACACTGCGCCTCGCAAGATTTGCGCACGAGAAACGTCTTGTTTCTCTGCTCGGGTCCCGTGAGAAAGCAATGGCACGACAAGAAAAAAAAGTATCTAACACAATTGCAAAATAACAGGAAACCTTGAACCGCATCATCCTCGACCCGGCCAACCGCGACCTGCTCGCCATTGTCAAGGGCGCGCGCAATGGCGCCGTCTACGGAGCCAAGGTGCGCTTCCCGCACGCGCTCGTCATGGTCTTCCTGTTCCGCTCCGGAAGCTTTAGGCAAAAGGTCGACCTCGTCTTTCGCGCCACGCGCACCCACGCCCGCAACCTCGCCAAGTTTGCGACCATTTACAAGACCGTGTGCTATTTGCTAAAGTGGTACGGCAGCACGCCGGGCAAGGAGGGTGAGTTTCCCCTGTTTCCATGGTGGGAGATGTGTGGTAAAGATATGTGGTGGAATTGGACTCAGAAAAAAGACAGGACAAGACTAACATTGTGTCTCCTCCAGGCAAATTCGACACTTTCCTCGCCGGTCTGGTTGGCGGCTATTTCGTCTTTGGCGGGCGGTCTCCTCGCTCGGGCAAGATCTCGTCGGTCAACCAACAGATTGTCATTTACGTGTTTGCGCGCGTGGTGCTGGCGCTCGCGCGTCTGGCCGTCCAGCCCGGCAACGGCCTCCCCCTCGTCTCCGAGCCTGGTACCTCGGCTCAGGTTAGCTACTATGCCTGGCCCGTCTTTGCCTCGCTCAGTTGGGCCATGGTTATGCACCTGTTCCGCTACTACCCCGAGGATCTCCAGCCCAGTCTCAAGAGCAGCATGAACTATATCTACAAGGAGAGCGATAACTGGGACTGTTTGAGGAATTTCATCTGGCACAACAAATAAGGGGGATTCTTGTGTATTACGATCAAGTCTGGAATACCGCATCTGGCCTGTCGATTGGGTTTAAATCATGTTTGGCGTTGGGAATTATCATACAACCGTGTATACTGTACATGTCACGGAATATCAACTTTACATGAGGAAGAATAAGCATATTGCCTTGAGGCATAACCGACAGCCACTGTTAATCTTGAATTTGCTGGGTATTGTTTAACGCCATGTCCCAATGCTTTTGATTTTAACCCGTTCCATGTTAGAGATGCTTCCATCCGTTAGACCACATGATTTGCATCTCGTTGATAAGACACGCTTCTCCTGGCTCGTATCGTGGCAGCTCTCCTGCAGGGGTTTCCGCGGCCCATTCTTCTATCCTTTTATGAACGACGCGGGATTCCAACGAAGTCTGAAAGCCAATTCTCCAGCTCATGATTCGATTCGCCCATCCTCCCACAATAGTCCAAAATGGCGTGGGAAATACATCTGCTATGATTTTGTTGTACGCCTTGACACTATACCCTACCCGGACATTGGGGTTTAACCATACGCCCTTGAATGATGACAAGAAATTATCTGCATGAATGAGACAGCATTCAGAGCCCTCGAGATGATATTCTGCCAGGCTGTCATCGATGCCACGAAATCTGAGCGGAGGGTCTGCGTAAAATGGGGCCGCATCAAAGACCACAATCCCGTTCCAGCAAGAAACCACCTTGATGGGTTCATTTTGTAGTGCCGAAGCCTTTGCTTTCGGTGATTGAAACCAAGGCCAGTAAAGCGAAGCCGTTTTCAATCCCAAGTCGTCTCGAAGAGCAAAGGTGTCGTAGTAGGTAGGCGACGCCTTGTAGTCCATGGAGCAAGCAGCAGCATAGTCACCATCGCGCGTATCGAATAGGGTCTGTATGTCCTGGGCCTTTGTGTCATGTTAATACCTTTGGCCTCTCCAGAGAAAAAGTGCTTGGTGCAACTCACGTCGAAAACCACATCGTTCAACCACAAGACCTTGTCGAAGCGCCGGCCTTCAGCCACCAACCGGTCAAGTGGCTCCATGGCTTGATTCCGTACTTTGGACAGGTACGGTATGCGCCGCAGCTCAAACTGGTCCTCGGCCTTGTTCCAGATCCATCCCGGTTCGTTGGAGCCCGGCGGCGGGCGCGCATCGATTTCGTCGAGCTGTTCCCAGACTGTCATGCCCAGGCTTATATCATTCGACGCGCCTCGCTGGTCCAGGCCGTCCTTGAGCTCCATCAAGGCATCTTTCGTGCCCTCCTGCGACCCGGACTCGACGGCGGAAAAGTGCACGTTCTCAGCACCCAGGTAGTCCACCAGCGCCAACACGGCCTCGTTCCATGCCGACCGCTGTATCACCTCTGTATTCCTGTGTACCGAGACAATGTATACCGACGTTTCGTTTACACCCGGCACGTGCGCTCGGCGCTGCTTCAGGGGAGACCTGTGGGTTACCGGTCGGCGGGACACGAGACGGATCGCATCGAGGAGGAAGAGAAAGGTGAAGATGTAGATGGCCGGTCGCAGGTAGAAGCGCCGGAAGCGCCGGTAGCTGACAATCATGGAGAACACGTATAGAATAAGGAGCGACTATGAAGCGAAGAAAAGGAAGGAAATAGAAGCAATAAGGAGCTATTGGTAAAGGTGCACTATCTCATGATGAGCAAGGTTTTGCAGCGTCTCCGTGCTCCTGGAGTTTACAATGCAGGAAAATGTTAAAATATTAAGGCCATGGAAGAGACGGTTCGGGAAAGCCAAGAATTTCAGGAGATGTCAGCAGCAGACAGGATCGCAATTGAGGCGTCTACACGTCCACGTGTGGATGTATCAAAGACAGGCAAAGGAGCTGGGAACATGACGACCCTGGATGTCGAATTGCTTGCGTGGCCGGGTACAGCGTAGATCGCTGGGGAAGCATGCTAACCTGGCCAGGTCTGGTGGCAGGGGCGGTGCGTACAGCTAATACGGGGCTCGGCGGGGCGCCGGGAGAGCATCGCTTGTATGTACAAAGTATAGCCCTGGAGCATGTTTGCTGACTTCAACTCCAGGCATTATCTGCTCCTCCTGTCAAGATTCATATGGTCAATAAATTTAATTGTGAGTGGTAATGCACTCGGTATAATCATATTGTCCAAGATGCAAAAGCAAAAGAAATTGTATAGATACAATCTTCTATATCTCTTTGCAATAAAAAGAAGCTCATTCCACTGACAGGCGGATCCCCAGGATATTAAAGACGGCAGCCCACCCTAGTGTGCCGGTAAGCCCATCCCTGGCCATCGTGAGCTCAGGCCGTAGAGACTTATGATGTAATTGGTCGACCAAATCATTACATTTCATCTCAACGTACGACTCCTGTCTAGAACCATCATAACAACCTACATCAATATCAGAGCGCCCTTCCAGAACCTCACCGCGACAGACGACGCTATAAAAGGTACAAAATCGCAACATGGCCTCTGCAACCCAGCTACCGGTAGCGGCAGCCGAGGGCTTCAAGGACGCAAACGCCTATGATGCCTACCGGCCATCGTACCCTGCCGACGCTGTCGAAAAGTTCTTTGATGGAATGAAGCTCAAGGGCACCTCAGATGCCAGAGTCGTCGAAATTGCTTCGGGAACAGGCAAGTTTACCGAGCTGCTTGCCAACCAGCCGGAGCGATTTCTGGTCAAGGCTATCGAGCCCCATGAGACCATGAGGCAGAAACTGGCTGAAAAGGACTTGCCCGCCGTTGAAGTCATCAATGGCTCGGCCAGCAAGATGCCTGTGGAAAATGAATGGGGTGATGCCTGCATTGCGGCTCAGGCATTCCATTGGTAAAGCCAACCATGGTCACTTGTTACCGTGTCTTCAAGGTACTGACACAACACGATAGGTTTGCTACACCCGAGGCATTGAGCGAGATACACCGCGTACTGAAACCAGGAGCGGTTTTTGGAATGATTTGGAACATTGACAATTACAACAACCCAAAGGGTTGGGAGGCTTCGACCAAGTGGGAACAAAAGTTGAATGACTTTGTCTGGTCTCTTGATGACGGCCACTCGAGGTTTAGGCACATGGTAAGTGATCGTGTTCAGCTCTCAAGTAGATTTCACAAGCTGACATGTACTCCAAGAAATGGAAGGAGGTCTTTGAAAAGCAGGCTCCCGGTAATCCCTTTCAAGTTGTCAAGGACACTTTTCTGGATCATCTCCCCAAGTTTTCACTGCCTCTCGGCGAGGATTCGGTCAAGTGGACAGTCTGGTTAAGCGAAGACGCCTTGTGGGCACGCATCAGTACACTCAGCCAGATCGCCATACTCAAGGGCGAGGAGCGGGAGAATGCGATCAAGGTTTTCAAGGAGGCGCTTGCTAGTGATGATGTCGAGAGGAATGAAAAGGGCGAGATTGCTGCTCACGGTGTGACCTATTTTGCATGGACGGACAGAATCTAGACCTTGTATTGTTCGTCTGCCATGTTCCTATCATCAAGATACCCTCGCAGCATTTAGCTGATGGATTTATGAATTTGAAGAATATCATTTACTTTGGCCCACAGTTGTTGATGCCTGCATGTGCATGTAATCTCATTGACTGCTTTCTACGCAACCCTCTTGTGAGACCTGTTCATAAAGGCTTCTGTACTGGATCGTCGAGTTCTATTTGTGCCTAGATCTTGAATCAATCCGCCGAGATGTACATTACTATGAAGAAAAGTCAGCAACGAATTTACCGCATCAGTTGGCTTACTCACCGTTGTTACCCCTGACAAAGGCGTCTCCGTATGTCCTCCGCTTTACGCCATTGACGTACTCTTCCGTCTTTTCCAGTGCAATGTTCATGTATCCATCAACGGACTGAAGCTCTCCTACGTCTCAATGTTAGCACAGCTCAGACCACAAGGTCATGCGAGTCAACCAACCCTTGTAGACGACGCCAGAGTTGAGCTTGACGGTCACGGGGTTGCCATGAAGTTCGGACAGGAAACCTGAAGGATCCCTTCCATCGCCTTGGGTGACGGTTCCGTTCTCCATGTTGAGGTCAAACGTGTGCTTGGTGGTGAGGACCAAATCTGAAAGCTTCTCTCTAGGTCTCTGGAATCAAATTGTCGTCTTGCGCGTGTCTGAGGCTTGTATGTATTTGATATGTCTGAATCCTGATGAGGGTTGGTTGGCAAGGCCCCACTAAAGCCTCTCTGCCTTGACGATTGCCCAGCACCCGCAGACTTGAAAAAAGGCGGGCACTTTCCGCATCCCACTTGTCTTGTTAACCGTTGCACAGTGTAACTTTCCCATCTTGCCCCACCCTGAACATCAATTTAGCTGTGGGGCAATCGCGGCTCTCTTGTACCTCGCGTTGAAGAAATTCAAAAAAGCATCGCGACGCTTGGAATTATTTTGTTTGGCCTCGTCGCGTTCCGGTTGGGGTGCCTGTTTGGCGTATCCATCATCCCCAAGAGGGTTCGCCAACCCTTTTTGTTTCCATCCAAATACACCTATTGATCCTACGATTCGACTTTGATCGAGCTGCTGCTCTACTTGAACAGCTGCGCCTAGTCCTGTCGCAATCACGGCTTCAGAAATAGCTTCAGCAGCTGTCTTTAACTGATCGCCAAATAACAACGAATTCAAACTCGCACAAAAGGGCCCTCTGCCCCTAGCTACCAGCAAAATGGAGAAACCCAAGCGAGTTCTTCCATTCAAGAAGCGAGCAGCTCCTCGGAATTCCGATACGCCTGCAGAGAACAAGACTACAGACGATGATTCCACTAGCATGTTCCGCAAGCGTTCCAACAAGTACTTTGAGGATGCCGAGAGAAAAGCCGCTGAGAAAGCAGCTCTTCAGGAAAAGGCACGCCGGGAGAAGAATAATGCAGATGCAGACAATGAAGCCAAGGAGCAGCTCTCGAGAAAGTCATCCAAGTCTGGAACAAATTCAACGCCCCGACGAGGCTCCAAACGACATCGCATGTCACTTTCGGACGACGAAGATGACAGCGAGATCAATTCTCCCACCCCATCTTCCCGCAAGTCGTCTCGATTCAGCAGCACACAGTCGCCGAGCCGATCACGAGACAGTATCAAAAAGTCGAAGCGGCCACACTCAAAGTCATTAGGATCAAGCAAGCCACCCTCGACCCAGGTCATCTCACTAGACAGCGACGATGACGACCCCTTTACAACTACAACAACAAGAGCAAAGGACAAGGGCAAGGAAAAGATGAGCCCACTACCTACGAACGGCTCAGACGTGCCACCATCGGCGCAAGCTCTGCACCACAGCGACGTCGAGGACGACACGCCAGTCGACGGTAGCCTGCACGATCCTGATCCTGACGACATTGGAGCTGCCTACATTCGCTCTGCCCAGGAACGAGCCATGAAGAGAAGAGCAGTGCTCGAGGCTGAAGAGGCTCGGGTCGTCCCGGCCGTTGAAGTCATGATAGAATCCAAATTACCAGGTATTCCACCTCTCAAGGTGAAGATCCAGATCAACAAGAGGATAAGCATGATGAAGGAAGCCTGGAGGAACTATGTCAAGAAAAGGCTCGATGAATTACCGTCAATCACACCTGCCATCATTGACAGTGTATTCCTCACCTGGAAAGAGATGAAGATTCAGGAGGTCCTCACACTCGAGCGACTGGGCATAACGCCCGACAGCCAGGGTAACATTACTCCCCAAACACCAAAACTTGAAAATGTATACGCTAGCCGGGACAAGGTCCATCTCGAGGCATGGACTCCAGAGCTTTATGAGAAGCACAATCTCGAGAAGGAGAGAGAGCGTAAGCGCAACTTGGGCGAGCTCGATGATGAACCAGTGGCCGAGGAAGAACCTGAACCAGAGACCCCGACTCCAAAATCGATTAGGATCATTTTGAAGTCTAGAAACTACGAGAACATGGGGCTCAACGTGCCACTGGATATCACAGTCGGCAAGGTTGTCCAGGCTTTCCGTAAGAAGCACGGTTTAGACCATGAAAAGGTGATCAAGCTTCATTTCGATGGTGAGATTCTCACGGAAGAAGAGACGATGGATGGTATTGGCGTAGAAGACATGGACTCTCTGGAGGTTCATATCACGGATCCCTGACAGTTCCATGTCGACGCGTGCAGTTTTTCGAGTTTAAGCGTTGTCGAAACACTGGGGCTTTCAGGGAATTCCAGGCAAGTGTCTTATTCTGGGAAAGCAATCTGTGCTGGCCTTATGACTGATGATTGGAGTATTTCACATTTGTTGAGTGTTCGCTCTACAGCTTCCATGCCCTGTGGAAGTAAACTATAGTAATGATACCCCTTATTTTGCATTGGTTTAGTCCTGTAGCAGCAATTTCAAAATAATCTTGTCTTCAAGTTGGTGGTATTGAAATCAGTATATCTTTCCGGGCATGACATATGCACATGGGATATTCCCCAGTCGGTCTGAATCAACCATGACGGAAATCCGCTCTAAACTCCATACACCTCAAACGCCTGACCAATGATTTCATGCAGAAATTTTCCTTTTGACCACTCTAAAATCTCTCCTTCATCCTCGAGGCAACAATTCTTAGACCGTTGTATACCTTGCCAGGCTGCTTGCCGAGAATCAACGATACGATGCTTTCTCTTGCAATCTGAATGTTCTTGAACCCGCCGAGGATGTGAATCTTGCTATCCGCAAGGACAATTCTCGTTCGGCTCGCCTATAGTCCAAAGTCAGTCCTAATCTGCTTGCTAGATTCTAGAGTCAAACGTACGTTTTCAATAGAGTGCTTTGTCTTTCCCTGGGCACCGGCAATACGACCAATAGCACGAGCAACTATTTCCCTGTCAGCAAAGCATTTCTTGCAAAGCGTGCCCATGGTCGTGGGGAATAACGATCCATGACCAAACCAAGAGGGTCAACGTACGGTGGTCGCCACTCAGAGTCTTGACATCCTTGATCTCAAAAGTCTCGACATAGAGATCATCGAGTCGAAGCAGGGCAATGGCATCCTCGACATCAAAACCCAGGCAAAAGGCGCGGACAAAGTCCTCACCCTTTTGCAGAGCACCGGCCTCGGCAGTGTGGCGGCTGGTCCGCAACTCGACGGCCTTGGACTTGACGTTCATGCGGCACTGCAGCTTAAGGTGCTCGACCAGCGGCGGGTAAATCTTGGGCCACGAGGCCTTGAGCGGGCTCATGCGGTGCGGCGGGATGGGAACCTTGCGCGACTCGATCCGGTGCGCCGCCGGGGCGTCCCGCTGCGGCGCAAACTGCGGCCGCGACTCCTCGTCAATCTCCATGTCTGTGTTGGCGTTTGCGGCCGTGGGCGCCTGGATCGCCGTCGTGTCCAGCGTGTTCATGGCGTCGGCGTCGAGGAGGAGCTCCTCGTCCTCGGTCCCAGTCACTGGGAGGGGGATATCTGCCGCGGGGGCATCTTGGGCGGTCTCGATGGGCGCCTTGAGCGCCGTTGGGGCAGGCATGTTGACGGCGTGCGCAAGAAGCTGATATTCAAGTGTCTGGCTTGTAGTTGTCGTCGTGGGGGCAGGCGTCAAAGAGAAGACTCGGTCACTGACAATAGAGTAAGGGTCTGACCGTTGTTTAATTATTCCCTGGGTATCGATACCGCTTTGGCTTTCCCGCTCGACAATAATTTTTGGGCGTGGGGCAAAGCTCTGATAAGTGATAAGAAAAAGACGATCAAAAAAGTCGGTGCTTTTTTCCTTCTGCTTTTCGGGGTTTACCACTAGAATCCCCCCTGTCAGAGGGGCTGGGAGCTGTCCGCTGGCACTGCACAGGCCTGTCTGGGCCCTTAGCACACCTTCAGCGCGCGCAAAATTCCTGCCTTGGTCGATTGGCTAGCGCGTCATGGAAATGCTAATGACGAGATTTTGCTCTCTGACTCTACCTTGATCGACCTTGATTCCCATTCATGCGTTAATGGTGGTTTGGGTGCAACACCACCTCATACGCTCTTGTTTATTGTCCTTGTGGATTGTTTACATCTCGAGACTCCTCTAGCGACTTCTTGGTGATGTTATTGCTTTCTTGAATCGTCATCTGCCTGTTCAACACTCTATGCAGATCATCATGAGCTCTTGCAATGTCTACAGCTAGAACGTCGCTCTTTGGCCGCCAGGCCTGGCGATCGATCTACGAGTCGCTCGACTTTTTCGGTACAAAGATATCATCGAGGCCGACTACGACATGCCGATCCGGTATAAATCATCACAGCACGATACCTGGACGATCAACGAATTATTCATCATGGTCCTTTCCGAGAACCCCGAAAGTGCAAGGATATAATGTCCGAAGAAGCTTCACCTCTGGAGGCCTGCTGCTTGTTGGCGTCAACCCGACCTCCTCTACGACGAGCGCAGTAGTGTCTACATGCACATCTGCCGCTGACTCTTCAATGATCAGTGGCACGACACAGAAATCAGATTTATTAAGGCTTGCGCGGCAAGCATGGACAAGAGATATCCACACTGGGAGGGGTAGGCGGCGGCATGGCGCGGTTTCGCGAAGGCGAAAGTCTACCAAGTCGAGTAGCAACTCTACAAAAGCTACGGCGGCGGCATCACAGGCCAAACAAGAGTCTGAAAGCGCTTCGGTAGCATCCAAGCCAGAAGACAAGCCGCAGGCCGAATCAGAACATCACAACTATATTGCCAATTATTTTCATCTCCCGAATGTCCACCTGCCTCATCGACCGACAAAAGAGGAATTCTTGGCCGCTGCCAATGGGTTCTGGGCACGCATGAGTGTTCGTTTCAAGTGGTTTTCCATTAGAAGCATGCGTCCATGGAATACAGACGAGTGGGGAGCCTTTTTATCCTTTTTCCTCTTTGGACATTTGGTGTGGATCTTGGTTGGTACGACGACATTCGTATCTCTACTTCTCCTCTTTATCAACACGGTCTCTGCACAAGGTAAGTTGGAAATGGTCAACACGCATCGCTCCGTGCTAATTTGTATAGAATGGTTGGCCAAAAAGGTTGGTGATTACTTGACAGAGTCGGCTGGCTTGACGGTCATTTTCGAGTCTGCCATTGTTCCCAAATGGAAAGATGGAGTCATCTCGTTTAGAAATGTCTACGTTTCCCGAAGACCGGGTCAGACCAAGTCTACAGTCAGCAAAGGTTCGCCCTCGACCGCTGCAGCTGCCGCAGCTGCGGAAAACGAAAAGAAGGAGATTACCGAGGAAGACGACGGCAACTATACACAATTCGACGTATCACTGAGCACGGTCAATGTGACATTGTCTTTTGCAAAGTGGTGGAACGGAACGGGACCACTCAAGGATGTGGAAATCAAGGGCGTTCGCGGTGTGATTGACAGGACATCGGTACATTGGTCTGATGCCAATGTCGATCCCCTTTCTTACCGACACGAGCACAACCCTGGCGATTTCGAAATCGAGTCGTTTAAATTGGAGGATCTTCTTGTCACGATTCACCAACCCGGAGGTTTCCGCCCCTTTTCTGTGAGCATCTACTCCATGGAGCTTCCTCAATTGCGGAAGCAATTCATGTTCTACGACCTTCTCTCCGCCAACCACATGTCGGGCTCTTATGACGGCTCGCTCTTTACCATTCACCCCCGCCAAGTCCACGGAGTTGCAGCTGGCCAGGAAAGAGCTGCAAATGATTTCGGAGAGCCCAATGCTTGGAAAAAGTTTAGTCGTTGTCGAATCGACGGGCTCAAAATTGATCATTTGAACAAGGGCGACCAAGGACCATTTGGATGGATCTATGAAGGCAATGTCGACATTGTAGCCGATATTGCTTTCCCTACGGATGACGAGGACAGCATTTTTGAAGTCGTGTCTGACTTTTACGATCGCTTGGAAGAAGCCGTCACGACCAATCGCTATCTACAGATTCTCGACAGGACAAAGCGCCGTGTCAAGGAGGACGGAGAGGATGCCCTGCGAAGTGGCACGTTTGAAGACGCGGCACAGGTCCCCATTGTCAGTGAGGCAGATCCCGCAGCTAAACCTGCTACCCCAGACCCTGAAAGTGGATCGCCTTCATCAGTGCCAAGCTCTACTGATGATGAGCCACCACGCTACCTGGTCATGGATCTGCGCATCCACATGAACGATGTCAAGGCTACCGTCCCCGTCTTTGATTCGTCCCTGGGCTATATTAACCAGGCCCTCGTTCGACCCATTGTTGCTTACATCAACGCCAAAAAGACATATATACCCATCGGGTGCCGTATAGTTAAGCGTGCTTCCGACTTTGATGGGGCTTGGTCATTGTACGACTGCGGTCTTATGAATGACATGTCAGCAGAAGTGTACGATGCCTTTGCGCGCGACGTCGAAGACCAACAGAGTCGGTCCAGACGACTCAAGAAGGTTGGCTTCTGGACTTTGAGTCTGGCAGCCCACGCCTTGTTTATGGGCATGGCCGGTAATGTCGTGTAAGACAATTGTAACAAGAAACAAAAATATTTGGGGAGGTTTGATATTGAAACACGCCTCATTCTTGGAGTTTTGTGCATTAGAAGGGTAATGGTGTATACAAGGACTTGGTGGTTTTACACCCGGTGTTTGGCGCTCGAAAGGCTGTTTACCCACTAGAAGTGGCTGCAAGCGGTGGAATATCCCTCTCATGTTTAGATAGGGGAGCAATGCGATCATGATCTATGCTTGTCATATACGAGTACACCTAGTGAATTGAAGTCATGAGGATGAAATGTGCTCTAGATTGGTCCGTGCGGTCAGCGTGGAGAACCATTTAGGTATAAATCAGGGCACATGATGTTTGGTCTTTTATAGGACAAAGTAGTCTATACGTGGACTCTTGGCTTGCTCCATATGACCACTGGCTGAGACAAACTCAAAGTCATGTCTCATTCTAGTCCAACACCCACTGGGTCCTAACTAGGAGAAACACTCTAGTCAGGGCAATGATCATGTTCCTAATGGGCATCAATTGACTATTATTTTATTCAAGCAGCAGGTGATTTTGAAGATACTCATATCCAAGCAGTTTTTCCAATTTCACAGCTCGATTTAAATGGTCAGATTGTGTAATTTTAAGAGAGTTTATTCGCTGCCGACTCCAAGGTTCTATAAACAAAAAGAGATAGGAAATTATAATCTATAGCAATCTTCGTGTACGCTTCATAAGAAAATATCGTCATCACTCATCACCTTCATCAAAAGCCTCTTCCACCATCCACTCGTGACCCCCTTCACCATGTTTTCTAGTCCCTCCTCCATGACCATCACCTTCTAATCAATAATTGCTCTAGCTGGAGCAGGTGGCGGGGGTGGAGCTGTTGCTTCCAGTGACGCTGAACTCAATGGTGTAGTGGTCCGAGCCGCGGTACTGGCCGTTGTTGGTGGCGTAGCTAGCATCCCAAGAGTTGGCGTACATGGCGCAGAGCTGCTGGCCGGTGCCGCCGTTCTTGATGAGCATGTAGGTGTTGTAGAACTGGCACGTCTTGTAGGTTCCGTCCGAGGCCGGGTGGGCGCGGTTGTAGTCGCTCTGGGCCGAGCAGGCGGCGGCGCACAGGGAAGGGTCAAAGGGTCCAGAGGTAAAGGCCTTGACGCCCAGGTAGCTGTCGCTGCCGCTGGGGCACAGGGGCGCGTTGATGGCCTTTTGGCCGATGTAGGTGCCCGTGTAGCCGGTCGGGCTGGCAAAGGGTCCGACGCTGTTGTAGCCGTTGGAGCCGGCAATCACCACCTCGAAGCTGCTGCGCCATTGTCCCGTGTTCTTGGCGTTGGTGCTGTAGACGGGACCACCCCAGAAGACACACTTGATGACCGTGGTACTGGCAGGGTTGGGGCAAGCGGAGCCAGGGTCCTATGATTATGTGAGCACTTGTTGTTTGTATACTAGAGGGTAAAGACTGTATGACTTACCAGAGAAGGGTCACGCTCAAAGTAAATGTTGAAGGCGTTGCAACCAGAAATGGCCTTGCACTTGCTGGCGCAGGTGGCGGCATCGTAGCTCTTGAGAGCAGTGTATCCCATGTAGGCATAAGCCGAGTTGGAGCCCTGGAGGTTCGAGAAGCTCTGCACGAAACCCGAAGGCGTCGTGGCGCTCTGGGCAGCAGTAGAAAAGTCGGTATCGGCAAGGAAGGCGTCTGGGGTATCGGGGTCGGGAACGGGGCCGTAGCCCACAGGCTGAACCGCACAGTTGCCGTCCCTCTTGTCAAAGGCAAGCCTGTTCTTCATGTCACGCCTCATCTTGACATCGTCAACAATGGGGCTGGCAGTGATCTCGGCGGCGGCACTGGCAGCTGCGGTGGCGCTGTTGTAGGCGACAGTGGTCGAACCCGCACCGATCGGGACCGTGGTGGTCTCGGGAACAGGAGCAGAGTCAATGACATCAAAGTCAAGGGACTGAGCCCGGGCGAGGGCGGCAAAGCCAAGGGCAAAGATTGCAGACTTCATTGTGAGGATCTTGTGTGTAAAGATGAGACGGGCTCGGAGAGTGATGAAGAGGCTCTTTCTCGGTTGGAGAGTGAGGCTGTAGAGTAGAGTTGTTTGAGTGTCTGCTTGTTTGAAACAGAACTTCAAAATGTGGTAATGATCAGCTTCTTATAGACGCGAGACAACAGATGATTCCCATCAGACAATCTGCCCACTAACACCAGAATAGATCCTCTTTCAGGCGAGAGCCCATGAACACAACAGCACGAGGCTAGAAACCGTAACCTTTTCGCGCTGACCGCGGTCGCGACGCCGCAAGACTGAAGTCTCGATTTTTTTTTTCCTCCCTAGCTGACAACACACGATGCACTAATGGCGGTGGCTGTCTATAGTCTGTACGGTTTTCGGTAGTCAGGAACTGGGGATAGCCTCAATGGCTGGCTGCGATTGGCCGTTGTTGCTAGTCGTCGACGCCTCTTTGGCTTCCAGAGAGCTGGGTCCGAGAGGCTGAGACCTGAGCAGCCCCGTCGACAGGCACCATGTGGTGAGCAAAGTCTAATCGAGTCAGGTTGACCTGGAGCAACAGCGAACGGATATTCTTCACTTTGAGGCTAGTTCATATTGCTGGCAAGCCATGAACAAAAACACACGGACAGAAATGTCGGCATCCCCAGACGGAACCAGCCTACCGGAGCTCCAAGCCAACCTTGGGGGAGCATGCAGCATCAGTCGCGCTCGTGGGCCAATTGCACAGACGCGACCCGTGTGACTTTTTTTTTTATTCTCCCAAGCCTCAAGATGCTAAGATACTTTGAGGTAGATAGGACCGTTCTCAGCCCGACTGGGGGGTTTGTTGACGCCCACGATCCATTCACATGGCTACGTCGTACCCTGCATGCAACTCAGCTGCTCCACCATTGCCTGATAGGGATATCTGAGCATAGACTGACCACTCAATTTGGGTCTCGCTTGAAGGGGACCCTGGTCGCCTAGGACTCCCAACTCGACGATATGATCCGATTAATGCCTGCCCCAGGGTGAGGAGCCATATGCTGAAAACGCTTCTCTTCGGCGCTGAGCGAGGCCCAAAACAACAAAAATTGCCGAATTCATCGCAAAATGAAGTCGACGATGTCGTTCAGTGTCCAATCAAGAGACCAATGGACCACAGGATGAGTTGTTGTCGATGTAGAGTGGGGAAATATGAACGCCTTTCAACGCCGCAGCGCACCAGTCGCATTATGCTTAATTGACCAAAACCAGACCAAGACCACACCACGATCTACCCACTTTGAGCCACTTTCTTCCAACAGCACAGCAAACAAAGGCCCGTCGCCCGCCGAGGAGCCCAATGGCTTCCATTCCACCACAAGTGAACCGCTAGGAGCCATAGTACGGAACGTGCCGGATCGTCGGAGGCTGCTAAATGCGGGAATGGGAACCGTCTTAATTGGTCCGTGTTCTTCAGCTAGGCTTCTGGCGTCTTTGCTAGTCTCGGGCTATTGGAGGTAAACTTATCTCTGCAATGATTCTAGCCCGTGGAAGACCCCTTGGACCCGACCTTGCCGGCCTTGCCTGTGTTGGGATGTTACTCGGCACAAGAAAATGTGGCAGTTGTTTTCTGGCAAAACCCTTGATGCCCCTGGTCAGAAGCTGAAGAAAAGGTCTTTGTATTCATTCACCTCACGGACTCGGCACAAGTTTGTCAACTCTTTGATTTGTTTCGAAACCACTCATCCAATCGATTGAAATCGTTTCATCCATTGCCATGATAGGCCAAACACTGGACGTTATGGATTTGGGAAATGTGGAATGAAAACACAAAGAGCCGTGATGTTGGCAAAGATTACTAATTCCATGATGGGTATATCTCAGCCGAGTACAGGCATCAGCTCAGTCAAGCCAAGGCATCTAGATTCCCTCTAGACTCATTACCTCCGCGGAACAGCTACGGTGCACTACAAAGGCAGCGATAAAGCCATGCCTTACGTGGTAAAGAAACTGTTCGGCAAATGTCCAGCTTGGACTGACTGGACTGACTATCCATTCTGTTCGGTCCCGCGGAACGGCCCAGGTAGTCTAGGCGCCGTCGAAGAAAAAGACTCGACACGATTGAGAATCATCAAGTTGATCTTCTTTCATACGCTGGTGCCCAATCGCGCCATGAGGTGAGTGTACCATGAAGGATACCCCATGCCAGCATTGAGTGAGAGACTTACTGCCTCAATATCCAGGACTATTGCAAGGTCCAGCAGGTAATGGTGAAAGACGGGCGATATCAGGAGCGCAAGCACAACTCTACATAGAGTAATATTAGCCATGTCGTGAACCGGATCAGCATGTACACGACACGTGTGATATAACAGAGCAGCGCATCCCCTATTCCCTGCCGAATCATTGATTGCTATACATGTAGGCGCCCTCATAAATGGCAGTCAGATTCTCGAACAACAAAAGAAAATCTTCAAGAGCATGGGTGCGGTCTCTCTTAAAAGTCGTGTTAGTCTCGTCACAAACTCAGAGCCGAGAGAATCATTGGAATAAATTTATTGATTTGCCATTAGATGGATCCTGCGTCCTTGGATCTCGGCACCAAACACAAGAGAGCGAACCAAAAATGGATATTGCACAAAGTATCATTCATTGACTATTAGAAGTCATCCAAAGGCAAACCGTCTATCTTGCAAATTGTCAGAAATCGACTAGCATTCCATGACTATCCCCATTCCTTGCAGTGCTCTTGCCAGAATACAAAGCAATTACCCCCAAGCTGCTGGATCAACAGCTCTCCCGCTGCAGTGTCAAGTGCACAAGCACTGAATTTGCCAGCCTGTGCCTCCGAGTCCAGTTCCAACTATCGCCGCGAGCTGGGTGCCGCCCCGGCGACCCTGTGATTTGGTTGGATATACCTCACAGAAGCTGGCAGGCCTTGATGTGGTTGATTTCTACGAAGCCGTTTGGCGGACGTGGGCTCAAGAGAGCCGAAGGGACTTGTCTGAGATGCGCATCGCAGCTAAGCCACGATTGAAGTTGAAACAACCTGAGCGCCCTTCACATAAAGTCATCATCGCCGAAATCATCATCGTAGGTGGCCATGTCCTCGGCGTTGGCCCGGGTAGTGACCAGACTCGTCTTGGTCTTGGCAGCCTTGGTCTTCTTGCCACCCTTTTCAGCAGCCTTCTCCTCCTTCATCTTTTCGTTACCGAGAGCAGTCAGAGCGCTAGCAATCTTCTTGATCTGGTCGCTTGGGAGGTCCTTGGACAGCTGCTTGGAAAACTCTTGCATGAACAGACTGTAGTGAGCCTTCTTGTGGTTGGCGCTAATGATTGGGACGAGCACGTTGCGCAGGTTCTCAAACTGAGTCTTGGTCTGGGGCTTGAAGAGGGCGAGCGAGGCCATGTCGATGGTCTTGGTTGGGTCCTTGGGGTCGATGGGGATGGCAGAGCCGGCGGTGACGGTCTTGCGCGTCTGCGTGCTGTTGCTGAGACCGACATCGCCAAACAAGTCTGCGGCGTGCTTCAGGTCGGATTCAACCTCGGCGCGCTTGAGACGCTCACGGCGCTCGGCCTCGGTCTCCTCCTCATCGCCACTGCTCTCATCGGCGAGCTGGGCAGCACGTTCGGCAATACGCTCCTCGATACGCTGCTTCTTGGACTTCTTGTTGGCAGCAGCCTCGGCATCGGCCTTGGCCTTGGCTTCGGAAGCCTTCTTGGCCTTCTCGCGCTCTACTTCAGAGTCTTCGGCGGCATCCCAAGAGTCGAGGACCTAGAAGATGTCAGAATGTTGCATCTACGGCAGCGTCGACTGGACGTGTAGGCTTACATCACTGTCCTCGCCTTCCTCGTCGTCGAACTTGCCACGGCGAACAGTGGCGTTGGCAGCAGGTGAGTCGGGGGGAGTGCTGCTGGAGTCGGACTCCTCCTCATCTGCGGCGACAAAAAGCGGTCAGCTAAATCCAGATAAGGGCATGATGCATCGCGACGGGGATCAAGCAGCCTGCGCAACCCCCTCCAATGAGACGGTGTAGAGATGTGAGATCAAGCCCCGCCTCAAGGCGATGCGACATTGGATACAATCCTGGTTCATTCAAAGGATTCTCTTTGCAGAGACGCGTCGCGTATGTGGTCTTTACCATGGACTGCCAGAGGCGACAGTTGATGTGTCTTTTTTCTCCCTCTTCCTTGCGGAAAGGTGCGCGCACTTTCGGGGGTAGAGAATAAGAGCGACAGTACTTACCCCACTGCTTTCCGGCAGGCATGATGATGTTATTTGGTAAGTCGAGTAGTTGACAAAGGGTGTCTTGGTTTGACGAGGATCCTTGCGACTCTGGAGTGAGCGATATGATTCCGCACTTTGGTTGAAGGGAGACAAACAGAGAGAGAAAGATTCAGTAAAGCCGAGAAGGGGCTGTGAGATTTTTGGGGCTTCGTCGCCTAAAGTCGGTAGGTAAATTTACAACTGTGTGCGAAAGCGCGACAGGTGCCCAAAATGCCTGAAAGCCGGGATGGAGGGGCTAAAAGTGAACAGAGACGTATCAAAATGAGGGGCAGAGGGCAACGAAAAATTGGTGGGGAGAGGGGTTGTTCTTTTTTTTTTTTCCCCCTCTACGTAGTACGTACATTATACTTTGTACACCTTGCAGGCAAAGCCCCAGCCTGGAAGGGTGGTCATTGTCAGAGGGGCAATTTGTATTGGCATGGAAACGGTATACTTTCAAGAAAACATGGTTTTGAACTATATTCATTAGCCATTCCATATACTCGAACATGTTTAAATGACACAAAATTCTCTCCTTTTCACGTTGGCTCAACCAATGTGCGATGGATAATTCAAGGTAGCAAGCCTTGAACCAGGCGACCGAGTAAGGCATCAAGTGTAACCAGTACTACAGCAATCCCGAGCCCAATTTCACAGCATACGGTAGCAAATCAAGCTGAATGACGTCGTGCGTCACAAGCAAATTCCTACATTTATGCAAACATCTCAAATGAGTCACTAGAGTTGTGATTCGATCGTCAACCAGAGAACATCTAGTGCGACTTTAACAAAATCTCTACAATTCCGCAGTCTACAATTAAGTTCTGCTGGCGGGAGACGTCGAATTCATACAAACATTTCTCAATCGCCTCTGTCCCTGCTAGCAGCCAAGACCAAAGCTCAAGAGTCATACACCACGTAGAGTGGCATGGTGGGTACTGGAGATCCATATCCCAAGTCCGGTCGCCGGATGTTTCAAGACTCCATTTTCAGACAAGCAGAGATCTGGAACTTTGTGGCTCCAAGATCAGGACAAAAGGAGACTATTCCTTGATGCACATCCATTCTCGGCCTTTCAAGGCTTTAGTATCACTGCAAATGCTTTCGTGCAACCCCGTGGTTTATGCAACTGTCCGTGATTTTCACTGTCCGTGGTTCTCACTGTCCGTGGTTCTGATTGTCCGCGCGAATTATATCCGTGCGTCTCGTCTCTTTCCCGTGATTGGCATTCCCACTCGAGACGACTTTATTCGGAATGGGCCAATTGCGCAAATTTGAGCATCAAAAAGGGCTGAGCAAGATAATTTCCTGCATCGTCTTACTCATACCTGAAATCGAAAATAATTCGTCTTGTTTTTCATGTTTTTCCATCATCTCACACCGCAGCTACGATAATTCCTCGGGCTAGTCAGGCCTGAGCTTCCTGCAAATCCCGACTTCTCAACACCAGCTGACACATTCTCAGATCCCGTACTAGTAGCCTTGACGGACGTATTCCGCCAAGAGCCTCATTCCTCCCAGCAAACTGGGTCGGCATATGGTCACTAATTAAAATAGATCAAATGCCATTGGACCCCGAGCGCGAGGCCGAGAAAATAACGTCCATGCTGCATGCTCCTTCGTGGCGGCTCAGAAAGGACGCCATTAGGCCTCTGACTCAATCGTTCCCGTACCTTGCTCCCCAAGGAATCTTTAGTCAGATGCCCTACCGGGTGCTGTACGGTCACTTTTCGGGATCTTTGTTTGGTGGCCATATACGTACCTGGGCAGTCTTTGTTCAAAGGGGTATCAATCCTCGATTGTGTAAAATAATATAAAGCTTGCTACTACCTGAGGCAGACATGGCTGAACTTTGCTCATTATATCCAAAGGACTAGAGAACACAGAATACACTCTCGAACTAGAACCAATAGGCATTACTTGCCACCATACCTCTTTTTATCTATACCCATACTCGACATTCCACATGCTATCAACCCAAGCCCAAATCAGACTTTGCTCTACAAAGCAAGTCACTCGGCTTTCGCAAGCCGTAGTGCCCCTTGTCCATTCCGGGCTCGGGTACAATGCAGGTCTAAAGACGGGCTTTGTTAGCATCTATCAACATGGCAGCACAAGATCCTTCTCAACCACTCCGGAAAGAAGATTAAAACACTTCTTTCCAGCCCAAGAGACGGAAAATATTCGACAAACACCGCCAGCATGGGAACACCACGGCTTCACAGAACAGGAAATGCTCGACATTGTCCCAGCCCACCGACCGGTTGAAACATGGGGCGACTGGGCAGCGTGGAAGGTGATGCGGGTATGTCGTTGGGGAATGGACTTTTGCACCGGCATGAAGTCGGAACAGCAGGTTGACAAGAGGGATCCCACAACGGCAATCTCGACCATTAAACCACTAACAGAAGAGCAATGGCTTGTACGTTTCCTGTTCCTCGAGTCCATCGCCGGTGTCCCGGGAATGGTTGCTGGCATGCTTCGACACCTTCACAGCATGAGGAGACTCAAGCGCGACAATGGCTGGATCGAGACACTCTTGGAGGAGTCGTACAATGAACGTATGCACTTGATGACATTCATGACCATGGCAGAGCCTGGGTAAGTCTTTCCACGAATCTAATGAATATTGCGAATGCTAATGGTAAATAAAGTTGGTTCATGAAGCTCATGATCCTCGGAGCGCAAGGAGTCTACTTCAACTCCATGTTCATCTCGTACCTCATCTCGCCAAAGATCACCCATCGATTCGTTGGCTACCTTGAGGAGGAAGCCGTCCACACATATACCATGGCGATCAAGCAGATTGACGAAGGCCACCTGCCCAGGTGGACTGATCCCAAGTTCGAAATTCCAGAGATTGCGGCCAAGTACTGGCACATGCCCGTGGGCAAGCGGACGATGAAGGATCTTTTACTCTACATTCGCGCCGACGAAGCCTGCCACAGAGGTAAGCATTGAATCATTCCATATCTTACCCTTGATGACTTCTTTATACTAACTGTGAACCTCAATAGGAGTCAACCACACCTTGAGCAACCTCAACCAAAAGGAAGACCCCAATCCATTTGTCAGCGTATACAAGAGCGAACGAGAGCCTCCCAAGCCAGCCTCGAAACCTCAAGGCTACGAACGAGCTGAAGTCATTTAATTCATTCAACATACTGTATTGATATACTTGCATCACAGAGGCGTTATAGAAGGGTTGATCAGACATGCCACATATATAGAGGGGCGAAGAGGATGATACCAAATGTACATTTTACAAACATTATTTATTGAATCTCTTCTCTGGAGATTGTTCTTAAAGTACCACTTTACAAAGCAAATCTACCCGTACCCTACAGAGTGACATTGTCTTTTGATATTCATCTTTTTCTTCGATGATTATGCAAACCACCTATTATATATACGGTGAGCGCAAGTACTGCGAAACATTACCTTGCATACACAGTTAAGAGCCAAATGACAAGGTTTAAATGCATGGCATCAAAGGAAACTGGATGCCAGGAGGTGGTTCAAGGTTGGGCATCAATAGCAAGACCAGTGGACAGCCTCTCCCAAGTCAGCGTCTCATATCGAGCATTAACAATCAGCCTTGGTCTCATGACAGATTAAGCAGGCGGCCAGAGATCTGCTGGGATCAAGAGCCATTACGTTCTGGAAAACCGGTAGATTGCCGGAATTAAGCCAACCTTGTTTTTTGGGACATGCTTGACATGCTTCCTGATCAACGTTACCATATCCTCGGGATCAATAAAATGCAAGGATAGTGTTTATTTTGGAAATGGCACTTAACATATCCGAATCCTACAAAGTGCGGGCGCTTAAGTTGTGATTGTGGGCGCCGTATAACATGATGACTGTTTGGGGGGAGGGGGAGGACCCTAAAAAAGAACTCGGTACCGAACATAGGGCCAAGGACACACACATGGAGCTGTCAACTACAATATGAAACCATTTTGGGAAGACGTCTTGGGGAAAAGGGGGCTGTGTTCGTGTCCTCTACATGCCATCCCGCGATACAGGTTGCACAGCCACCATGTCAAATGCACTGCTCCACGACACCAACGACGGCTTGGTATATCGATAGCAAATGATGGAATGACATAGTAATTCACATCACATTGTTTCCATTGCAGAGTCTTAATATAGTGATTGGTCGATAAATACGAAGTAAACGCGTTCTCTTCGCGGCCGACGCGTATGCGATCAGTTGGAACCAAGCCATTTAGATGTCATGTCCGAGAATGTAGAGATGGGCAGGGTGGTATTTTCTCGGTTTCAACAAGACGAAAACACTTTGGATCTGCTTGGTATATGAAAAAGACGTCTTGAAAACGTCATTAGGCCGGAAGAGCTGTATCACCACCGCTTCTCTCATTGTGGAAAAGCAAGTCGAGCAACATATTTCAGTGGTCTTGGCGTTCAAGCAGCAGCCATTGCAAACGTGCGGGACTTTGGGGCCTTTGCCGTCACTGCTGCGGGCCATCCCTTCAAGAGACGACAAAGATATAGCACATGATACCGAGGACCGAGATTAGGGTAAAGACAGAGGAAAGTATTTCTTATTCAATTGATGTGAAATCGGAGACGGGATGAATTCGTACCGGGAAAAAACGTTTGAACGCCTGAACGGCGTCTTCTTTCTCCCTCAGTCCGTATGTAAGCTCGGTGGTAATTACCGAGATTGTGGCTCTCTGAAAAAGAGACACGGCGATATGGATCCCCCATGATTATTGACACGACCTACACAGTAGGAAAGACTTTTGTAACCAGTAAAGTCAAATGAAATTAGCTGTTTTCAAAGAATTTGTCATGTGTATGAACACGGCCTTTTTGGCGCGCAGAGGGCCTCTCAGCCCTCAGTTCCAAAGGCATTGAAAACACGGATCATAATCTCGACGAGACTCGCTTACCATCAAACATTATGCTACCGAGGTCCCTGTTCCTATGCAATCTGTCTATCAATTTGCTGTAAACGGATATTTTGAGGAGCAGATATTTAGAGAGTCCTACGACGCTTGACTTTTGTCCGCTCTAGATGGCTTGAACCCTAGCTGGCCTTCGTCCCCGGATCTTCTCGTTCCAGACATGGCAGGAAAAGAGGGAAACATCTACCTGCGCTATTAAACGCTACTGATGGACCACTGACATGTGTTTACTTGAATCAATTTGCACTGCATTTTGCGCCTGTCTGTTCCGAGAGAATCATTGACCCAACCGTCTTGGTGTTCTCGACGGGCGGCCTGACCTCATGGCTCCAGGCACCAACATTACAGAATTCTATTTTAGAAACAGACGAATCCACTCCACCCAAGCTAGACTGAGCTTAAAAAAAGTTGAATTACCAAATTTTGAAACGCCAATGCTTTTGCTGCACTGTCGGGAAAGCCAATTCATCTCCATCACGAGGTTTAATCATATTCAGTAAATCGAGTAAAGTAGACATCAAGAACTTGAACGGCGAGGATAGCATTTGTCTTGATTGTAAATGGCCGTGTCGGTTCTCACCAAATGCCACCATCACGTCTGGCTTGTAATTGTGAGCGACCACGTTTTGACAGCGGAACCCCTCCTTGGACGCACAGTGGGCGAGAGGTGGGCTAACTCACAGCATCACATAACCCCAGGGTCACCCACTAAACTCACTTGTGCTAGTGACCAGCGGCAGTCGGTTCTGGTCGAATCAGGCGACGTGCGCAGATACTCGAGAGTGCTCTCCAGTGGGCTAGAGAAAGATCACCCCAAAGCACAAAGTACTTTTTCGCGCTTTCAAGGTGTGAGTGGTACTTTGCAGTGAGGGGCCCCTCGTCGCATTTGAACGAACCCCAAGCGGTGCCATTCATTGGCACAGGCCAAGATTTCCCTTCCAAAAGGGTGAGCACCCAGCTGCAGGGTGCCTCCAATTAATCAATCTACCGACCGGATCTCATCCAAAAATCCACCGCTTTCTCGTTTCAATTGAGGTCCTACCTCTGCCGACCTTCTGTCATCATCTTCTCTTCTTTCCTCACCCCTTCTTGTTGGCCGGCGCACGACTCGTCCAGAATCGCGCCTGGTTTCTTTCGAGTCGCATTACTATCGCAATCATAGCCGAGCTTTAGACGCGACCGACTGCAAAGTCAAATCTTCTTGGTCTCACGTTATCGCGGATCCGCTTCTGGCTTTCACCTTGGGGCTGTGCCCATCTGCATCGCCACGGTGCCCCGGAACTCTGAAAGGCTGACTTTGAAATCTGCCTCGCTACACGTCTCCTGCTTCTAAAGACAGTAACAACCACCAAACCACCACCATGGATCAACAAGCTATGCCGGCTCGCGGCCGGTCGCCCTCTGCTGGCCATCAGCACCAGCAGCAACAGCAGCAGCATCTTATAAGAAACAGCCACTCTCCTTCGCCTCATCCATACACATCCCCGGAACCCAATATCGGTCTCGGTCTCGGCCTAGACAACTCAACTGCCAGCATTCAACAGTTCAACCCAAACGACTATACCAACTTTAATAATAACAGCAGTGCCAACAACCAGTTCCTCAATACCACGCAACCCCAGATATTCCCAAACCAAGGCCTCGCCGACCCCGCCGCCTTTGACGCGACACAGGACTTTACCCAGTCCTTTGCGACCCAGAATCTCTTGGCTCCGACAGATTTCAACGCTACGGGGGACTTTTCCTTATTCCCGCAGACAACTCAGCCAGATCAGTTTGCGGCGCCTCTCTTTGGCGACAGTCCTGGTATCAGCACTCCAGATCTCACCAACATGATGTCCCCACAGGCGCACCAATCTCCGACACCGCCGCATATGCTCCAGCATGACGGGCGCCCAGCTGGCTCCGCGCATCAGTCGCCGTCCTTTAACCAGCACCAATTCGCGTCGAGCCCCCACCAAAGAAACCTCTCGGCGTCGCTCGCGCCCGGACCCGCGTTTCTCGGAACCCAGCAGGACTGGTCGCAAGCACAGTTCCAGGGCCACAGACGGTCACCATCCGAGTATTCAGATGTCTCTTCTGCGCATCCCTCTCCCAGCTTGATCGCCCACGACTCTTTTGAGCATGCGCATGGTCATTCGCCCATGCAAAGGCCATCTGACAGCTTTGACAATGGCGTGAGCTTTGGCTTGAACAACTTTAGCATCTCGGATGCCCAGATACTCCAACACAGCCGGAGCCCCTCGCACAGTCCTGCCATTTCGCCTCGGATTCTTCCCCAACAGGTGCCCGACATGGGCCAAGCGAATCCGACCTTTACGCTGGGTGGACAGCCTCAAGGCTATGTCAGCGCACCTGCAATCGTCTCTGAAGCGTTCCCGACCCTGGCGAGCGACAATGGGCCCGTCATGGCTCCCCCTTCGATCAATATCGACTTTGCGCCCAACTCGAGAACGAATTCGTTTGAACCAGCAAAGTCTGCTGTAGACCAAGATTCCCTTACACCCCCAGACAGAGGTATGTCAAGATTCTCCCGTTTCAAGTTTGCATATAGACTAACGTATAACCAGGCCGGCCCAGATCACGTCCAAGAGCAGTCACGGATCCTTACAACAGCGGCGGCGCCAACATTTCTAGACCTACGACTCCAGGTAGTCTGTCACCTCATCTCGGTGTTGAACGCGCCCGCAACCGATCTGGATCTGATTCTTCGCGCTCTGTATCCCCCGCATCATTGTCCCCTGGTGATCGGTCGGGTAGTGCAAGTGCTGCTTCCAGGAGACGGCAGTCCATGTCTGCTGTACCCAACAATGTAATTGCTCTTCGTTTGGCGGACCCAGACTATCAGGCCGCTCAAGACAGTGGCAACACGAAGCGTGTACAAAAGCACCCTGCCACTTTCCAGTGTACCCTGTGCCCAAAGCGCTTCACCAGAGCATACAACCTGCGGTCACACTTGAGAACGCACACGGACGAGAGACCATTTGTCTGCACAGTCTGTGGAAAGGCTTTTGCACGCCAACATGACAGGAAAAGACACGAGGGATTGCACTCGGGAGAGAAGAAGTTTGTGTGCAAGGGCGATCTCAAAGCTGGAGGGCAGTGGGGATGTGGAAGACGGTTCGCCCGAGCAGATGCGCTGGGCCGGCATTTCCGATCCGAGGCGGGTCGGATATGCATCAAACCCCTCCTCGACGAGGAAATGATTGAAAGACAACGCGCCTGGCAGGAGCAGCGGATGCAGCAAAACATGCACAACATGGTGGCCCAACAGGCTGTTGCCATGGACCCCAACATGTACCAGCCCATGGATCCCAATGGTGGATTTGCGCTGCCAGCATCGCTATTGGCACAATACCCTGCACTCGCCCAGGTCAATTGGCAAGCAGCGGAAATGGGCAATGTAGAGGACGATATAAGTGGACGATCAAGCTTTGATGCTTCGGATTATGATGAAGGTGATGACACTGGGTACGTGAGTGGTCCGGGAACTGGTTTCGGTGAAGGTGGTATGCAACAAAACTTTGGAGAGATTGGGTATACCAGTGACTATGGCCGGTAGTCACCTGCTATCCCAAGTGCTCTAGCTTTTGGGCATGCTTTACAATGATGTGCTATTATGGACATTGCGGGAGGAAACCTGGGATATATACAAGGGGCTGATGACGTTGCCACGACATGATTGAGACCTTTCTTAGACCCGGCATCTTAGATACCATTTTGGAGTTTTGATATGCTTTTTACCAACCAATATTATTTCATGACCAACACATTGCAACCGTGAAGCCAAGACTGGTACGAGATGTCATACTTTTCGTGTACTCGGATGAAGACGAATCGGAACTGAGTCGACTCCAGCCCAAACCTGGTACTTTTCGAGTATTCGTTTGATATGTCAACACCATTCGGCGGCTAGTTCATAGACGACTTGAATATTTGTTCTGCATAGTGGTACCACTTTACATTGAGCTGCCCTTTCTGAGCTCAAGACAGTATTTCGTTCGCGGCCTGTCCCATAGACCACTTCAGTCCCGTTCACAAGCTCTTTTGCTTTTCCCTTTCAGTTCAATGAACTTACAGAGACAACATGGAGCTCTCGACGGGTCCGATTGATGAGTGTCTTTTAGACTATGCTCCGGATACCTGCTGGTAACATGGAGAAAGATCCTATCCTTTGGAAGCCATTGGCTCAAATACACAGTGAAAGCCAACCTTGGTCACTTGCCTCTTGAGCGAGCAGCATCATGACAATATAGACAGTAGAAGCTCCAAATCTACATCTAAACATGCTGCCTTTAGTAGTAGAGACCGTTTCCCTGGATGCTGCCACTTTAACTGGAACAAGAAGGTTCATCCTCTCTTCCTCTACATCATAGGCCCCTCATGACTCATTCTAGTGATTTAACTTTTCATAATTTTTTGACGGTCTTTTTCATCACGGCATCGGGCACACCCGCGGACACGCCGTCATGTCGTAAAATCTATTGTCCTTCTGGCGTTTCTTGGGGCAAAGCTACAAGGCCACTAAAGCAGGTCCCGCCAAAGTCAATTCTACGAGTCACATTGAAGAAAATCCATGTTTGGGCATATGGATTATTTCCACGTGACCAGAAGCCCCTCGGCTTTGGGCAGATTTGCGGTGAAAGAGGGGACCTCGTCGAAGACTATAGAATATCATGGTTCACGACTATAGAATTTTTGCTATCCTCTCGTATTGAGACTTGAAGGAGGGGTTCTGCTTCTTAGCTCGTTACCAACAGTCCCATGTTTTAGCGGGTAGATCCCGCAATCGTTAGCCGAGAATCGGGGTGGGCAATCAAGATGGGGCTTAGGGACCCAACCCCCGTCTCACGATGGGAAAATCAGTTGAGCAAAGTGAGTGAGTGGGTTTGGGTTGTGTGTTCTTGCGATTTGCGGAGAGCAGTATAATGTCCAACTGTGACTCCAAAAAGATATGCCCAATGACTGAAGCCTATTACTTGAATATTATTTACCTGATTGTCCCCCCATTTCTTTTCCTTTCGAGTTATGCGTCCTGTTAGTCATGGAATATCAATGAAATCTGTTTGGTCGATTTTATCTCGATTGACGAATCTCGTGACGCACGTCATGATTTGTGGATAGATTTCATGTTCATCCCTATAGAACCACGCCGCTTCCAGGCACAAAAGACAGAACAAGATGCATCCGAAAATCAGAATCATCATTTTGGGGTAGAGCGAGTCAAGAGCAATGCTCCGAGACACCCGGACCCAAGATACAAAATACGGTTGATATCTTTCCAGGTCCAATAATGATCAACTACTGTTGAGAATATCTTGGTTTCTAGCATGACCTACGAGAATTTCATGCTTTCATGATTCCATCTTTTGCCCAACATGACTGACCATGAGCATCGCCGAGCCGTACCTATTGTGTAATGCTGGTTCATGACCTGCATACAATCAACATCGAGAGTGCCACGACATGCACAAAGGACGGTTTCATGACGAACAGGTTCCGCGTTTCCACTTTTAGGTTTGACCGCTGGACAAACATCTGATGAACCGGAAATATCGACAGGCATGGCCGGTCCTGGGATGACAGCCCCACGCGGAGTGGTAGTAATAATCCATGCGTCAATGCTGTATGTGTTATGTGCCCGGTTTGTGTATAGTCCAATTATCGCTATAGAAATGTCCTTTCATTGTAAACGAGGACGACACGAAATACGTGTGTTTGACCGAAGCGAATGCAGCGGCTAGGAAAATTCTTCCCGACTTTCAACACTTGGACGCGTCCACCTATTGCTGGATCTCTCTCTTCTGGTCTTTTGTTTTCCAGTTTCTTGCCGCAGGTTGATCAAGCGGTGAAGCATTCGCGATGCCTCATTCGGTCAAACGTCCAAGGCTAGCGCACCTGGCAGATCTGCCTTACGACTGGTAGTTCCCGTGGAGGCGTTGCAGGTCGCTGCTACGTACACCTATGTAAGGGTAGAGCTGAGACAAGGGCATTGAAAGGACGAGTAAGGTGCTGTGGATTGGGAGTGTCTCTATAGACACATTAGCTGCCGGGCGGCCGTGGTAACCCGACATTGGAGCGGCTTTTTTTTACGTTGCCAATGTGCATGCCAATACTAATAAGCGAAAGACGATCCCGCCCGCAGTATGGTCAGGGTACAAAAGAATGCGTAAAAAGGCCTTCTAGATTTCAGTGGGAGCGTGACCTGTTGCAAGCTACTGCAACGCGCTCCTCTGCCTGCTGTCACGAAATCCAACGAACAGCACACGAGTGACCCAACGAGATGCAGCTGTTGCATCTAGTCGATCCACCTCGCGATGGGGACCCGACGACGTGGAAGACTGCCAACGTTTGGAGCAGGGAAGCACTTGCAAATACTAGCAAGCGCATCAATGCCCAGTCATCAGGTATCGCTACATACATGCATTTATCGTCGTACAGAGGTAGCGGTGTTGCAGATGAATATCAATCAAGATTACCTTGAAGATTTGAGCCGCCCTCCATGTACGGAATAGGGAAGCAAGGCACAAGAACGACGCGCATTTTTCCCATTTGCACGCGACATGGAACAAATCACACCTGCCTTGTCTTGTCCCGGGCCATTATTTGCGGAAAGATAGTTGCCACATAGGGAGGTGATTAGCAGAAAGAGATGACATGTCTCTCTTGGTTTTCCAATAATATAGCCATGACCCGTCCTCGCCCGTGCCCGGTATAGAGACAGGGATGGTTAATGAGAACGCGCACGAATGTCAATCTGGCCCTTGGGGAGGAGGGAGGGGTCCAACGTTTTCCAGGGAGGGGCAGAATCTCCATCGCGTAAAGTGTCACAGACAGTATCAGAGGATCAAAGGGAAAAGAGGTTGGGGGGAGTAATCTCCAGGGCTCTTTTTGACAGCTAGGGCCCAGAAATGATACTGGCCCCATTGGGGGTTGGTATTTTTTCCTCTCGCGAATCCCGGTTCTTTGGCTTGTGACGTGCCTGGCGGTTGCCCCATCTAGCGCTAGTCTCGCCCTGACCATAGCAAAGAAAAAAGAAGCCCGAGTCTGTTTACCGGTCCCGGCCCACAAGATCGCTTTTGGTGGACGATCTGATTTTCAGTGTCCAGAAAGGCGGTATTATGGGGGGCTGAGAATGGTAAAGAGGTCTGTAGCATAGGCAGGTAATCCGATAGGTGAACAAGTTGAAAATATCTCGTCTCGTGCTACTTGGGGTCCAGAAAAGCATGAACAAAAAAAGAGGGTGGCCTACTTTGGGCCTCGTGGTACTAGGTAGTCTGATCATGTTGGTGTCCTGGAGGGTTTTCTAAACAGGGAGGAAGAGAGTGCTTTGCAAATGGTTGTTCACCTCCATCTTGAGTTGTGTGGTGGGGCTGTCGGACGTCGCAACCGTCCCAATCTGTGAAGGAGGAGGTACTTGCCCAACGGGGCAAATCTGGGTGGGACGGAGGGTATTCCTGGAGGTGTGAAATATCCATTTCCCGCGCCAGGTCCATGTTGCCCGCCAATCGAATTTTGTGAATATCCCGTGGATCACTGTAACTGCTGCTGTTGCTGTCGCTGCTGCTGCCAACTACTGCTGCTCCCGCCCCTCCTCCGCCACATGAATATTCAGTTTTGTTCGTTGTACCGTCTAACGCAAATCCAAGGGCCTCTCTCTATCCATCCGTTCACACCCTTTTGATTATTGTCTGGCCCCGAGGACGAGACAAGCGTCCGCATGTATTTCGTTCCCGTCTTGTTCGTTACAAGGCCTGCCATTCGCCCAAAAGCCTAATAGTCATCGTGCATGACCGACCCTGCAGCAAAAAGAACAAAGTGCCCATACATAAGACCAATAGATCCATTTTCTGCCACATACCTGGGTACATTTTTTGTTTTGTATCTATGCCCTGTCGTACAGGAGGGGAGAGACTTTTTTTGTTCTTCTTTCATTGGAGTTTCTGACGATTCGAGGAGTCAGGGACCTTGTTTGTCGTTGTCCTTTGTACTCACATGATAATTCTACTACCGACTTGCTGCGATCTCATCTAATGCTGCTTGGTCGCACGCACAACAGCTGCCCACGCAAAACGATACCCCAACCCCAGCATTCATCGTCGGCACCTTGATCGGCCGCAATCGAGCAGCGCTCAACAGAAGAAAACGAGGTAAAGTACAGAGGCGTGGCTAATCGGCGCAAATAGTTGCAATCATCTACAGAGTAGAGACATATCCACTACGCCTATCCCATGCGATTTCAAGGTCGTCCCGTCTGATATACTTGCGACGATATACTTGCGCCGCAAACCGCATTCCCACCTTGACGACTATACCAGCGCTACAGGGCTGCGCTGTCGACTTTTGATCATTTGGTCCTCCAAGTCCCTGGCTACCGTCTTCTACATCTTGTCGAAGACTTGTAGCGTCCATGATTCTTTCACCACCTGGTCGCATTCAGTCGAGCGTCGTTTCCCAGAATGGCCGCGGCCGCGGTGGTGGTATGCTCTGAGAGCTGGGCGAGGGTCGAACATGGCTGGCCAACGACCCAACCTTTGAGCACCACAACTCTTTGGGATGAGCTGGATTTGAAGACACAATTGAGCAACATTGCAAGAGTATGGTGTTCGTTACGGAAATTGGTATGCAGGCCTTTATTTCAAACAACCTCCTTCTTGTCAAACCGAGTGGTTGATGTCGAGCTTGCTGCTGTCCTGGACAACTGTACCACTGTGCGAGCATTTACGACCCTCATTTTTACCTTTGGCTGCAAGCGAGCTGGGTTGGATGGCGCCAGGGACTGTTGTCCAAAAGGGAATGCTTTTGCCACGGAAGGAAAAAAGCCTTGCGTTGCTTTCGCGATTGAAAACCTTGTGACAAGACTAACGGAGGCCATCGGAAGCAGGATAACCATTGCGACCCCTCACCCATGTTCCACCACTATGCAATCTCTACGCCATTGATTATTCCAAACGCTACACCTAAACATTCGCGACAACTGCTAGCGCAATGCGAACACCCCGAGTCAAGTCAAGAGACGGCTGACCCCGCCCGGACTGGCGAACATGCTCATCAACGACCTCTACCTCGAGATACCGCTGCGCCAACACCACAGAACCCCCAAATCCGGCGGGAACGTCGTAGGGACTCGATTATCAATGATCCGACCATGGATTACCTGATTGATTTCTCCACCGAGGAGGGGTTCTACGAGTGCGCCAAGAAAAAGAAGAAGCAGCAAGCAGCTTTCAACTGGGACGAGCCCGAAAAGAAGGACGAACCCCCGGCCGATGAGGGTAATGGCAATGGAGGCGATCAAAACGGAGGCGACTCTGGAAATGCCGGAGGTGATGCATCCGGAGCTGGCGATGGCAACGGGGACGACAAGAAGGACGAGGGAGGAGACGCCAACCCCGACGATGAATGGGGCAGCTTTGCTACCGTAGGCAAGAAGAAGAAAAAGGGCAAGAAGGGTGCCGCTGCTGAGGAGGAGGTTGCCGAGACCAAGACTGAAGCATTCGACGAGATCAAACTAGACGACACGGCGCCCGCTCTAGACTTGAATTTTGGAGGTGACGCGCCGGAAACCAAAACCAGTTCCTTTGGAACATGGGGGACTAGTTGGAATACCGGTTCAACATGGGATTGGTCCAACACCAAGGATGCAGACAAGGGCAAGGAGGAAGAGAAAAAGGAAGAGGTAGACGACAACCCTTGGAGTATAAATCGACCCAAACCCAAGAAGAAGGGCAAAGCAACGTTCAGCTTTGGTGCTTTTGATGAAGAGGAGGAGAAGACCGAGGAACCGGCACCTGTAGAAGAGGAAAAGAAGGATGACGACTTTGGCTTCTCTTTCGGCAACAGCAAAAAGGACAAGAAGAAGAAGAAAAACAGCATTTGGGACCCTGAACCTGAAGAGACCAAGGTGGAGGACCCTTTGGCGGCAAGCCAGGATCTCGAGTCAACAAAAGCTGCAGAAGACGATCTCTGGGGCGGCGGCTGGGGTACGACGACCAAGAAGAAGGGCAAGAAGGGAAAGAATGCCGTGGAAGAGATCAAGGAACCTGATCCTCCGGCAGTACCTGACCCGCCCGCTGAAGCGCCACCCCCCGAGGACGACTGGTTTACTGGCGGATCCAAAAAGGACAAGAAGAAGAAGAAGGCCACCTTTTCGTGGGCTGATGACGTAGAGGAGGCAGAACCACCCAAGGAGGAGCCGCCCAAGGAAGAGGAGAAGCCTGTCGAAGAGGACTTTTGGGGCACCATCTCTACCAAGAAGAAGGGCAAGAAAGGTATGCCGTCAGAGCTCGTGATTGTGTACAGACATGATTTGCCACATAATGTTCAAAAGCTGACCTAACCAAACTATTTAGGCAAGAATGTGATTGAGGAAGTAAAAGAACCGGACCCGCCAGTTGTCCCTGATCCACCTGCCCCTGAACCCGAGGAGAAGAAGGAAGAGGATGATTGGGCTTCATGGGGTCTTTCGAAAAAGGACAAGAAGAAGAAGAAAAAGGGTGTCTTTGATGACCCCGAACCACCAGCTCCAGATCCTGTGGTGGAGGAGCCGGCCCCAGAACCAGAACCCGAAAAGAAGGATGACGACGATTTCTGGGCAACGTTTGGCACCAAGAAGGACAAGAAAAAGAAAAAGGGCAAGAATGCTGATCCTGAACCTGAACCAGTAGAGGAGTTCAAAGAGCCCGAGGTGAGTTTTTGCAATTCCGTCTTTAACTATACTATTATCGATACTAACTTGACAAGCCTGAACCTGAGCCAATTGTTGAAACAGCTCCTGAACCGGAGCCAGAAAAGAAGGAGGAAGACGACATTTGGGGTTTCACCTCCAAGAAAGACAAGAAGAAGAAAAAGGGCAAGAACGCCATTGTCGAAGAGCCTCCCAAAGCTCCAACACCTCCACCAGAGCCTGAACCAGAGCCTGAGCCTGAGAAGAAAGAGGAGGACGATCTGTGGGGTTTCAGTACAAGCAAAAAGGACAAGAAGAAAAAGAAGAAGAATGCCGTTGAAGAGGAACCTCCTCGAGAACCCACACCACCACCTCCTCCTGAGCCTGAACCAGAACCCGAGCCTGAGCCCGAGAAACCTGCTGAAGACGATATCTGGTCATTTGGCATTTCCAAAAAGGACAAGAAAAAGAAAAAGAAGGGTATTTTGGATGACTTTGAGCCTGTCAAGGAACCCGAACCAGAGCCCGAGCCGGTCAAGGAGGAGGAAAAGCCAGCCGAGGTTGATATCTGGGCCACGCTTGGCAGCTCGAAAAAGGACAAGAAAAAGAAGAAGAAGGGTGTGATGGAAGAGGAGCCAGTCAAGGAACCGGAGCCGGAACCTGAACCCGAGCCGGAACCAGAGCCTGTTGTGGAGGAGAAGAAGGAGGAAGATGATCTCTGGGGCTTTAGTACCAGCAAGAAGGACAAGAAAAAGAAGAAGAAGGGGGTTGAAGAACCAGAGCCGGAACCAGAACCAGTCATGGAGGCACCGCCGTATGTCATGATTTTCTACTCGGATTGGAAAACTTGCTAATAATTCTTAGGGAACCTGTCGAGGAGAAGAAGGAAGATGATGATTTCTGGGCAACCTTTGGCACCAAGAAGGATAAGAAGAAGAAGAAGGGCAAAGATGCTGAACCTGAACCGCCGCCGCCGCCGCCTGCTCCCGAGCCAGAACCTGAAGTTGATATATGGGGCACTTCTAAAAAGGACAAGAAGAAAAAGAAAAAGGCCAGCATCTGGGACGATGAGCCGGCAAAGGAGCCGGAACCAGAACCCGTACCAGAGCCGGAACCGGAACCCATACTGGAGTTTGAGCCAGAACCAATTGTCAAGGAGGAAGTTCCTGCTACCGACGACACCGCCTGGAGCTTCTGGGGAGCGACCAAGAAAACCACAAAGAAGAAGGGCAAGACCGCAGATCCTCTTGTGGAGCTTGAAAAAGAGCTCGAGCCGGTACCAGAACCACCGCCGACCGCCCCGGAAGCACCCGATGCTGGTACTGACGATTTCTGGGCAACTTTTGGCACTAGTAAGAAGGACAAGAAGAAGAAGAAGAACTCGGACGCAAGTGTCGAAGAACCCCCGGCCGATGATGCGTTCATCCCAGCTCCCACCCCTCCATTGGACGACCCTGCCCCGGAACCAGAGCCCGAGACAAATATCTGGGACGAGGCACCTAGCTCCAAAAAGTCCAAGTCCAAGGACAAGGACGAAAAGAAGAGTAAGGAAAAGGAGCCCAAACTGAGCAAGAAGGAACTGGAGAAGCTTGAAAAGGAAAAGAAAAAGGCCGAAAAGGAGCGGGCCAAGCAGGAAGCCAAGGAGGCCGAAGAGAAGGCTCAGCGCGAGGCCGAAGAGCAAGCCGCTCGTGAGGCTGAAGAAGAGGCTCAACGCATCGCCGACGAACTTGCCGCCAAGGAAGCCGAGGAGCAAGCTGAGCGTGACCGCCTTGAAGCTGAAGCCGCCGAGATTGCTCAGGAGGAAGAAGAGCTTGCTGCACTGACTGCGAAAATGGCCAAGCGAAAACTTCCCAAGAAGGACCAAGAAAAGTTCAATCGTCTGACTGAAAAGGCCAATGCCCGCAATGAAGCCAAGGCCACTCAGGAGGCCGAGGAGGCCGAGGCGCTCGCAGCACAAGAGGCCAAGGAGGCTGAAGAGCAAGCTGCTCGTGAAGCGGAAGAACAAGCGATACGCGAAGCCGAAGAACAAGCCATTCGCGAAGCCGAAGAACAGGCTGAACGTATGCGCTTGGAGGCCGAAGAGATGGCGTCTTCAAAGAAAAAGTCCAAGAAGAGTTCCAAGGAGGACAAAAAGTCATCCAAGTCCAAGTCTGCAAAGGAAAGCCCACCACCCAAGGACAAGGACGATGATCTTTTGGATCTTGATGGCATCGAACTGGATCCTGCCCAAATCGATGAGCTCTTATCTCCGACTCCCCCCAAGGATAAGCCCGACACCTTTTACCTGTGGGGCTCCTCAAAGAAGAAAGGTTCGTTGCCCCCCAGGGTGGCCACGCCATGCCCCAACCGTGCATGGTGCTTTGCAGCCTGCATACCCCAGATTTACCAAAGCTAACCACTATTGTTCGGTAGGATCCGAGATTAAAGATGCTGAGTCAAGCAAGATTCTGGAAGATGCCACACTCGACGCGCTACCGTCTCCCAAAGCTGACGTGTCGTCGAAAAAGAGTAAGAAGAGCAGTAAAATCGCCGACAAGCTCAAGGCTTTCGAGGTTGTCCCCGACGACGGCGATCTCATTGACGCCTTGCCACCACCTCCGCCTCCGCCACCAGAGCCCCTCCACGACGATTACTTTTCTCACAAGAGAAACGGAATACCTGGCAGCTTTCCTCTCGATGACGAGGACGAGATAATCGAAGTTGTCGACATGTCGTCTCCAAAGAAGAGCAAAAAGAGCAAAAAGTCGCGAGACGTGCCACTAGAAGTACCTCCGCCGCCACCAGCGGTACCCGAAGTTCCCATTCCTCCTCCTGAACCTATCCGATCCGCCAAGAAGGAGCGCGCCAAGATCAACCGTGATGGTGGCTCGTCCTGGGGTATGTGGTCCGCCACACCCAAGAAGGAGGAACCCAAGTCTTCCAAGGTCAGGTCAGAGGACAAGCGTTCGAGATCGGAGAGAAAGGAGCGTGAAGAAAAGACTTCGTCAAAGGGATCTACTTCGGACAAGACAGAGCGGCCCAGGGGTCACGAAAGAGCATCCTCAAACTTGGTCCAATCGCGTGTGCCCAGCGTATTCCAAAGCACACCGCCAGTATCGCGATCAAAGTCTACTCGTGAGAGACGTCCCAGCAAGTCCAACTCCCGTCGTCCCTCGGCAGACATGTCGGGTGGTCTCATGTCTCCACCTGCAGAAGAGGTCCCTTCCAAGGCCGCCAAGATTCTAGGTTTCGACAAGATTAGCCGCAAGAGCAAATCACGCCACGCTGCAGAGGATGACGATATCGTCATGGTCGATCCAGCTGATGCGGCTCCCGCTCCAGAGAGGAGATCATCACACAAAAAGTCTAGATCAAGAGCAGCCGACGACGACATTGTCATGGTTGAAGCTGAAGGTCCACCAGATGCGACGCCGCTCAAGCGCTCCAACTCGAGTGCCAAGAAGGGCATCTCTGGTCTCTTTGGAGGTCTCATGTCGAGTACTCCGCGTTCCGAGCTCCGCCCCGAGCCTCGTCGTCGCGGTACCTATCAGACGACGGACGATGAAGGTGGTCGGCCTGACAAGAGAGCCAGGCGGACCGCGCGGGAAAGTGATGTCGAGGGTGGAGTCGATCCCGAAGCTGAAGCTCGCCGTGCTGCTCGACGGGCCAGGCGTGCCGAAGAGAAACAAGCTGAAGAAGCTCGCATCGCCAAGGAAGAAGCCCGCCGAGAGCGCCGTAAGCGTCAAGAAGAGGCAGACGAGGCTCGCCGAGAGACGGAGCGGGAAGCTAGGCGAGCTGAGAGACGTGCCGCACGCAAGGCGGATGATGAGCGTCTTGCTGCAGAGGCTGATGCAGCAAGGGACTCTGAGCGTGCAGAACGTCGCCGTCTTCGCAAGGAGGCTGCCGCCGCCGCTGCCGCCGAGGACGCAGATGCTGAGCCGCGGCGTTCTGGCAGAGATGACCGATACAGGTCTCGCCAGGGTGGTGACACTGAAGAAGAAGAGGCCCGCCGTAGACGCCGCGAGGCACGTCGCGCTGCTCGCGCCGTTGAGGAAGAAAGGGAAAGTCGTCGTCGCGGTACACCTCCGGACGAATATGTCTACACACCAAAGCCCAAGGACAGCAAGACGCGCCCGGCTTGGCCGCACTCTGGCACTTCATCCTGGGTCAAGGAGCATTCCGATGCCGGTCCGCCTCCCGAGAATGATCCCGGTACTGATGCTCCGACACCGACCGACGATGACGATGCTCGTCGCGCTACCCGTCGGGCTCGTCGCCGTTCCAAGTATGAAGACGGCAGTGCCGAAATGGATGATGATCAGAGACGTCGTCGGGCGCGTCGCGAGGAGCGTGATCGTCGTCGTGGAGGTTCCGATGGGAGTGGTGAAAAACCACGTGACAATGTCTTTATGGATACTACTCCTCGGAGCAGTTGGTGGAAAAAGTTGAGAGGAGGAGCGTAGATTGTTTGTTGGATATGTGTCAGACTTTGTTCTTTTCTCGTCAACATTTCCATCTTTTTTTTTTCTCACCTTGGTTGGGTCGCGATCGGGCTGATAGACGGGAAATTGGCACAAGTGGGCGTTCAAGCATTGACATTCATTGGCTTGTACTTGCTCTGCCCAGTCGGAGAGCGGCATATGTCGACATCATACCATCTTGTCGTGTTTGTATTGGATGGATGCATTTCAGTGTTTGTAGTGAGGATCTTGGGGCGCAATGGCTGGCTTTTATGGGGGATACAATGACGGTCATGTATTTCAGGTTGGCATGGGCAATATCGGGAGCTGGTGTACGGTTCCATCAGCATCTCGGTGGCATGCAACCTCGTTCAAGTCGTTATGATTTTGATGAGCATACTATACCCCGATGTCAGTCGAGTAAGCGAGCGATTTGGAATACTTTGATAAAGAATGCATATTATTATACTCGTCTAGTCATGTTTCGCGCAAGTGAGCAAAGAGTAGATTACTCATTGATTTACAAACTCCCGTGTCTATTGGTATCAAATTACAGGCCGAGACAAGACCACTTCGTGACCCATAGTACATGGCAATGTTGTAGAAATGACATGGCTTCAGTAATGATTTCACCAGCCTCGCGTATGGATTTGTGGCCTCACCCGACATTTCAATCCCGCCCCATTCAGCTCACTGTTCAATCTGTGACCATGGCCCCTTTGTCCAGGGCGATCATACAGAGGTTGTGCTGAGTAGCACCCAAAGAGGATCCAGTTGGCAAGGATGTACCTTGGACAAATTGGGGATCCCAGAACAAGCTCAAGTTGCAGCTTAATTCTCGTTGTGTTCAGTGCATGGGGGTCACAACTGGATCCATCCAGCCATCTCAAAGCCCCAGAACTTGGAAGGAAATAGACAAGCGTGGGGCTGAGCTACGCCATCGGCCGTCGGTTTTACTCAGCCTGTCGTTAATTGCAGTTCCCTGCTTTTTGGTAGCTCCCGTTGCCGTTTGCACAATCAGTAAAAAGGTCCCTCAATCGTTTGTTCTTCTTGTCATTTCATGTTTCATGTTTTCTAACCTTTAAAACTCACCTTGTATCTTTCAATAATTGATCAAGTTTTCAACAAAGAAGGGGAATCAAGTCTGCGCCCGTGGGCTAGTCGTTAAGCCGCTTCCCTCCCATGGATAGGAAGAGATCGTGGGTTCAAATCCCGCCGGACGCACCATATTTTTGTGAGTCGGGTCCGAGTTTATATCCTCAACTATTCTTGCTTCTTGTCAAACTTGTTCCATTGGTGTTTGAATATACAGGGAGTGTACTTTTGTACTCACTATTACAGTTGTTTCCTGCATTTCTGCAACTCCAAGCCTCGGCCTCGTCTCCCCGCATACTTGATTATGCTTTTTTTAATACCCAACCGTGCTACTGGCCCCACGACGGCTATTGCATCCCAACCATTACCACCACCTATCGAGCACCGCCACACATTCATTTAGCAATCATCTCGCTCCGAACAGTCCGACGTTGAGGGCTCCTCATATGCGACAAGAATTCCGGTGCATGAAGAAACAACTTGCTTCTTTTTTCTCACATTACCCATTCTTTGTCCCAGCGCGGACTGAGGGGCGTCGTCCCCATTGTCTGAGAGTCTGCAGTTTCGAGACAAGAGCTCAAAGGGTCCACCCTACTTTTATGACTCCATTGTAAGTAAACACCGTCAACCTTGACCGTGATATAAAATGCTCATTGCAGGTGTCTTTTTTATCTTGTAGTCAATCTCTATACAAGTAATCCAGTGTCAAAGCAAGAGAGACATTGTTATTCAATCATTGCACATCCAAATCGGGCAATAACATAAACCTCAAATTCTTCTCTGCCATGTGCTACTCGGAGCGCCTCACCAAGATCTGCGAGATCTGCAGCCGGCCCAGGGCATTCGAAAAGATTTGCGAACACAAGTGCTACAACGTTCTCCGCGCCCATCGAGGTTTCGGTCGGTGCGGCAAGAAAGATGGCCCGTATCCTGGACGACTGGTCCGGGGTCTCTGTCCGGACTGCAAGCAACAAAAAGAGCTGGGAATGTTGTAACCTGAAAAGCGGGCGGTGAAAACCAGTTTCCTTGACTCTTGTATCTTTATTATACCACACAAAGCGTGAATGAGCGTCTGCATTTTTTATCATTGTTTCATGTTAATTTCAATGTATATACTATTTACTCTGCGTTGGCTTGGTCAAATATGGCGTGCGGAGAGGACAAGGTTAAATACGATACCCAAGCACATTATCTTGACAGTTGCTTCTGTCTTGTGGATGGCAACATCTCAATGCTTTACCTACCAAAAAATACAGAAACAAGGTGATTCGATCCAGTTACAACGGTACAACTCCAGGAAGATTGAGACTTGGGGTCTCCAACCCAGGAACCCCAAGCACAGCCAAACTTGCACAATGGAGAAGGAGGCTGGGATTGAGAAGGAGATCACCAAGCTGCCAGGACTAAACACTGTCATAAAAAGCTACATGGAATGAAATATTTGTCTTGAGCTAGGCTGCCGTCCAAAGCAAAAAGTAGAGAATATCTGTTCCAGTTAGAAAACTCACAAAGATCAAGGATGGGTCACGATCGGATTAGTCCCAATTAGTATCTCGACAAGGAGTCTTTCTAGATCCAAACAGAGCAATGAAAGCTCTTTTGCAAGCACTTCCATGATAGCTGGCAGAATCTTCACCACAATTGGCGGGAGCTCAATGATCAATAGACAATTCTCACATGACAAGAATGACATCCGGGGACTAGTTGCGTGCAGCATGATGCTTGAGACGAGTACTAAGCCTCAGTGTAGCCAGTTTCTGCTCGCGAAATGACGTGAAACGAATCCGCATGTAGTATCAACCGTAAGAGACTCTGTCCCTCGCTTTTCGACGTGACAGATGACTGTGATTGACTGGACATTGACATGTGTCTCCCGTTGAGTCCAGAACCCAGTTTGACCTTTGGAATGAATTTGTACCTGCACGAGCTCCATGATTTAATGCTTCCATGCCATTTCGCGTATTAAATCAAAGCGAATGGAGTGCGATATCAGCTGCGAGAATTACAAAGCCGATTAGTTGCCAAGTACCCTTGCTCCAAGACTGTCAATGAACACAACCTTTGGACTGAATCCAAAGAATACATGGAGATGGGTGTGAAAGAAATGTCGAGCATGGTGACGTGGAAGAATTTGGCACTTTGTACAAGTTCACGTGATAGCAATTATTAACAGCAAGTTACCTGGCGTTGCCCTTTAGCTTTTTGTACAATATTCTCGCGAATCACAGGAAGCTAGGTACGTACAAGGTGGGCAGGTCAAAACTCTCGAGTACGCACATCATGGAGAATGACTACGTTCGCGGGCAGGTTGGCGGGCACATCAAATCGGCAAGCACATGAGACTAGATATTGGGAGGCCGACAGACACGTCAAACTGGCAATCACGACAAGTCGAATGGAATACAGATAAGCTAGCAGTACGCCAGAGCAGCATGTTGAATGGATACAGGTAGGTCGGCAGGCACGTCAAGACTGATGAGTCTCTTGGGTTCGGTATAGGTAGGCCAGAAGGCACGTCAAAACAGGCGAGCACGTTGAATTGAATACGGATAAGTGGGCGGGTACGTAAAGACTGGAAGCAACCTCAACTTGGATCCGATACAGGTAAGCTGTCGGTACGTTCAATCTCTCAAGCACATTAAATGATGTACGGGTAGGCTGGCGGGCACGTTGCAGGAGAGGGCACGATTGTCTTGTACACTGCTGGTTGACGGATCTGGCAGTCGATTGTTCGTGACACGGGGTGCCTGTGTCCTGGTCGCCCACCATCCAACCGCCGAGGGCGTCGATTGTCCAAACCGCCGGGATTCTGATTGTTCCCAGCCAGCTGGCAGCTCGTGATCAGCCTGGGCGCGGCGGCGTTTGCAAGTTGACGCCCACCGCCGCTTTCTCCCAGCCGCCTGGCTTGGCCGCGGCCGTGAAAATAAGTTTATTTAAGGCAGAGCTTTGTAGATGTTTTGACTACTTGACCTTTCAACCTCCAACCCAAGATCTTCACAAGTTCTCACCACTATTTACTATTCACATCTACCACCATCTATCATCACTTGTCACCATCTACCATCATTTACCATCTTCATGTCGCCGGTATCTTCCATGCCTTGTCAAAATCTAGCCCATCTCTTTGTGTGGTAGTTGTGTATTCCCATCGCCGTCATCTATTACTTCCATCTCCATCTCTATCATCATCTCCTAGTTGGAGTCTTGGTTCCCGCCAGTTTTGATTCTCGCCAGTCTTCGCTCTCGCCAACTTTGGTTCTCGCCAACTTTGGTTCCCGCCAACTAGTTCTCGCCAGTCTTAGCACTCGCCAGCTTTGGTTTTTGCCAGGCTTGAGCTTCCGCCAGACGTCATTCCTGACAACACACCCTCAAAGGTTTCTAGTGGGCATTCACTACTCGTTACCCTCAGCAAGATGGTGAGTTGACATGTCTGTCCCGTCCTGTCAATCTACAATTTCCGTCCCATCCTTCCACTTTACAACCTCCAAGACTGACAATCTCTTGCATTTCAGGTCTACCCATCCTGCACTCCGCGGCAGCGTACAAAGACACGCATTTCAAACGCGTCTACAACTTTGTCAATTATCTAGGTAAGCAGTATCATTTTTCTCACTTTTCTTTTACCCCTCTCACAATCGCGGGGTAAAACGCCTTTGCGTGATTATTTTGATAGACGCCGTTTGCAAAACGAAGAGTTTTTCCTACCCCTCCACAACAATCTGCACAAAATTGTCTGCCAAACAAGACCGGCCGGCACTCCTTTTTCTCAATTTTTTCTTCTTCTCCCATCAATCTTCACGTCGGCGAGCACGACTTGGACAATCTCATGAATACTGTTTCCCTCTTTCCTTTTCTCACTTGTTTCTAACCGCATCAATAGTTGCTGTCATGATTCAGTATCACGGTTCAGCAACTACCTCACAGGACTTTGTCTCCCTGGTCAATCAAACATGGTCGTTGATTCGATTGTCTTGATCTGAATCTTGGAATCTCTCCACCACTCAGAGCTACACAAAGACTCTCCGACTTTCCAAGTCAATAGTCTTTTGTTTCTCTCAACCAGACATGCCCACTATAATGGCGAGGTACTACTTGTCCCCCACCATGTCAAGCTGCGACTTATACTCCCCGCACACTTATTCCCCACCTTCCCGAAACAGGGCAGTATACACCATGGACTTTTCACCAATTGGCCACTGCCCTTGTTGGCGCTCTAGTCTTGAACTATACTTGCACAGCTGGCTTGTTATATTGCCGTACCAAAGTCGTTCATCTTCGTCCGGTGTCTGTTGTCTTTGATCCGCAGATCATTTATGGTACCATCCAGACATGATACCTCTTGTTCGTCTAAAGCCAACCATACTCATCTTCGGACGAAAGAATCATTCCACTCATACTCACCTTCGGACGATATAATCATCCCACACACACTCACCTTCGGACGATATAATCATCCCACTCATACTCACCTTCGGACGATATAATCATCCCACACACACTAACCTTCGGACGATATAATCATCCCACTCACACTCACCTTTGGACGATATAATTGTACCGACTCTTTCCCACTTTACAAGACAAATACCATCCCCCAAGGTAATGTCAGCTACCGCCAATATACTCTACACAATTGACTACGCTCTGGCTTCAGGTCTTTGCCATATCAAGGATTCTCCTTGCCTCTTTGGCAGCTCAACTAAACCAAAACCAAGGTCTGGTAACCGCCTTGGAGCAAAGGAATGCAATCCCGCAACCAGGGCTGATGTACTCCATCCCCACCTCCCCTTTTCGTCTCAAGCGGATCATGATTCTGATAGAGTCCTTTTTCCGAGTGAAGTACATCTTCCTCCCGGCGGCAGATGTCTGTGTCTGCGCCCCGATCCAACCAGCTGTGCCTGGTTCCTGACTGCACTAGTGACGCCTGTGAGCGTCATGTGATGATCCACACCCTCCAGTGTAAGGGTTCGGGCTGCCCACTGGGCACCCCTTTCTTCGCCAACGGTGAGACCTTGGAAAAGCACCTCATTGACGACCACAACAACGGTGACCACGACTACTGCCACTGGCCCGGTTGTGATCCCAACGTCGAGAGAGCCACAAACAACAATATGGTAAGTTGTCTTATTTGAAATCCGTCCCCAAAGACGATCACTTATGTCTTGTCTTGTCAATCTTGCTTATTACCATTTTTGCAGTTCACGGTCTCCTGCACAATCACTTGCTCGATACATGGCACCCAAAAAAAAAAAAAAAAAAAAAGTAGGCAACACAACACGGAAAGGTTCAGCCTGCCCGCCGACTCCCTTGGGCAAGGAGTCCCGCCGTCATGACTCTCATCGGAGAATTTGGAATTACACGGGCTGAGCACTGCTCCCCCTGGAATGCATCCCCGAGAGATGAGCATTGACAACCATTACGCCAGTGCTGGACGCTGTGTCCAGCACATCAGCGAGAATGGCGCAAATGTCCAACCTAGCATGCCAGCCTCGGCCTCTGTTAGCAAGCAGTGGCGTGCTGAGACCTTCCGCCACATCGTCGTGGCACAAGTCCAGCCTGCTGTTCCCGGCAGCAGCAGCAATGCCTTTGGAGCTGTGACTACTGTTGTTCACCCGTCTGGAGATATTGTCTTCCTCACCGACAGAGCTCCCGACACATACCCAGATAACACCAAGACGATTTTGCAGGCCGCAAAGACCGTTATGGTCTATAAAGAGGCACTTGTGCCTACAGACCCTGAAGAGTCTGGCCTCCTCACCAAGGTTATGCTGGCTGGAACAACCTTTAAGGAACTACGGACTCTGGATGTCATTATTCAACCTAGTTTCAACAAGCCGGGTGGTCTCCGGACCCCCTCCCATCGCCAGGCGCCGTCTTGATCCGCTAACCTGGGCGTTCTCCGGAAACCCCGCCGGCTGGTTTTTGCCCTTCTCGCCTCGAAAGTGCGACTCGAGGTGCTTTTGGTGGGAGTGGAAGTTGGGGTTGGTTGGGACAACTTCCACTCGTACCAGAAGCACGTGGAGTCTCATTTCCGGGGTGAGAAGGGCAAGAACCGCCCCACAGAGCTGCAGACAAAGACGGAGCTACACCGTCTTTGTCTGCAGAGGCCAAGGAGACTGGAAAGCCCTTCTCAGACGTGGGAATCTGCAGGAAGACTTCAAGTTTGACCATGTTTGTCAAAGGCGGCTTCTGAAGCGCCCTCCCCTGCGGTGATAAAGAAGGAACCTATCAATGACGGGACGGCCAAGGTTCTGGTAGACGTCTTTCGCATCACAACGGATGAATGGGACGCAAAAGCCTCCCGATACACGAGCTGTTAAAACCTACCTTTCAAACACTGGAGAAGAAGTCTTGTAGGACGTACAACTTTGACGCAAAGACACTGCTGTCGGACTTTACCGATATCTATCTCAATTTGGAATGTCGCCGTGGTGGTGATGCAGATATGCTCACGAGGGTGAAATCATGAGAAAGATTCGCAATGGGTAGATAATGAGGGATACATGTTGGATTAATTGTAAAGGAAAATGTCGAGATATCTCTTAGGAATAGACAAGGAAAACATCAAATATCAAACAACTTACTCTTGTGAATTATATCCTTGCCAAGTGATTTGACTGCGTGGCTCGAAAGGCCCTGGAACTATGTGACTAAATGTAAGCACCCTAGATGGAAAAGCTCCATCAAGTCATGGCATGATCGGTCTTGAATACAATCAATTGTGTGTTGGAATCATTAGACTTGATAAATGCATAATAGATAGTATGTCGTGTTCATTTATTATCTTCAAGTTTGTAAAATGTTTGACTGCTGTAGGAAATCTTGTCTAGCCGTCTCTTGACTGTCGGTCACGGCTTGCTGATTCGAATTATCCAACATGTCGATACCATTCTGACCTCTGTACGGGTATTGATGACGTTCTCGTTATTCGTCCATGCCGTGCAAACAACTAACCAGCACCTGGCACGAGGCTCGGTGCGATACTCGCCGCGCGCTGCCTGTCATATGGTGGGTGCATTGGCTCGTCGGGGAGCGGCAGTTGATTGTCTTCGGATATTTCTGCCCCGGCATTGATGCTGGCCTTTCTCCGCAGACCGCCCGCCTTGAGCGAACGAACCTGTTGATATGTCCGCTCAATCTCGAACTCAATGACACAACGAATGCGTAGAGCACAAATGGCAGGCCAGACGCTGCGCTCACCGCGGAGGATCCAGTAGTCGAGGGTCTCGCGAGTTGGCGTTTCGAGCAAGCGTACAAAATCCGACGCAGTAACCTTGGGCACAAATGTCATGTGAGCACCTGGAATCTCCTCATCAACGAGAAATCGCCTAATCCCAGCCGGGAGCAAGCCTAGAGTATCTAATTGTCTGAGCCGGTGTCGGGTCTCTAATCCAACCATGCGGATAATGTTGCCCGTGATTTGAGCGCGTCGATGTCGTGCTGCGAATAGCGACGGACCGTGCATGTCCGACTCCAGGAAAGGAATCAGATAGGGTCTGGCTTGTGAGACTATGAAATGGTTCACGTTGAACAATTGAGCAATGCGAGCTAAAGGACTCTTGCTATCTTTACTCTCCGTGGCAGAAGCCGAGGTGTAGTGGCGGAATGTGTGTGCTGGCGCCCAGGGGACAATATTTCCATCGGCATCTTTGCAGAGGACAGTCGTTCCCCGGCTCCCATAGAGCGAGGGCGTCGATGCATTGGACGCGACAGCAGCTGTCCATATCAACTACACAAGTCAGCAGCGTACAAGTATAAACAATTGCTCAAAGACATACCACATTAGGGGCCGTGATATAATTCAACAAGGAGGGAAGTCCACCGCGGCCTTCCGTGGCGACAGTGATGTTCAAAATTCTCTTGCTGCGATTGAAAGCTTCCTCAAACGTCAGGTTTCCGACATTGGCCTTGACGCAATCCTCGAGAACCTTGACATCGAGAAAGTAGCCTTCTTTCCAAAAACGACGAAAGCGGCGTAACAATGTCTCCCAGCCATACTCGACCGTCTGCTTCCCGGTTTGCTGTCCGCGGTGAGCGTGCGCTTCAAAGGCTGAAAGGTCAATGCCTTCTCCCGTCAGGATACGAGGCAGTTCATCCTCGGTATGAATGGCGACCAGACTGGCAATCAGCGCCCCCGTGGCCGTACCTGTAATGATGCGAGGGAGAAGTCCACGGAAGAACAGAGCCTTGACCACACCCAGGTGGCAGAGTCCAAAAATGGCACCGCCCTGAAGAACCAATGTTGTCCGACCAAATGCTTGCCTGGAATCGTGCAAAAAGTTCAACTTGCGCTGTGCAGATATGCTTGGCTGGGGGCCTCCGCTGGTTTCGACCACGGGAGCGGCATTAGAAGCCGTTTGCGCATTGATATCCTCAATGGCCACTACGACCTGGGCAATGTATTCTTCAATCAGGTACTTGGTGCCGGCAAATGATCGATTGTAGAGCTTGGGAGACGTTATGTTGCCGAGGTTGCGGACAAGTCCAGCTCGGACGAGATCGATCAGTGTCTGCAAATCTCGGTCCTCGCGGGCAATATTGAGAGACTCGAGACGGCGGTGGATTAGTGTCCAGTCATAGGAGCTGGAGGTGACGTCGTTTCGCCTAAATGGTAGCTGACGTTAGCCGCCAGCGAAATCCCGACATCGCAGACTTGAGCCGGGTAGACGCACCATAGATTCAACTGCTTGATATTGTCCAGGTGAAGTGCCGCATGTTCCCAGTCCTCGTAGCTCTCGGCGTTGCGCAAGGCATCAAGCCAGTCGTCGAGTATATTCCTCGACTTCCACCAGCTACCGAATTTCTGGTTGGGGGATTTTTGTCAGCCCGCGTACTTGTTGGAGGTGTGGTACGGCAACAAGGTTCCCGTAGCTTACCTACTTTGATCCAGAACAGGACTACTTCGAGGAGTAGCGAAGAGACCGCCCAGAGGACTCCAATGAGGCCTGATGCTGCTGCCATGCTGTCGGAAACTGAGGACAGCGCATGCAGGGACAAAGGGTCGCGAGGGACGGAACAGTGGTTGGAGGGAGGATCTGGATCAATAGGTGCGGAAGTCAAGGTTTAGTGAGCGCCATCATAGGGTCTTGGTCAGCTCGGGATGTCAATTTAGAGTGCCGAGCGTGGGTGCATAATCTCGGAGGTGAAATTGACAACAGGAGCAACAAGATATCGAAACAAGAGAAACCAATACACGCTGTCTTCTTGACAAAGACCGACTTGCTTAGCTCTGTTGGGAGCAGCTGATATATACACGAGTCGTCGCGTGACGTGACTGAGCCGGTCAGTGCTGGCAAACTGGCTGGCATGTGAAAGTAATGGTGGGTTGGGGTAGGGAGTAGTGGCCTAGGAGTACATACATTGGGTACTCGATGTAGGGCATTGTGTAACACTACTCTTTGGAATCGCGAGATGGTTAGTGCGGCTACAGGCGATGCTTGGTTCTCGGCCATGCATATAGAATCAAGAGAAATTGTTTGCAATAGGACTACATGTCAACGACGTATAATATGTAACTGAAATAAGTAAATGGAATACATTCGTCATAGGTACATGTCTGATTTATGGAGCATTATTATGCAACCGCAGCTATTGGACCCTGCATTGACCCGACAGCACGTCTCCATAAAGCTTAAATCCTTACGCCGAGAATATTCAAATCAAAGCTGATTGATATCAAACAGACTTGATTGAAAGAAATCACTGTTGATGCATCGTGTGTAAATAAAACCCCCCAAATAACTACTATAAATGAAAATTTTCGCAAGTTTAAACCTAAATGTTTCAATCCGCTTCACAACATCTTCACCTTTCAAGGACGTCTATCCAACATGAAAGAGCTACGTGGCTTCAAGTACAACTCTGTTCCTTTGGAGCAGGCCCCAGCCGAGATGATCGAGTGCAAGACCAGTCTCGAGTATACTGCATGGGCTATGCAAAAATTGCTCGAGTGCAATGACGACACGACTCACCAATTGCTTGAAAAGTCTACAGTATTGTCTCCATCTCCTCCCTTCCTTTTTTGCATCCATGAACACTGAATGGCATACTCATGCATCGGAGTAGGATATCCAGCGACTTTTCCAACCCAAAATATGGAGACAGGCCGGCAGACCACACATTAGCGACATGTTCTTTCTACGATCAGAGCCATGCTATGCTGTAGCACTCTACCTGTTCCTCGACCAGAGTAAACTTGTTGCCAATGGAGAAAACAAGTGCTGCCAACAATGCGACCACATCAACAACAAGGGTCCTTTTGACAAGTGCATCTCGGCCGGCACGGACGTGGCCAAAGGAGCATGTCTAAACTGCTATTACTCCGCCTCGGGGAAAAACTGTTCATTTCGTAAAGGTAGAAACTGTCATGACCTTGCCAAGACGAGTATACTAACATGGTTAGATTTGGAGAAACCCCTCAAAGCGGGATCAAAATATCCGACCGAAGCTCAGAGAAAAAAGGCCACAGCGTCTGATCTGGAGTTGTGGATGGACCAAATCCGGGCCGAACTACACCGGCGGGACAAGGCCAAATTTGCAATTGAACTAGAAGATGACAAAGACGAAGACGAAGGTGATGGACAGGGTGAAGGTGGTGGACAGGGTGAAGGTGGTGAAGATGACGAAGACGGCGAAGGCGAAGGTGATGAAGAGGGCAATGACAACGAAGATGATCCAGTGGACAAAGATGTTGGAGACCACGAAGAGGGTGGAGAGGCATCTCGTTCCAAGCGTCAAAAGACGGCCAACGCAGAGGACACCGAGTAGACATTAGTCAAGACAGACCAAAGATTCACATTGAAAACATATTAATTCATTCATTTTGCTCTCTCTAAACGCCATGTCGCCGATGCATCAACCAATAACTAGAGACCAGCCACATCTTGCCACTGAACCTATAGGCAGAGGAACCAAGCCAAAGAGTAGCACTTTTGAAGGCCCTGCTGGCGAGAAGCTCATTATTACTCTTCATCGTCGTCGTCATCATCATCCACAATGTTGCGTCTACGGCTGCGAGATTGTTCTGCCGGGGCATCATCGTCCAAGTCTCCATCTGCATCAGCATCGTCTTCTGCATCGGCCGTCTTTTGGCGCTTTGAGCGAGGTGCCTCTTCTTCATCCTCGTCGTCGTCATCGAGAATGTCTTCCTCATCATCCTCCTCGACAAAGCTGCCCTCGTCGTCGCTGGGAGCAATAAAGTCGTCTTCGTGGTCATAGTCCTCGTTGCGGCCACGTCCAGCAGGAAGGTCATCATCTGAATCATATTCAGGACGACGCTTCTTGGGGCGTGAGGCACCCGGTTGTCCTCTCTTTCTTGAACCACCAAGACCGCGTCTGCCCTCGAGATCGCCAATAGACAGTCCTCCACTTCGATAGCCTCCGGCGCGGTTGTCCAATCTAGCTGCGGCATTGTCCCTCCTGCGCTGAGCCTTCATGCGCTCTCGCTCTGCCATCTCTGCCTCCTTGCGCTGAAGCTCTGGGTCTCTCGTCGCAATAAAGATGTTGTCTGCGCTCTTGAACTTGCTGCGTGCGACTTCCTGCATCTTACTTGCCAGCTTGGCGACAGCATCGTCCTGGACGTTTCGGTTCGGAAGTACCGTGTAAGATTCCGATACATGCCCCATGGTGACCAGCAGATTACTAGAAAGATGGGCAGCCGCGGCATAGTAGTGTGCGTCCTGGACTTCTTGGTAGGGTTTGTCGCTGGGAGGTGCGAGCATCTTCTTTTGGATTTCATAGTGTTCGCCTCCTACCGACAAGGTGATTGAGCCGTCGTTCCATCTGTGCACGAGCGCATTGCTCTTGAGGCTACCCGTCTCGGGATCGCGCTGGTATCGGATGACACCCTTGGGGTTATCGCTTCGAGCATTTTCTTGATCCCATTCGGTGGGTTCAAATGTGTCGGGCTTGTACTCTTCGGCGGCGATTCGGAGAAAGTTGGGAGGTCTCAGAGATCTCAACTAGAAGCTGTCAGCATTGTGCAAGTCTATCAGTGCAACGGATGCATCATACTGTTCCATCTTTGCTCTTGGGTGCTCGGTGACGGTACAACTGAATGTTCATGACCAGCCTGTTCTCAACCTCGACCTCCCGCTCATCGACATCCATGTCGCCATCATATCGGTGCTCGTTGGCGTCCCTGTCCGAGGCCAGGTCGGCGTCACTGACGACGCGCTCATTGTCGGACTGAGCATCGTCATCGCCACCCTCGCCGAAAAGGTCATCAACATCGTCGCCGCCAATGTCAACGGGGTCTTCCGAGTCGGACATGATTAATGCTGGTAGAATTGGTAGTGCGCAAGAATGCGAGAATGTTTCCAAATGACAATTGATGCAATTTGAGCGCGGTCGCGGCGCGTGAAGCTCTGATCAGTGACAAGGCTACCTTGGAGCTGGGGTTTGCTGCGAGCGGGAATGGGATTTCAATGGAGACCTCGAAAAGGCTGGCAGAAGCACAGGTCACGGTAGGTACTGTAGGTACATAACCACAGGTGCTTGCTTGGGCTACAGCCTTGTTACCAGGTACCCAGAATCACTAAAGGCTTGAGAGGAAAAAGTTGGAACTGGGGGTCCAGAATGGATCCAATGGCAGATGGGTTTCAGGCGTTTGAGTTCTGGAATATTAGCGGCCGAGTCAGTGGACCCCACGTACTGGAGCTGAAAGAACCGGGAATTCACCACTTGCAGGGCCGGTTGCACTAGAGATTGAGGGGCAGAGATGATACACTGTTGGGAGGGGATATGGAGGTTGATAGATGTCCAAGGATCAAGAGAAATGTCCTGATTCTCGTGTCACATCTAGCCATATCAATTGTTTCCTCACAAGCAAAAAATTCAACAATATAGAGTCAAAATAGTTGACACTGCCAGGAACAAGTCGTGCACATGCTGAAGAGCAACCGCTGGCTCGTGCGTCGACAGTTGAACTAATACGGTTAGTGGCTTTTTCCGATTGCCTCCTTTCCCTAACGTAGGTCTTGACCTCTGGATGTTTGAGCTTTCAGAGCACCATCATAGGGTTTGCCAAAAGAACGGATCAGTCAGTCCTCTGCCTCCCTTCAACGATCCAATCCAAACCAACCTTCTGCTCCTCATTGATCTCACGATCTCCATACTCGTGCTCATTGAGGTGGAAACAGCGCTCAACTTCCGCCCTTTGCCTGCAGGATCCGATCGCCCGACCAGACCTCGTACCGCTCTTCCTCCTTTATTTAGCCCCTCGCGCAGCGGCGCCTTTCCTGGTACAGACTCGGCAACCATGTCGAACCTTTTCTCGGGAATGTGAGTATCTCGATGTTTCATTAAGCCTGTCCATGGTCATAACATGCATGTATTTCCTATTGCAAATCATCCGTCTGTCAGCCCAAGTCGAACAAGCCATGGGTCAGACTTGACTGGTGGTTGTCTTTTTTTTCCATCTGTCCATTCATCCCCCACATTCTCTCTCCTTCTCATGCTCCCTGACCCTCACCGACTTGCCCATGAGTGTGAGTGAGTGCAGATGGTGCCCAAGGCTTCAAGTGAATCTCGCCACCAATCCCCTTGCGCGCGCGCGCGCGCTCGCCCACATGTAGGACAGCGCATACTCTCAACGCAATTGGAACCGAGCACCGCCTTCTAGATCTCTGCATGTTATACACACCCTTAAGGGGGGGCTTGGGGCACCACGTACAAGCGATCCATAGCGGGGTACTTGGTCCGATCCGAGGGCCTGATACTTGGGTGGCATCGCAATAGTCCAGTCCCGGTCCACAGTCACGAAAGGGGTGGACAGCAGCAGAAGGAACCTCTCCTTTGCCCGTACGACCTTTCTTTCAGCACATCATCGCATCATTTGTTCTACTTTTGAGGCTGAAGACCTCTCTTTTCGACGCCTAGTCAAAGCCTGCCCCTAGCCGGTTTGGGAACAGCAAATTGCTTTACTTTCATTGGGGTATGCAAGCCTGCTTTAACAGTATGCACTTATTGGACGATTCCTAAAAAGAATCACGGTTTCGTGACGTGCCTGATGGGAGCATTTTGTCAGAATAATTCCCCGAGCCCGAACACGCAGGAGGCGGCTCGTCTCGCATGGTACGACGTTGTCAAGTGACTGTCTCGTTCTTGGCACTTGTCTTGCCCGTCGTGGGCCGTTTGCTGTCCTAGGACACTTGCTTGCATACTTGTCTGCTTGGGAGTTTTTTCCAACATGAACTGACATTTATTCCACAGCAACGCCCGTTTCAGAGGGACGGCGGCTAAAGCCCCAGGTCAAAAGAGCCCTGTCACAACCAGCAGTGGACAACCCAGCTCTCCAACTGCTCTATCTCAAGGCAGCCAATCATCCTCAAACCTTGCGGCTCCAAAGATTCCTCCCCTTCCAAGCTCGCCATCCTTGGCCATGGACGACCCATCTTTGGCTTCACCTGGCGGCGCCAACGGCGATGAGGTTCTCAACTCTTATCACCTCCCGCGCCCCATGCCTCTGTGGTTGAACTCTTCCTACGCCAAGCACATTGTCAAGGGAAATTTCATGACTCTGAGCGCCAGACCCAAAACCGTTGATCCCGGTGAATGGATTGCCCACCAAGGTGAGACCCCTCACACGTTCATTGTCGACTTGACTAACAGGCCTAGTTGTCGAGCATTACCGCAACTTGTGGAACTTTGTTCGGGTCATACATGAAAAGGAAGAGGATGGCACCACCATCTGCAATGCCACCACCTGCCCAAGGATGTCCGCTGGAGCGTGAGTAACACGCAATCCGAGACATGATTTCATAGCTGACCCTTTTAGTAATCACTCCTTCACTTGGCTGAACTTCAAGAGGGAGCCCGTCGAGCTTCCGGCCTATGAGTACATTACTCTCATGCAACGCTGGATCTCGGGCAAGATTGACGACACCACCATCTTCTCAACAGACTCCAACGGTGTCTCATTTTCTCACAACCCTCAAATAACCACGACCCCTCTCTCTCAGCTGAGCAGCCCTGGTGATCGCGATTGGGTCGGAAAGCGAAGTGGATTCCCGGAAAACTTTCTCGAGGTCTGCCAGACCATTTTCCGACAAATGTTCCGAGTCTACGCCCACCTGTACTGGGCTCACTTTGTCGACCCCTTTTACCACCTCAACCTTGAGAAGCAGCTCAACAGTTGCTTTTCTCACTTTGTGCTCACCGCCTGCGCATTGGATATGTTGAAGCCTCAGGAGCTCGAACCCATGCAACCACTCATTGATCTCTGGGCCGCCAACGGCACATTCCCTGCTGGATCCAAGGCTTATGACTACGCCAACCACAAGGCTGGTGATAGATTGATGCAGCTTGGAAATGCTTCCTGAATCGCTCAACCTTGCATAGACGGCGGCAATTCTCATTGCCAACCATAGACCAGCCAACGAGATCAAGACGCCAGTCAGGACCCAACGACCTGTCCGCGACGCACATTTTGTGTTACATATTGCTTGCCAGTTATGTACGGGGCTGCGCAATCATTGCTTATACGATTGGGGTGGTTCGCTCGAGTTTGGATCCATGACTCCAGCATAGTTTGGGCGGATGCGAGCAACCTCTTTACAACGTCTATAAGAGACGACGTGCTGGCAGGCCAAGACAAGCCTAGGAACATACAATCCCACAGACTGGTTTCACGTGGGTTTTCATGTAGACCAAGATGTTCAGTCGAGGGATATTTTAGTATCAAGAAATGTGAACAAACAACATGTCCTTGTCTTGCAACTCGTCGTGACATTGTGAACAAAGTCAAATAATGCCCTATTGGATCAATTTGGGGACTGAGGGCGGTTATTGTTACCCTTGTGAATACAAATATGTGCGCTCTGAATGGCAGTGCTGCTGTGACATTTGGTCTGTGAAAGCACGAGTCCGTAATTGATAAGCATAACGCCCAATGAAAATGAGGCTATGGAGCTGTTTCAAGAGAAAATATGAATATGGCCAATCAAGATCCCTTGGCGTGCGGGGATATGCAAGAGGTTAGCAATGTTGCAATCAAGACAAGCAGTTTACATGATGCAATTTTAGTAAATGGTGTTGAGGAGCTGCTTGCGTTTTTCCCTCCTTGCCCTACAGCCTAGGAGTTTCAGACCATCTGTCTACTAACCCATTCGCCTCTATCCTCTCGAATCAACACCATGAGCCGGCCTGTAGTACTCATCGTCCCTGGCGCCGCGGCCCTTGCAGAGCTTTACAAAACTTTCATCAAGGCTGTATCGGAAAAGGGTTACGAGATTGAAGCCTTGACCTTGCCCAGTGTCCGCAATGCCGCAGAGGCGAATGTGACCCCTCCGACCATGTACGAGGATGCCGCGGCTATCCAGTCGCGCGTCGCCAAGCTGGCTGATGCTGGAAAAGACGTGATTCTTTTGCCACATTCGTACGGAGGGACCCCGTCGACGCAGAGTGTAGAAGGGCTTAGCAAAAAGGAGAGAGAGGCTAAAGGGCTACCGGGTGGGATCATAGGTCTTGCTTACATGACCTGCTTGATACCTGAACTAGGCCAGCCGGCCATGAGTGTTCAAGCGTCCATGGCACCAGAGGACAAGGTTCCCATGGAGATTAATGTACGTCTGTCCCTTTCCCAATAATAAGATTGGGGAATTAAGTCAAGAACAATAGGAACACGGCTGGATTTATTTTCCAAGCATTCCGAGACTGGCCGAGCTCTCTTTTACGGACATGCCCAAGGAGCAAGGCGAGTACTGGGCTGCCAAGCTGGCAAACCACTCTTCGGCTTCCTTTGCTAGCCCCTTGACTTACCAGGGGTTCAAGGACGTTCCCGTGTCGTATCTGGTGTGCGAGCATGATCTTACTATCCCCCCAGTACTGCAACAAGCGGGCATCGATATGATTGAGAGGATCACGGGCGAAAAGGTTGAAGTGACACGCATCGATTCAGACCACTGTGCGCCTGCCAGCGATATGCAAAAGGTGGTTGATTGGATCGTCAATGTAGTGAATCGCTTCGAAACGGCATGAGCGCTACCGAGTAAAGACTTGACGCGATCAAGAACGACGATGAAGCCAGGGGTTCATGGGTGGCTGCAATCTCGGACAATCCATATAAACAAGGTTTAGACCAGCTGGAATTTCTAGAGCCCTCCCAAAAGCTTTTACCAGACATCATAGTCTGGAATATCTTCTTGAAAGTAATCTTCTCGAACCTTTGTGAACCCGACAATGCCTCCGGTAGGTGCCCAGGGCTCACCACCTCCACTAGCAAAGATCGCCCAGCTGGCTCCGGAAAACACATAAAATCCAGACGGAGCCCATGCCAACCAGCTAGAGGGCAACTCATCCACCCAAGTCACTATGCTATCTCCAATGGTGTACCCAAGAGAGTAGGAGAGTGGCTTGGCTCGAATATGAAGCGTCAAATCATGTGGAATAGTGTGTTGACCAAGAGGGACCTCCTTTACCTAGATATTTCTTTAGCTTGTATGATTGCGGCAGTCTTGGAGAACTTACCATGGTTGTCGTGTTCATGATGAGTTGAGAGTAGATGCATAAACCAGTGCTATTGGTGCAACCCTTGACGCCAATGTCTTGGTGGGAATACTCGCTCAGGTAGGCAGATATACCCACCGTCTGACGAGAGCCCAGCGAGGTATTTGAAGCAAAGAGAGTCGCCGAGAATGTCATGTTCAACGACTTTTGCTTGCGCAATAGTGCAGACGGAGTATCCCTATCACTCAAACCAAAGACATTGGGTTTCAACATGAGACCACATTGTGTATCATTACCGTGCCGCTTGGAAGACTGCTGACCCTGTGATGCTAATGCATAGTTTCGTGTATATGGTGTCCTGAGCTGGTACCAGGAGAGGTCCAAGGTTCTCTCACAAAACTCGTCTTCAAATGGCTGAAGGGGAGGCTTTTGGGCCGATACTCCCGAAATGTTCTGACTCAACGTGATTGGCTCATTGTTGTTGAGTATAGGCCAGCCGTCTTGCCATGTTACGCTTGTAAGAAAGGTTTCGCGTCCTAGTCATTGGAGGCGATTAGCAACATGATGGAATGGACCTGTCCTACAAGATGGATTCTTACCTAGCGGAGATGATCCATTTACCTTTCTTCGTGCTATAAACGAGCAGAACCATTCCCCATTGGGAGTCTCTGTAAATGTGCCATGTCCAGTGGATTGTACAGTCAAATTATCAAAGCCCCAGCGGCCGTTGAATAATATTGGGTTGTTTGGTGCTGATTTCCATGGCCCTTCTGGGGAATCGGACCTGGCGATGGTGGATCGATGTTGGTCATCGGTTCCTCCTTCGGCAGTGAGGAGATAGTAGTATGGGTCCTTGTAGAACATTTTGGGCCCTTCGAGGCGTGAGGTAGCATTTTGTACTAGCGTACCATTCCAGAGGCTTCTATATGATCCCGAGCAATCACCAGAGTCCAAGTCTACCTCGCACTGATATATCCCCCAAATCCGATCCTTGTTATTGTTTGGCGCCATAAGGTTGAGATAGGTTCTGCCCGACTTGGGATCATGGAAAAGGCTGGGATCAATGCCCCAGGGCTCGGCCCAAATGGGATCAGACCAAGTGATCAAGTCTGGGGAAGACATGAACATGACACGGGGCCAAACGCGCGCGACTGGATCATATGTCCATCTTGTCATGGAAGCTAGATAGAAGAGGCCATTGTGGTAAGATAATGTGGGCGCCCAAACACCTGCTCCGGTAGGCGTGCCATATAACTGAACTTGACTCGGCTTGATTTGTGCATGAGAGATCAAAGTCCAGTTGGCCAAGTCTACGGAAGCATAAATTGGAGTGCCTGGAAAATATTCAAAGCTCGAGGTTGCCAGATAATAAGTGCCTTTGACCTGGAGGATGGATGGATCAGGATTCCAGCTGCCTATAGTCAGCAATAGTTTGTTGAACTTGACCAAATGATCAAATACTTGCCCAGATATGATTGGATTTTGTAGTGCCCTTACAAGCAGGAATTGACAGAGTACGAGTAGCGTCAACATGGCGGGTTTGTTGGTCAACGGATCATGTAGTCAAAACGTTTCAACACAAAGATACAACCAAAGCGGATATTTTCAGATTGGCAACCCGATACAAGGGCGAAATAAATACTCCTCGAGTTCACCTCCGCCCGGATCTCAATGTCGCGGGCAGCGGGCCATGTCGCGGGCCGTATACGGACGCCTAGCCTGAATACCCCAAAATGGCAGGGTTTCTTTCCAAGGCATTATGAGCGCGTCAAGGTGAGGTGATTAGTATACAGCCCGCGTGGGTTGGATTGAGCCGATGGTCGACGCCGCCAAATGTTTCATGACATTCATTCTGTGTATGTATACTCTGCAAATACCAGTCAGCTCGCCTAGATAGGAACTGTGATGTTCGCATCGAGTATAGCCGAGCACACTGCGATCGCGCGCGCTGAGCCGCTATGCGGGGGATGAACCGCTAAAACTTTTGGCAACCAACGGTCCAATTGCTGAACAGGTAACACTTTTTGGTCCCGACGCGTTCGCCACTCTCAACACATCATTTCGTTCCGGGGGCACAAAGGGAACTTTAGCCAAGATCCGTCTTTTTACCTAGAAACAGGGATGATCTTGCTCAGTTTGTACGTCTGATTAAGCTCCAGGCCTGAACACTGGCGCCATCAAGTTCGCTGTACGAGGTGCAGGGCAGCAACCCGCGCTTGGATGCAATAACGTACATGATGGCATCATTGTTGATTGCCCAACTTGGCTGGTAGTCATCTATCAGAGAATATGATATAATGATCTCGATTGAGGTAGGCAAGCGCCGAGGTAATGCATATTCTAGATTTTAGGAAAAGTGGCTTATTGTGACTGGTAGTTGAGCCAGTATAGATGGAATTGGCAGGCTTGCTCTCTCTGGTAAGGAATCACGACATGTCGTCTCTCCCTTCTATCCGCCTTGCTGACGCATTGTCAGGTTGTCTATACTTCTTCTCTGCTCGAGGGGGCTTCATATCGGGCAACACCGAAACCTTGAAGCCACATACCGAACTCGTGGAACTCTTCCATCTTCGGGTCATCAGGGGGCCCTTCAGTTACACCCCTAACATAGTCCGAATCATGGGCAAAAGGGGCAGTACCACTAGTTTCTAGATCGAGATCATCAGCGGGCCATTCAGTTACAACACCACCGGCCTCTCGAAGTCGTTGGGCGACGACAGTGTGACCTCTTTCCAATGCAAAGTCCAGTGCTGATCTATGTTGTCTCCTTATCGACGGGTATCTCCTTGTCGACGGGTATCGACCGCTAATGGATGAAGACTCAGAACGTACCAGACCAGAGACTGACGGACGTGATTCCGACTGGTCAAATTCCGCCGGGTCAGATTCAGACTGGTCAGATTCAGACTGGTCAGATTCAGACTGGTCAGATTCAGCCCGGTCAGATTCAGACTGGTCAGATTCAGTCTGGTCAGATTGAGCCTGGCTAGGTTCAGCCTGGTCAGATTCCGACTCAGAAACAGATAATATCGTTGCATCTTGGTAATCATTGAGGTACTCATTATAGGTAACATGAGCAATTGCGTTCGGATTTGCTCCAGCTTCTAGCAGTCGCTCGATCACGGGGAGATGACCACCCTTGGCAGCTTCCATCAACACTGTCTGCCTGGAGCCGCACCGTCCTGATTCATTCACATTCGCGTTCGCTTCAAGTAGTCGTTCTATGACTGAAAGATGACCAGCTCTAGCAGCCTTTCTGAGCGGTGTCGTTCTCTCACTTGCATATCCTACTGTATTGGGATCTGCTCCGACCTCCAGCAGCCGGTTAACAACAGTAAGATGGCCGACTCCAGCAGCTTCGATCAGTACTGTTGGCCCCGGTCGTGCCGGTAACCCCGTTACACAGTACTGGTTGCTGGATATTAATCGGGAATTCACGTTTGCTGTTGCTTGGAGCAGCCGGTCCACGACAGTTAGGTGGCCAGCTTTCACAGCCTCTTTGAGAGCTGTTTGGACTGACTCCTCCCCCGGCACCTCGCGGTTTCTGGCTCTGAGTAATTGGTTCTCAGCTTCCGAGTCGTCGGATTCATAATTTATGAGAAATGTTGTTCTGTCCGAGGAGGAGGATCTGATTTTTGGGCCCAGCTTCTCTTTTACCTGGAGCAGCCGGTCTACGACAGAAAGATGGCCAGCTTTCGCAGCAATAGTGAGTGCTGTTTGGCCCTCATAAAGCTCCAAGTTTAGGTTTGCCCCAGCTTCCAGCAGTATGTCTACAACACCAAGGTGGCCGGCTTCAGCAGCCACCATAAGTGCAGTCCGGCCATTCTTGATAACTCCGTCTCTTGCGTCGACATCCGCTTTTGCTTGGACAAGCCGCTTGACATAATCTTCAGATCCCAAATTCGCTACCAATGATAATATGGGCCGAGAAAAGTATGCAAAATTGGGATCAACCTTGCCTGATTGGATGAGACGGTTTGCCACATGATTCAGATGCCACCCGGCAGCCCAGCAGAATAGGACTGAAGCAGCGCCAGATGATGATATTCGCACCGCTCCAAACGTTTTGGAGACCTTTGAGTCTACCCAAATGATCGATTCGCTGCTCATGCCGTTCAACAACGCTGCAAAAGCTCTTTCGGAGGATGTGACCCCAGCATTCGTGGCCAAGTTTGCATCGAATTGATTAAAGGTCCAATGGAAGACATTTTCCGATTCTCTGAGTCCCCGGGCATCCATACATAACAGAGCAGACTGGGACAATCGAGACAAGTAATCGCCAGAGAAAGGCTCTTTCGACGAGGATGGGCCCTGCAACTCCCACTGGTGTCCTGCGGCCCATTCGACGTAGGAATTCCAGTCATGATCCTGTTCAAAGGGGTAGGCCCAATCCCAAATGAGAATGAAATCACGTCTAACCAATTGGAGTCGCATGGCATCATCCACACGCAACTTGGCCGTAGAGACGTTTTCCTTGTGCGTTAACGACGAAGCAGCGGCAACCACAACAACCGAAAAGTCATGATATAACCGTACAATGGTAGGTGTTGTGGCACCATCAAGAAGGCAAATGAGATCACCCTTCCGGAGAAGTATTGTCGAGTTTCGGAGCATCAAAACATCAGGGTACAGCTCTTTGCTCGAATATTCAGCCAGAACGTCTCTCCAGTGCACATTTACCCGCTGCATATTGTTGAACCGATCATCGTGTTCGGCGTCGATGACTGTGCCGAGAACATAGCCTACGGCTTTGAGCACGGCAATCTCCTCCTCTTTTTGGCATTCGATGGATATCTGATTGGAAATGACGAATTCAACAAGCCTTTGAAACAATTGACGGACGGAAACTGTGTAGTCAGGTAACAGGCCAGAGGAACTCATATCAACTGAGCTCATTCCGAGCAGCGCAAAAACTTTGTCTTGAGCCGTGGTTGCCTTGCGATCGTGAAACATATCGACGAGTTCCCCAAAAGTGCATATGCCTTCAGCTAGCGCTGTAGATAAATCATATGGAGACCTGAAAACGGATCCTTGCATCAGGTAGGCCACGGATCGAATCGTATTCTGCAATGCCTGCCATTCTCCACCAGCTTCGAGCGAAGGCTTCAACAGATTCGCAGCAATGCCAAAGGCATATCCATCCATTTCACGATGACCACATCGAATCTGGACACGGCGAGCTGCTCCGACCTCTTGAAGAACCTGAATTGATCAGCAATTGTTCAAACGGTATGCAAGGAAAACTTTGTGCATCACCCACCCATATGCGTTCAAACCACGGTCTCTGAAACAATGCAATGATCCTATCAGAGATTTGCCCTTCTTTCTTGGTATTGATGTGCCATTGTCTTCCAACTTTGCGTAAATCTTCCAAGGCTTGGTCGCTCTCGTCTGCCATCTCCCCAAGCCAAACAACAACGCAACTCGCGCAAGCATAAATGCCGTACATTAGTCCAATCTGGTGCTCTTTTTCTCTTTTATTATCCTGATCTATGCACAACGCATCTACCCATAAAAGTTTGTCGCGAATTCGATGTCTCACATACGTCAATGCCGTTTGCAGATTGGCGGTAATAGCGAGATTGCACCCATCCAATTCGATAAAATGGGTTGTGTCCGTTTCGCCCCATACATAGGACAACGCATCATACGGCTCCTCATGGTCATGCATATCTTGTAAAGAGTACTCGAGCAATTGTCCCTTGAGTGGTTCGCTGGCGCCAGCACTTGGGAAAAGGCGCAAAAGTCGAATGCTTTGCGATGACGGTAAAGCCTGATAGATGTACGGAGGTCCCATAGTGATCGGCTGGTGGACTTTTGAAAAGTGCAGACTAGGAATGAACTGGCAAATACAAGGACAAAGTCTGCATTTGAAGTTGCAATATCAAAGGCAGTCTTTTAGCTAGTGCTGCTCTTCGTGGTAATAATACCGGAAAGAAAAGAAATATTGCAGGCAAAAGTCCGAGACATTATAACATAACGGCGCGAAGTGGGGTGAATACCATTACACAAAATACATCTTCCGTGGTTTTCTTTCAGTGCGGTATTAATTCCTTTCAAGGGCCTTCCCATCCGATGGATGCCTATCTCGTACCCAGTGTTCGAGCAGCGGCCACCAATCACAGCGCCTGATATCTTGACATGTTTGTCGATCAGGCTGCATTTTATTCCCTGCGTAATTTCCGTCGTGGAAGGATCACAGAAATGGACCGACTCTTGAGATATTTTCATCTCACCTAAGCCAACGTGAAAGTGAAGATGTGATTGAAGGAGCACGTAAGATGTCCAAGTTGATCCTACAATCTTCCAAAGAGAGGTGCTAAACCCCATCTAATATGCCCGAGTAAGTATTCTGCGCTGGGCCATATCTCCGTCATTACAAGACCAAACTTATCCCAAGTCTCTGGAAAAGATAGCGTCTATAAGCAGGAATTCGTCGTGAATCAACCACTTAGGGTCACAAGTTCCATTGCGTGAGTCTGTGTCGATAATTTATACGCGCGATATATCGCCAGGCCAAATCTGCAAAAGTGAGAGCACCATACCCAGCCCAGGCTTGTGTAGAGCTATATACCATGTACGCGATCCCGCAACGCCGGATTTGACCAAATACAATTGTTCAACCTAGAGAGGATAGACAAAGTGCAGATTCTGTCGATCTGTTGCGTCGAGGTCTTCTTCGTCAATCTTGATCTCTTCACTGCCTGTATCAAGAATCTCGGCAACATTGTTCGCTCGAGAATGAGCGAGTATTTCTGCTCGCTGTTTATTGAGCTTGTCTAGGTAAAACCGGATGAAGAGACTGTCACAAATTTGCGTTAGCATTGAATCTTTGAAATAGCAAGAACCGTGGCGCAGTGCCTCTTTCGAGGACATATAATGCTTGGATAAGCGCGCAAGCCGTATACCCCGCAAATTCGTGGCGGCTGCAATGATCTCCGGGTGCCAACTTACCACATTAGAGGCGAAATAAGCCAAAACGCTGTCATGAAAGCCCAGGGAAGTCTATATCTAGGTGCATACTGAGTTTGCCAGAATCTGGAACTGGGGATTAGCAAAGTCCAGTTTCAATGATGGTTGAAACTCACTGCGGAGAGATCATATTGGCAACGGATGCAGCAACGATACACGTTCCCATTAGAGTCAACTTTTTTGTGTACCCCGTCGTAGTGGTGCCTGCCCATGACAGACCCAAAACGTACGACGGTTTGAATGTTGAGATTTGGGTGCCTACAATAAGGGCAATCTTGTTCTCCCAAGGCGAAGCCAACTGAGACTAGATTACTAAAACTGTTTTGGACAGACGTGCAAGGGAGGGTTCTCAAGTCTTACCTCCATGATCCCACCGACAAAGCAGGGAATATAAGAAATGGCACATGTGTATCCCACGCCAAGGTCAGTTGCATATAGCATCGCTGCTGAGACCAGTATAAGGAACGATCCCCATAAGGGCTTGGCTATGTTGAATAGTGCGCTCTGAGCCGGAGTAAAGCCAAACCCGACAATAATTAACGGAAGCTGCTGCGACGTATTATTTGGCAATTCGTTGAAAAACATGTGAAATCTGGAAAGCTTTAGCAAGATAACAAGAGCAATTTAAAAAGATGTGGTAAACTTACATAAACAGCCAACTTTTTAAGTCTGTAAAGCACTCGCGGACCTGGTTCCATCTGAATGTAGTGTTGACAATACCAGAGTATGTCTCACGGATCATGGCAATAGTATGGATCTTTTCTTTGGTCGTAAGCCACTTTGCATCCACTGGAGAATTCGGCAGAAAATAAAACATTGGAACCACGACGACGAATGTAAGTATAACGCAGACAATACCTGAAGCTTTGTGAGTAATTTGACGCTTGATAGCTTGTGAATGTTGGCCAATAGCCAAGAAATTACTTACGCAGCCACTTCCAGGAACTCAGCCCACCGACTAGTGTCCCAACGTCGTCGTCTTCAATCAATTTGTAGGCAACCATGGTGAGGAGCACATTGGCAAAACTTCCCGAAGCCCACCATAGGAGCTGTACCCAAGGACTTTTCTTGGGGGTGAAGAAAGCTTGGTGCAGCACAGTCGTGGACGGGACAATTTGCGACTCGGTCTATTTCAGTCGATATTAGTTTTCATGTCTAATGATATGACTAATCAACGTTTGAAAATACTTACCATGCCAAGAAAAAAGCGCAAAGCCATCATCTGTCTGCCCGTCTTGACCACGAGATGAAGACCAAGCAACAGTGCCCATAGAACCAATGATGCATTGATAAAATGCTTGTGCCCGACTCGTTGGGCGACATAGCCACCAGGCCAAAGAGCAATCAGGTAGTCAAGGTAGAAAAGCACAAACAAGTTGTTGTACTCTGTCTTGGACATGTCAATGTCGTCAAAGATTCCCATTGTACTGGCTTGCGACAGGGTCGACTTGTCCAAATGGATGAGGAAAGCGATCCACCATGTCTGACTGAGAAGACACCAAAAGTTCTTCTTGTTGATTTTGTTCTGCAGCTCTGGTGTGAGTGGTCCAACCTTGTCTTTCTGACGGTTGTAAAAAACCGTCGTGTCATCGACGTCTCGCTCCGAGACTTTATGTTGGGTCTCTGTTGGAGTCAACTCATTCTTGGTTGGAAGATTGTTGGTAGGACTAGAGGCAGACGTGTCCCCGACGGCATCACCCTGTACGGAAGATTCGTCTTTTGGTTTTGACTCCATGATACAAGATGGGAAAAAGAGAAATGTAATGAAAGACTTCTGTCTGGTTTCGAGGATGATGAATGTAATTCGACTGGCCCTTATTGTTGGACAAGTGATTGCAACATTATATACCATTATTTGCCCCTGTGCCATGGTCCGCCCTCTCGATAGGGCTCATAGCAGTAGTGGTCGACACAACATTACTGCGTGCTGAAGCGGAGACTAAGCAATCAGCAGACATACGGGAATAAAACAGTCATCTCACACAGAAATCTTGGCCGCTCTTGGCGGCCGAGTGCAACCATGTTCGTCTCAAAAGTCCCTTGCACGATTTGATCATTGTTTTCTTGATATGGCGAGCTTTTCTTGGCAGGCCGCGTATTTTCTGGCTCAGGGCATGGGTCGTTTGCATGCCAAGATGATTTTCTGGCGCCAAGTGCCATAAAGGTTCTCACGGGCGTGGCAACAATGCTTCTGCTGCTTGAATTAACGTGCATTCTTGGCAATCTTTTCAGTGCACAATCAAACTTCAGTTGCGAGTGACCTAGAAAGCTAATACCATCTCCATAGTAAAACTCCTCGAATATTTTGCCTACTAGAATGCATTTTCCTGGCCGTCAAGGTGATATTGGCGGGTCGGCAAGCCACTGAGATCAATGGGAAAGTGCCTGGAAGGAACACGGTGTGTAATGATACAGTGGCTGAATTTATGTTGCGTGATCCGTTTCCTGTTCTAGGAACTATCAGCCGCCCTCTGCACTTTCGTATCATTCTTGTACTCCACTGCACCCCGGCACAAACTTGCGGCCTGGATGCCAAGGAAATCACACAATATACTATTAGGTGACACAAGGAAAGAGTCGATTCTGTGTAGTGGACCATGGCTTCTCTGATAGTAATGAGGCATTTGATTAGAAAACATGGCATGGCTTTGTCTAATCTAGCAATCTAGCTGGATGTTACCTTACATGATGTACCAAGAGTCCTCCACCTTGCAAGCGGTGATATTGCCAGAAACACCTTGCTTGAGGGACCTGTGACGTTGCTCCTGAGATTGATGTACACGAGTCAGTGGAAGTTTACATTAGAGCTGAACGGTCCAACCTGCCTCATCCTAGTAGCAGCATTGTGTGGGCTCACCTGGTGGGTATTAAAGTTGGTGAAAATCATTATATTGTCAATTGACACGCCCGGGATGAACTCTGCTCCTTGGATATACCTTGGTGGGCAAGCATTGACAAATCCTCGCTCATGAGCGCCTCGTCAAGTCAGCTTTCGTCTTTGTGGCCTTTGAGGATTATGTTTACCTTGTCATCTCCGCTTGTAGTGCAAGGTATCTTGATCTGATTCACAGACGCCTCAGCATTCCCTGTGTTGATGTAGAAAGTCAATTTTTTAGCCACTGCGAGGACTGTATTAGCAAAGAACGCAAGGGCTGGCTTTGCAAACGCACCCTCGGCATCTGTAGCTTGTTGTGCCTCCTCGGTAGTTCCGCCGATATGTGGCCTCAAGATGATATTCTTCTGCTGACGAATTTCCTCTATCCAGTCATTCGATCCAACAGTAAAACCTGACCCATTCGTGCCTGGCTCGCTCGGGTAGACATCTAGAGCTGCGCCGGGGATTTGACCGGTTTTCATTGCAGCGATCAAGGCCGGAATATCGACAACACTACCCCGGCTTGCATTGAGTATGTAGGAACCAGGCTTCATCAAGTTGAACTGCGCGGACGACACCATGTACTGTGACTGTTCAGGCAGGTGAAGAGTGACAAAATCAGAGTGACGGAGCAACTGATGGAGACTACTCATCTGTTGAGCATTTCCAACGCCCATGACCGGACGAATGTCATGGTATATGACTTTCATCCCCAGGGCTTCCGCCAACACCGATACCTGTGAACCGACGTGACCGTAGCCAATAATGCCTGCGATTTTGCAATACATTTTCAGCCAGCGCCTTGGAATGTTGAGAAATAATTGAATTCTCTTACCCAGCTTTTTGCCCCGGATCTCCACAGAACCATTACTTGTTTTGTTCCATATGCCATTGTGCATCTCTGCTGAGCGGTCACCTAGCTGGCGCGCCAAGGCAACCAGCTCGCCAATGATGAGCTCGGCCACGCTGCGTGAATTTGAGAAAGGTGAATTGAAAACCGCAATGTTTCTTTGAGTCGCATAATCTAGATCTACTTGATTGGTATCGATGCAGAAGCACCCGATTGCCACCAAGTTTCTCGCTCCTTGCAGAACCCGCGCATTCAGCATGGTCTGCGACCTGATGCCAATAACGTGCACATCTCTGCATCAATACTAGAGTGTTAGTGTTACTGGTCATTTGCACCATGAAAGACGTCCTTGCCTAATCTTTTCGATCAACTCGTGCTCAGGTAGAGCGTGTTCGAAAGCTTGGATTGCATAGCCGTAAGAAGCTAGCAGGTCTTTGCCTGTTTTGTCGATATCTTCTAGCAACAGCACCTTGAGACCTTGTACGCTTCTCAGGACAGAATTGCTCTCTGATGGAGGGCCTCTTGGGACGCTCTCTGCGAAATTCATGTTTGTGTTGATAGTCATTGCAATGAATGTTTTCGAGGTACGTGTTTGGGAATGAAATATGCATCGGCCGACATGGCGTACCATTATATGGTCCTTTAAAACATTTGGTGCTTCACAAACAGACCAAAAGGGTTCGCATATTGGGAAAAGTACCGTAGCATAGGAGCCACATTGCAGAAGCAGCAGGACCAACAAGGTGATTCTCTCCGTACCCCATGCCACTTCAGAGTGATCGGCATTCGCTGTAAATATCTGAAGCGGCAAGTATCATTGACTCGTGACAAAATCGTCACCATTGATTTGCACATTAATTGACTCACTGTTACATGTGAGACGTGTGCACGTAATATCAGGTAGAGGGTCCCCTAGAATGGAATGACGATTTCTCAAAAAGACTTTGCAATTAACTCCATCGTTGCAATAGGAGATTTAGTTATACTGATGAAATATCATGATTATATGTGCAGAGTTGCTAGAATAGACAGGAAATCTCATTTGTTCATCCCCGAGCTGTGTCCGATGGCTTAATGCCACTTTGCTAGAGTTTCATTTACACGGTCAATTTATATAGCGCCTCAGTACCACCACGTAGACTATCAGCGCTATGGCCATTCGCTCGACAGACGCTTGTTGCCACTCGAGCAGCATCTCCATTGTAGCAAATGAACAAGGAACGCTTACCTTGAATTCCCATGTTGATCTCGCTAGCGTCCGAGTTTACTTTGGACATCAAGTTGCGCCAAAGAGAAACAAGAGTGGACGCATCTGAGAATGGCCTGTCACATCCCATTTTCACAGTCGGGATGTTGATCGACCCTGGGAGACTGAACAGATTGTAATCTTCGGGTTGTCTTAAATCAATAATCACTGTGCCTTGAAGTGGAGGAACAAGCTCTTCCCAGCCGAGGCGGTCCGTGTGGCATTTCTTCGTTGCGAGCAACAAGACGTCCTTGGCTATGGTCTTGTCGAGTCGGTAAAAATCGCCTAGAACAGAAAGAGCTTCCCTCTCCCATGCTTCGTCGTAGCGAAACAGATCTACATCAGACAGTTCCTGAACACTTTGGTCAGTATGAAGCCGAGTTTTCATTCCAATAAGAGATTTCTTACAGCGTTTTGAACGCTAGGAAAGTGTTCAGGGCCAAGCTTGTCAAAGTATTCGTTGATATACTGGTATGGAAGATCACAGCAGAGGGAGACACAGTGAATCTGACCATCTTCTCCCGCCAAATCCGAGAGTGTCCCGGCGGCTTTTCTGTCGTCAATGAATTGGTACAGACCTTTCAGATTGAATCCAGAAGATGGACCACTGACGATTCCGTGACGACAAAGCTGAAGAGATAGATAATACGAGTCGTGAGAGCCCACTTCTTCGACCTTGTCGACAGCCGATTTCCAAGGAAACTCGACAGGTCCCAACAGAGCTAGGGATCGCGGGCCGGGGACTCTATCTCCAGCGGCTGTGCAAACGCTGTCAAGCGAGTTGTCAGAAATCATTGGTATAATGTGATAGAGGCAGACCTACCCCAGACGAAACACGGATGGTTTCTTTTCTTTAAAGTAAGTTCCCAGGCCACTCATTGTACCTTGAATGGGGTCAGAAAAATTGCGCAGTCATTCAAGACGACCCTGCTTACCAGAAGTCCCCATGCCGGCACAGATGACATTTATCTCGGGGAGCTGCTCATATATCTGAGGACCTGTCCATCGAACATGCGCTTTCCAATTCTGCCAAGACAATGATCAGTTGTGCCAAGAATGTTGCGACAATGCAACAAAAATACATACGTCTTCATTTTCGTACTGGTTTGGGTTGATGACTGTATCATCCTGCTGTGCCCATCGGCGTGCAGCCATGATACCGCCGCGCTCGTCCAATGGTTCAGGCTGAGAAGGTCCTCCAAATAGAGTACTGCGGCAAGGCGTTGGTTACTCCTTGTAAATGTAGCGGCAGATCGTGGAAGAACAACTTACATGTTCAGCCCAAAGAATTGCATGAGTTTGATTTTGGCCGCCGTTGTCTTGTTGCTGAGATATGCGTGCACATCACCAAACCCTGGTAGAACCTTGGACACCAGACTCATGGAAATGACAGTTGAGCCAGAACTATACTCGACGACTGTCTTGGTCTTGTCACAGTCCTGATGGTTTTGTAAAAGATTAAGCGCTGGAAGAAAGAATGTCAGCAAAATTACATCCTCATCAGTCTTTACTTTCTCTCTCACCTGGCATGGCTTTTACATTGTTTGCGGGATGCATCGTCATCATCTTGGCATAGATGTGAACACCGTCTTGTTTGTAGGGGTTCAGGACCTCTGGTAACTCGACCAAGGGCAGTGGAGGTGCAACATCTGGATTGAAGTAATCCTTTAGTGCTTCTGGCCCCTTGTAGACGTTCAAGTTGTTTCGTTTCTCCATTGTGGGTGACATTGTCGAGCAAAGATTGAGACTCAGCTTGGGGCCAAACTTCCGGCCGAGGGCTCGTATATAACGATAATAACTACCACCGCCCGGGTGCAAAGCAAAAGAAAATTCATCGACGATGAAATGGTCTCATCACATGGCACCCTCAGAACGCAGTGACACAAAAGTACTCAGCATGAGGCCTTCAGAATGACTACCACCGTGATGGCCACTCTGCGTCTGTCGTTTAGATTATCATTGCCATTTCCGGAAACTGAAGCCGCAAGTATCTCTGATCATAAATTCTAGTATGTCTTGTCATAAAATCGCTACATGTACAGATTACCGATCTTCCAGCCGTGAAACAGCATTCCAACCATGCTTTGGGTGGTTTCTGCAATGACCCACCAACACGCACCTCTCGGCCCTTGTTGCCTCTGCATGATCACGACATCTCTAGGATACTTTAACGTAATAAAGATATCGAAATGGCTCGCGCGAAATTTGTTGTCATGGTCTTTCTTGTATAATTCAACCTTGACGGCTACACTTTGAAACATACATGTGTTGTGCTTGCTGGCGATCGTAGCCCAAGGCTCTTGGCATACTTGGCATTACCTAGCATCAGCTACCTTGCTGGAAAGGGTGCTCCGCCGGGTAGTTCCAACATTTTGCAATTTTTCCAAGCCGTTTTCATGCGCTCATGATTTCTTGGCCTTTCTGTGTTTTTCCTCATCGAAGTCGGTACAGAATATAGGCCTTGTCTCTTACAGAGTTGAACCCCTGCAAGTAGCACATTTCTCGGACAAAAGTAAACTTCTTGTTTGTTTCCCTTGCCCGCGATCACAAGAGCTTCTCCCTATCAAAGATTCCATCTCATTCTTTTATTCATCACATGGTGTAGTCATGGCTGCAAATGCGGAGAACCGTTTGACTGTACACGATGCTACACAGGACATTGCGCCAGCCTCACGAGAAGAGAAAATTGTGTTCAACGAACAAACCAACTATGTTTCAAGAGGCAAGATCATCATGGTGAGAAATCCTTTCATGTGCGAGTATAAACTATATGGACGTGGGTAACCGTGACGCATCTAGATATTTCTTGCGTGCGCCAGCATAGATCTGGTGGCACTCATGGACCAAACAACACTGGCAGCCAGTTTAAGCATTGTTGGCAATGCGCTGCATGCTAGCCAACAAATGTCCTGGATTGCTAACGGTTATTTCATGTAAGCAGTAATGTCCTAGCCCGCGAATGCTCTATGCGTTTCGAGACCAACTGACGTACCATCCAGAACCTCAACTATCGGCCAGCTGCTATACGGTCGACTGTCTGACATTTGGTCACGCAAAGTGATCCTACTCATCGGACTAGGAATTTTCTTCTTTGGATCGCTAGCGGCGTCGTTGGCTCAGACTGCCACGCAACTCATCATATTTCGCTGCTTTACGGGTTTTGGAGGGGGTGGCCTCATGACCATTGCTCAGATGATTGTGAGCGATGTTGTTCCCCTGCGCGAAAGGGGCAAATATCAGGGCATTTTGGTGAGTCTTCAAAGATGAGAACCGGTTCCTCTCCATCAATATTGTACTGACAAAATTGCATACTTAGGGTGCAGTGACAGCTCTGGCCAACGGCATCGGCCCCGTTATCGGGGGAGCGCTTTCCTCCAAGTCCAGCGACTCATGGCGATGGATCTTTCGCCTCAATCTACCACTTACCGTACTCTCGACTGCAACCGTAGTGTTCTTTATGCCCCTGAAGAACGTCAAGGGCGACTGGAAGCTGTAAGTAATGTATAGCTCCACACGATCTTCACGGTGTTAATGCAAAGAGACAGAAAGGTGCGCGCAATTGACTTTGTCGGCATTGGGTTAGCTCTTGCTGGAGCTGTTGGCCTCATGCTGGGTCTAACATGGGGAGGAGGAGAGTACTCGTGGAACTCTCCAGCCGTTCTTGTCAGCATTCTAGTCGGCGCATTCGTGTGCGTTTCTTTTGTCCTCTGGCAATGGAAGGGCCCCAAATTTCCTCTTGTACCATGTAAGCCACAAATACCACAGATTATCGAGTCTCATATCAATTACTGACATGCTACAGTGGAAATTTTCCGCAGTCGCATGACCATCGGAGCCTGCCTTACCATGGCATTAAATGGTTGGAATTTTGTCGTCCAGATATACTATATTCCCACCTTTTACCAATTAGTCTACAATTACTCGTCAACCAAGGCGGGAGTCATGTTACTACCCATCACATTGGTGCAGACAGCAAGTAGCACATTCTCGGGACTCATAGTGCATTGGGTCGGTCGGTACCGAGAATGTATTCTCTTTGGATGGCTTTGCTGGGCAATTGGTCTTGGCCTCATGGCTACCCTTGATGAGACCTCTGGTCTTGGCAAGCAAATTGGTTATTCTTTGCTTATTGGAGTCGGGGTCGGGAATACTCTTCAACCGTATAGTTCCTCGCGGTCCTGCCTCTTTATCAACATGCTTCGTACTGACGTTTTACTAGTGCTCTTATAGCTATCCAATCTGGTGTCCCACGAAGCGACATGGCTGTTGTTACATCTTTCCGAAAGTCAGTAGCCCAAAGATTGAAACATGTATCCACACCACTGACACTCGTTTTTGCAGCTTTGTCAGGAATCTCGGAGCCACATTCGGACTTGCCGTCTGTGGTACAATCCTGTAAGCCAAGACTTTCACAAGGTTCTACATGGGTAGATGCTAATTCTCCCAAGGAACAATGTTGTCAAAGCATCATTGTCCACGCTGGAGCTTGATTCCGAAGCGTACGACACACTAATCGACAACCCTCAAGAATATCTCGAAACGCTTTCCGACGACCAGGCCACACGAATTCGCGCGGCACTGATTCCTGCATACACTAAGTCCTTCAAAATCATCTTTTACGTGGGAGCTGCACTGGCTGCTCTTGGTTTTGTGGTGGCCTTCTTTTTGATGCCACAATTGGAGCTGCACCGGCCGGACGACGAAAGGCTCAAGGAGGAGGCTCGCAAGGATGAGCTAAAGGAAAAGTGAAAGTTGTGTTTCGTTGGATTCCATAGACGCGTCGAGACATGATAGCACAAGACAAGCACGCAAGGGCACAGGTATCTAAACATACTTGAACTCGTCGGTCTGTGAGACAAAATTCTCAACTATTTCTTGAAGACCATGTTTCTTTCTTCCAACACACCACTACTGGTTCAAACTGTGCCGGTCATGCCAAGAAACCACGTTAATCAATAATGTCTGCACTTTTTCCAATATTGCCCAAATACTCCCCTAACCACTATAGCAAAAATTCGGCACTAGGCAATAACGAAACTATCCATATTACAAACATGTAAATTGATGATGCCACAGCTCATTTACGTTACATAAAAGATACCATGACTGTAATGTCCACAAAGTTTCTATCGATGACTTGCATGAATAACCACCACTGAGCTATCGTTTCCTAGACCGTCGTGTGGCATCGAGGTCCAGCCACAAGGTCCGCCGAGTCTAGGATGCCCGGGTCCGTCCGCTTGTGAAAAGTCCTTGGAACGTCATGACGAGGCTATAATGATGCAACTCAATGTCTACTAGGTCCCATATTATCCAAACTAATATTACATGCGCCAAGATTGACATTATGGTATTCTATAATAATGGTCATCAAGGTGCCGTGGCAGAACACTTACCCTAGCAGGTTAGCAGAGCAAAAACGCAGCCAAGAAAATAGAACGTGGATCACCTTGCTGGCCGTCAAGGGAGTGCGTTATATACTGCTCGACATTATAGTATGTTCGAGTACCCTTGAGGCTAATGATCGCCTTTGGATCCACGACCAGTATCAAATGTCGGCCCATGATTTCAAAATGATGGGTAATCGAGTGAAGCATTAAATATGGTTGCGTCAATCTTTAAATGCAACCGAATAGGACAACCGCCAAGGGCATCCTACTAGCAACAAAACATTTTCTTGATCGAGTGCCATCATGTTGCTTTCGAGGCCTTTGAGCAAGTTTTCCATATTTTTGGGTCTCACGTCTTGTGCTATAGCCACGGATCTCCGCAAACCGCTTCTCAAAGACTTTGACTCACTGGGCGCATGGTTTGACGGCGTTGCCTCGATTGCCAACACTTCGCGACCAGACAATGTCGACCAAGTCAAGAACAAATCCATTGCCATTGTTGGAGCCGGCATTACTGGCTTGACTACGGCCCTCATGTTGGAGAGTGTTGGCATTCACAACTGGGAGCTACTCGAAGCAGACAATCGGGTCGGCGGGCGCTTGCGTACCGTTTCCAATATTGGCGGCACGCAGGAATGGGCCGAGATGGGACCCATGCGCCTACCCTACCGCGCAAAGTACAAAGACAGCAATGAAACCATCGAGTACTCTGACCACGCCATGACGTTTCAGCTCATAGACTGGCTAAACGACATGAACCGCGACAACCATTCGAGCCTCCACCTTGACCTCATACCATGGATTCAGCATTCACCCAACGAACTTTTGGCGCTCGGTACCGGACGACTCTCTGATGGTGGCGTCCCTACCCGTGCCGACATTGCGGCAAATTCAAGTCTGGGCAAACCAGCTCCAATGGAGATTCAAGAGTACAAAGACATGAAGGCCAAAATGAACTCGATCTTGATGAACACGACAACCATCAAGGAGATGCAGCGCGACGTTTGGAGGCTGCACGAGCGTGTGATGGAGCAAGGCCTCGATGAGGTCAGCCAGCAGAGCATGCTGCGAAATATCTGGAACGCGAGCACCAATGTGACGGACGCTATTCATACTGCTACCGACTACGATGTCTTTTGGGACGAGATGAATCACAATTCCAATCTCGCCCAAGACGGCGGTGCAAGCGCCATTGCCGAGACGGAATGGAAATGTGTCGACGGTGGATTCAGTCGCCTCTCACAAGCCATCGTCCCACACGTTCAAAACCGTTTGAGATTGAACAGACAGGTCCGAGAGATCGAGGCGATATCTGATCAAGGTGGAGAGATTACTGGGACGCGCCTGTCGTGGATTGAACCGGGTGTCAATACAACGACAATGAAGCCGCAATCCGACCAATCCAAGGACTATGATTACACCATGCTTGCAGTCCCGTTCACCATGACACGAATGATGTCTCTGCCGTCGTTTTCATCGGTCAAGACGCGAGCCATGTCGGAGCGAGGTCTAAGGTTCAAGGACGCTTGCAAAGTCGCGCTGCTGTTTAGCGAGCGTTTCTGGGAGCAGGAGGAGAGGCCCATTTTTGGCGGATACTCGACTCCCCGAGACGCCGCCGTTGGAGCATTGTACTATCCCGTATACAATCTCAACGAGACGGGAAGGCCAGGACTGATTATGCACTACCGCGGTGGCGACTGGTCAAGTCGCTTTGCCAGCCTGAGCGACGAGGAGCACGTCAGTATTGTGCTTGACGCAATCGCCGACCTTCACGGCGAACAAGTGCGTGATCTGTACACGGGTGATTACGAAAGGGTTTGCTGGCTGAACGAGCGTCATATTGCAACAAGCTGGACGCGCCCGGATGTGGAGCAGCACAGACTGTATATCCCCTCGTACCACGAGACTGAGCAAAATGTTATTCTGATCGGCGAGCATACGGCGCCGACACATGCCTGGATCAGCTCATCGCTGTACACTTCTGTGCGAGGCGTAGTCCAGCTGCTTCTGGAGTTGGGACTCGTGGACGAGGCGAAAGAAGTGAACCAGTGCTGGATGGGACGCTGGATCAAGGTTTAGACCAGGTCACCAAATTCTCTCGCCGTGGGACAGATGGGAACTATACTGAGAATCTTGTAATCAGCTTGCTGTAGACGGGCGCTGTAGATAAATGGACAATGTATATGTGTAGTAATTGAATTCACCGGCCATTATGCATCTCTTCAATGTTGATATGGTTGAGAGAGGAGGATTATGACTTGAATGTTTTCAAATATTTCTCTTTCGTACCGGTGTACTTTTTACTAGCTGGAGAGGGCTATTACCGTCCGTCGGTAAGCTACAGGGGCCTGCAACTAGCACATGCTGAAGGCTACCGCTACCGCTTAGAGGGCCTGCTCAGTGCGCCGATGCTCATGTCGACGGAATCATGCAGTGAGAGTCCTTCCAGACAAGTCCGGCAATGTTCATCTTGATGTTGATTGACTATTCGCCGAGCCTATTTCGAAAATGTTCTATTTTTCTACCAAACACCTATCAAGTATAAACCAGCAGTACCCGACCCATCTCGCAAGGCAAATTGCATTCAATAAAGTATAGCACCACCCCCCAATGTACTCCCAACTCTAGGCGCCTGCAAAACGCCTGCGTCCACCAAGTCCATGGCTAAACGCGACAAAAGCCCATCGCAGCCCTTGGCAGCCAGTATTCCCACAGCCACGGGCAGATACTCTTCATGATTCGTGATGCTGCTCCAGTTCGGCATCTCACCAATGGGAAAGATGAAATCCGGGCACTCGCAAAACACAGACATGCGGGAAGCAGAGAACCCCGTGTACGGAGCCGGCGGGTCAATATCGTAGCGGTTCCGCAGGGCTTGCGTGCCCACCTTGGCCGGGTACAGCACCAGACCAGACGAGCACTGCGCCGGGTCGCTCACCCGAGGCAGAACGACCGTGTTGAACCAGTTCATGAAGAGCGTCTTGTTGTGCATCGCTTCGTCCCAGGAGTAATTGGCCGCCCAGGCCCAACGGGCGAGCGGCGCAGGATCAATAAACGGACGTCGTCCATCGTGCAAGGCCGCATAGTCGGCCAAGAACGGCTCTATCACTTTGGATACTTGGCCTTGCCCAGTCAGAACTGGATACGTGACGTTGAGCATTGTCGCCAAATCCGAGTCAACGTCTGGATCCTCGGAATTGCTGTCACTCCATAGCTCCGTCAGATTCAGAGTTTCCAGAGTGCCATTGACATGTTTTGCCAAGGCACTAGCAAAGTCGTTGAGAAGGTAACTAGCTTCAGTAGTCGAGTCTGGCCACGAGACTGTCCATATATTTGTCGGATATCGGAAAGGTGCATCGTCATTATCCTCAGCCAGCCTTGTGGTATAATTCGGGCCATACATGACCTGCTGTAGCTTGTCCCAAAGCACGGGGTCTCGCACGAGGAATCCGGCCGTGTCTAGCGGTTCGGACAGGGGCATGACATTATCCAAGGCCACAGAGCCATGAGAGGGTCTATTTCCAAAGACGCCATTGACGCCGGCAGGACTTCGGATACTGCCACCAGTATCGGTACCAACAGCCGCATCGAGCCATTCATACGATGCGATGGATGCTCCGGCGCCAGAGCTTGACGAGGAAGCATCTTGATAACCATCGCCGCGAGGATTGAATGGTGAGTGGTAGTCTACCCAGTCTACCGTGGCGACCTCGCTGGTGGCAAATTGTGACAGTCTCTGCGTGCCTACAACCACGGCTCCCGCGGCCACCAATCTTGAGATGGCGGTACAAGTGGTGTTCTCGGGAGGATAAAGATGATACCATGCCCTGTTGCCATTTGACTTTTTGACTCCGGCTAGTGAAAAAATATCCTTGACGGCAATACGGACGCCGGCCAGAGGTTGTGTTTCGGAAGGCTCAAAGTACAGTCTAGAGGGTACACCAATGGTCAACGTGGCTGAGCCGGGTATTCTCGCCGACAGTGTCTGAAATGTGCCATTGGGGTCTTGCAAGAGAGCCTCATTGAAAGTGCCGGCAAAGTCGTCATATAGTCGATAGATTGGATGCAAATCCCCGGTTGACTTGTCCAAAAAGAAGGGTCCTTGGGGGATTTTCGAGTTTGACGAATATTGAATCATTGTAGAGTTGCTGGTTTTGATGGCCTTGACCGTCTTGCTACTACCATTGACATGTTTGCCTGGTACACGATCAAGAAGAGTTAGTTGAAGAAAGGCCGGCTGAAAAACATCATCAACTTGTGCCCAAGAGCTGGCTACTTTCGCGACATTCTCGACCACCGTATCGTTGGTGAAAACCGAAACTGGAACCAGGCCAAATAAAGAGGGAGTGTTTGCAAATGCGGAGGGGTCGACAGAAATTGTTGCTGTGACATGTGGAGAGATCAAGTATGAAATGTCGTTCAAGCGCACAGTCAACCCAGCTGGAGTTATATTGGAAGCGCTGCATAATACGCTATCTAGGAGCAGTATTAAAGGCCAAAGTAGCTGCATTCTGGTGTAATTATTATTGCAGCAGCGAAAGGAAGGGCAGATGATTGATCAAGGTTGGGTTGATCCCTCCAGCTTTTTGTCCGGCGTAGAAGTATTCTTATGGCTTGTCAATTTCTAACCGATTCTTCCCATTCTTGTGACTTGTAAACTAATCATATAGGTCATGAAGTATTTGTCTTGTGCTTTCAAAAGTATGGAGCAGTATTTGGTACTATTGAGAGATACTTTCAAGCGTAATAGTGTTACCTTGCTGGCCACTTCCGTGGTGCAAAATATGCCAAGAAGATCGACATGGCAAAGTGTTGCTGCCAAGCCAAGTACAGATGGTTGTAACCTTGATGGATAGAAAACTCGGGTAACTTTCTAAAATGGAATCAACTTAGTATATGCGGTTTTTTCGGTTCATTTTGAATATATTCATGACCTCCAAGGTAACCCTACCAGCCCGCAAAAGATGCTCCGCAACACTATGGACCATTTTGTACAGACTGCCAAATAGGCCCTTGCGTATATTCCGACGCGGAAACCCCGAATCAAGACTATTGACATGTTTCACATGAGCAGTCACCTGGTAGAATCTATCCAAATGGTACAAGTCAAGGCGGTAGGATAAGAACACTACAACAAATAAGCAACGTGCGAATTATCTTTTACTTGAAAATGTTTTACAAATACGAAAGAAAAGGTTTGGGTAGATGCCAGTAGATATGTTGACGGAAACTATTCATGTCCAATGTTCCTGGGACCGCTTGGACCCTCCTCCAGCCCGTTACCACGAGGCGCATCATCGCGCCAGCACCAGAACGGATACATGAATGATGAACTGTTGCTTCCATGTTCAAAGATATCAGCAGCATGCTGTCAGTCCCATGTGGTTAGTCAATGTTGTAATAGCCATAGAATTCTAGCGTACAAACCTTTCCTAGGACCGGTAGAAACTTGGCGCCGTGGCCACTGCCGCCGGTGCAAACAAAGACAGATTGATCGGCATATGTAGGGACATAGTCGCTCTTGCATATACACATCATTAGTCTGACAGAAGGAAGCGCTTCATGAGGATACAAAAATAGATGACTCACGACGAAAGAATTGTCCAAGGAGTCGGTATACCAGCAGAATTTACTCGAATGAAAGGGAACTTTGGCGAATTCTGGCAAGAAAACCGACACGAATCGCCTGATTGCCTCCACTGCTGGTCGAGGAAGCTGCTCTGGTTTACCTGGCGGAAGCGGGACTGACCATTGCCCATCCTGCGTGAAAGGTGTCCCTTTGGGTGCCGGCACAAAATTGGTAAACTGAGAAATGTGTCAGACATTTGTACTAGGTTGCCCAACCACCATTCTCTCGCCTTGATTTCTCTCTGGGATATTCTTACCTTGATACCACGGTAACCAATCTTGATGAGACCATCCGTAGTCCTCGGAAAGACGTAGACGCTACCGGTGTCTTTACCATTTTCATCACGCGGTGCACTCTTCCAAGTCATGACCGGAAAGTTCTCTGGCGCATACTTGGTCCAGAGTTGCTCATCATTGGGATCAATCTTGAAGGTAACAATACTTCCAGCAGATGATTCAAGATGATAGGAAAGCTCTGGTAGTAGCTGGGTTGAACATGACCCACCTGGCGTGTGTCAACAAAAGTGGCAACGTGTTTGTGTTGATAGAATTTGGCTTACCTGCAATTACTACAACATCGCTCTGATGGAATACTGAATCCCTTGTCTTGATACCAATAGCCTTTTTGCAATCAGTTTCTTGCGTATCCTGCAACTGGGTCTCGAGGACAAGAGATTCAAAGCAACCCTTCTCGGGTCCGAATCGGAAATCAACCCCGAGATCGACAGCCATCTTTTGAAGATGCGCACAGGATTCGCTACATTTGATGAATCCGGAAATTGTATCAAGAACTGCTTCGAATGTCTTCCCGCTCTCACCAGGGATGTTAAAGTCGAGCAGTTTATGATCCCACCCTAGTTCTGCCGCCCGGAGACGGTCATGCGCATCGCCTTTGACAAACTGTGTGTCGCGGAGCCCGTCTCGCGTCAGACTGTCCAAGGTTTCCCTTTCCAAGAGACCGAGTTGGTCACTTGGTTGCACTCGCAGCATGCAGCTTTCCACAAAAAAGTCCTTTCCATGCTCTTGGTTCATTTGGAGCCAAAGCTCTCGACTTTCAAGGGAAAGTCGCTGGTAATGAATTTTCTTACCATAGGATGATCGCATCTTGACAAGGTGAGCTAAAACACGGACAGGAAAGGATCAAGGCCACGGCTTACAATTTTGTTATGGTCGACTGATGCTGCTTCATGCAACGGGTCTGCACCTGGAGCATAACCTGTGTCATCGTACGGGCATTGGTCAAAAACCGTCACTTTGTGCCCTGTAAAGATGGTCATTATATAACCCTTTCTCCATAACACAGGTGCACTCACCGTTTGATCGCAGCGCGATGGCCAAGGAAAGTCCAAAAATGCCAGCTATTCATTTGTCAGTTGGAATTGCATAAGCCCGAGGCTGAAAAAGTACCTCCGACGATATTAACAACTCGTGACTCTGCCATTTCATATAGTCTTGGAGTTGAGATCAAGTCAAGGTGTGTTGCGTCTTGCTTTTGGAACTTGAGAGATGGGTGGGTGACACTCTATTCAGATTGAGGACCAAAGATGACTTGAAAATCGCCTATATAGACACTGTGTTGAGAATGACTGACAAGGAACTCGGAGGTCCATCTGAAGTTCTCGGCGGGATACCTGAAAGTCTTGATCGTCGTCTGACACTAGCAGATGAATGAGAACCCTGGGGGCACCCCCATTGAAATGGCATTCTTGGCATGCAGGTCAAACATGTTGCCTCTATTTAGCGAGATGGTAAGCTTCTGATACAATTCTCTGGTACTAATCTAGGAGTAGTTCATTCGATCCCATCCAGTATTCAATGATTTGACACATGGTGACGCAATGCCAGGTTACGATAGATTGTCCAATATCCTGATCCACTGCGTAGGCTGTGGATGCTTACCCTTGGTCAATCTATTAATCTGATTGCGGTCCTGTGCCGGGACCTCTGACGAGTGTTGCCAGCGTGCTTGCGCTGGGCAAAGAATGGTGAGCCTGGCGCACATGAGCGTTTTGGAGTTTGGATTATTCGGCGCACCAGTCGATATGCTCGGATGATACTTTTTTTGAACGGCAAAGTCATTTGAATTGAAAGGACGCCGACCTTGGTGGCTGGCCAAGCTTTAGGCGTCTTGCTAGCGGACGCCTAGGTAGCCCTATGGTGCAATTAAAGACGCCTGAGCAGGAGCAGCGGGAGAGGTCCAGTGTATAGCCCCGCCCCAGGCACTCAGTGCGCTTTATTGCAAATCCCTCGCCGCACGCAGATGCATGCGAACCTAGATTCAGAATCAAGATAGTATGCACCGTACGAAACCTGCCAGCGCCCCCATACTAACATGGCGAGTTTATCAAAGCCCTTAAATAGCTCTTCGTCCTTTTTGCGACTCTCGGGCCTTTTATTGCTCGGACGACAAAGTAGGAGAAACGGTCCTTCTAGCTCCATATGCTCCGGATATGCCGCTGTAGCGTCCGAAGCTTAGCACGTACCGAACATTATATTCTCATAAGCATGGCGCTGTCTTTTCCGGTCACCGGCGAAAACTATAGCAACATCAAATCCTGCCTAGCACCAAGCTGGTCATATGCATTTGGCCGCGGGGGTTTTCAATGATTTGCGCGACTTGGAGTACAATGGCGGTGGGACTAACACGGATTAATGTGTACGGGCTAGAATGGATCTACTACGGTGTCAAAAGTTATAAATTGTTTTAGTTCTAAAAGTTCTCAAGACCAGTGACCATCAGCCTTCAAAGCTTGTAGTCGACTAATATGTGGAAGTTCCCCTGATTCAACCAACACATCCAATTGTTCCTTGTCTTTCCAATTCTCGTAACATTCTAGGTATTCCTCTGGAAGGAATTCTTCTATTGCCTGGGCAAGATGACAACCACGCTTCCTGTAGACATCTGCGTCCAGCGTTCCTGGCCATCTTTCCATCCCCGCCGGAAAGTACCCAGCATACTCCCAATCAATCAAGGCCTTGACCTGAAGAGTTTGTGGGTCCATCATAATGTTGTGAGCTGCAATATCGCCGTGTTGGAAAACATACTTTGGTTCCTCTAAAGGGAGCGTTTTCCAAAATTTCTTGCCTTTCCATGGAGGTTCTACGTCCGGAGCCATCCAAGAAGGGGGCATGACGAATCCACCGATGCCACGTTCTCGCGATTTCAACTTTGCGAGCTGTGGCAAAACGATATCGTGAATGAACTCATTCGCATTCGAGTATGCTTGGTCTGAACATGCCTTGCATGGGATACACTCTGTATGTTTTAGATCTTCTGGCCTTGAGCAACCTTGGAGTTGTATAGCTTCCAGAAGAAGGCCTCCGATCAACTCTGTGACCAAATAGCGCCGGCCGTCTGAATGTTCTCCATGCTCGAGTACTTTTGGTACAGGAATTATTGTCTGCTGGGAAACGATCTCTAGCGCTTTGGCCTCGTTGGTAATGCGCTCATGATTCCTATCAAAGCACAGACATGGTCAGTTTTGTACGTTACTATCAAGAAAGTACTTACCATGATCTGAACCATGTAAAAAGAGTGCCATCAGGATACGGACTACTGAAGGGGAGTCGTGAGGTCTTTTTGAAGGTGGTAGCAGTGAATTCGTATGCCACGTCGTTTGTCTCGTAGCTTTGGAGGACCGGATTCGCTGTGACGGCTTTGGATTGTGGTTAAGAAATTGGTGCTAACATGCATGTGGAGGCTCACCAGTTGCCGAGGAGACTTGGATTTCTCCTATCTGAACACTACACGTCGAAGCCATTTGTTCGATGATTGGGAGCTTCCTACGCTCCGTAAGGTCAAGGTTGTCTAGAAGTAAACGAGGAGCATTGTGACTTTTTATGTCTACGGGTTGCTGAAGCAACAGAATCCACAGAGGCTTGCGTCCTTATTACACCACCAACCGAGGTGAGACACGGGACATGGCAAGCGATCATGCGATTTCACAGGGTACTAATAATCGTCTTCAAGCTGCGAACCAGCCATGGTTTATTCGCATTCTCTCATCCTCCCAAGTTCAATTGCGCGAGGCTCTGTTAGTAATTCCACATATATTTGTGTTACAGTCCCCGCATATAGGTCTAGGAATATGCACCGATTTGCATGCAAACTCTACGTGTATTCGTTGGCTGTCTGGTTAGAGGTCAGGAGCCATTATTAATTGCAAGGTTTCATCGTGCTTTTACAATTCTGTACGATTAAAGTATTTAATATGAATCAAATCCAGACTGTACTCTGTACAGTGTTTCAAAAGTGCTGCTCCATAGCGCAAGGCCGGCAGCCTTTCAGTACGTACTCGTCATATTATATGAATATGGTGGGGTAAGTATATAGGTATGCTTGTCGTCTTGCACCGCTGAACTCGCTTATGGAAATCTCGCCTCCATTATATTCATTATATTCCCCTGAAAGATTGAATGGCAACTGCTCAGATAAACAGTTGGTGCCCGCAGCTCCAAAGTAATATCCAAGTGCTCTTGGTCCTCTGAGCCAATTGAATGACAATTAGGTGATCAAGACATTTCCTACTATAAGAATGCCAAGTCACACATCTATTTCTGTCGGACAACTCCTCGTCGTAGCGGGGTAACGGCTTTGATACCGTATTTGGCAGCCGTGCTCCGCCCTATACAGTGCCTATATAGTTGGATTCGCACGCCTCACCACGTTTGCTTCCAATATTCCTTGCCATCTCAAAACCACATTGTCGTTAGTGTTAGAACCAAGTTCGATCCCAGACCCGACCCTAGTGCCTCGCTGCAGCTCACTGGAGCCGCGCGACTGCGTTCTTACGATGCGATTACTTCGACTCGAGGAAGGAGACAGCGTTTCTCTTACTGACGACCTGACGCACGACATTCCACCATATGCCATACTCTCTCATACTTGGGGAGCACGCGGAGAGGAGGTCACATTCCAGGACATCCAGAACAAAGATTTCCAACAGAAGCCCGGTTATGGCAAAATCTTGTTTTGCGGAAGGCAGGCACAGCTTGACGGCCTCGAATATTTCTGGGTTGATACATGCTGCATCGACAAAACGAGCTCAGCCGAGTTGGCCGAATCCATCAACTCAATGTACCGCTGGTATGAAAATGCACACAAGTGCTACGTCTACCTTTCCGATGTGTCGATAAATTTCGATCGAAATACCCCACCTCTGCTGTCGTCTTGGTTACATGGGTTTCGAAAAAGCAGATGGTTCAAGCGAGGTTGGACGCTGCAAGAGCTAGTTGCACCACAGGTAGTGGAATTCTTTTCTTCCAATGGCCAAAAGCTCGGCGACAAGACATCCCTGGAGGAGCCAATTCACAACATAACAAACATACCTGCACCGTCACTTCGTGATTTCTCGCAGTCCAATATTGATCTCAAGACAATATTCTCCTGGTGCCAAAATCGAGAAACAACACGGCCCGAGGACAAGGTCTACTCGCTTTTGGGCTTGGTCGGGGTCTCTATGCCAGTGATATACGGTGAAGGGGAAGGATCCGCGTTTCTAAGGCTGTGCGCTGAAGTGCTCCAGCGTGACCCAAAACAAGGCCAAAGTCTATTGATGTTTGTCACCGAGATCGGTCATGCCCCAGCACTTCGCATCCTAGTTCGCGGAAAGGAGAATATTGAATCAAAAAACGATAACGGCAATTCCCTTCTTGCACTAGCAGCCTCAAACGGCCACGAGGCGGTTATCCGAATGCTTCTCGACAAAAGTGCGGATATCGAATCAAAAGATAAATACGG